CTATCACTAAGAATGTGTCTTAAATCAAAGTTGCTACCAGTTTCTTTTTGATAATTTGAAGGAAGTTTTAGCTTCGCATGTGTACGTCGTAATTAGCTTAGTCAATTGCTGCAATAAAAAGTTTATAATCTATTATTCTACGCATATCAATTGAAAAATTTAGGTAGAATATGACTCATGACGTTACTTGAAATAGCAAACGAATGAAGAAACAACGCAAATATGCCTTCAATGCATGTAAATTTTTTAGCGATTGCAACGAGTCACATGTTCCCCATCCGTTATCTAAACCAGTGCGATATCCAGTGAAATAATTATCAGCAATAGAAATATTCCTCTAGTATGTATAATCTTGACGACATCTGGAAGAGTCTCTTATATCGATAACTGCCACTATTGAAAATAGCAATGAATGTAATACCCAAGCAGATAAAATTTTAGCTCATAAATCAAACTTTAATAGACGTCGCGTTATCGTACTGTAATTGTCTAGAAAAAAAGTGACTTTTGACAAAATGAAAAAATGCAATACCCGTATGTTGCCTAAATTAAATAAAATCGAACTAATTGAATCGATTTTAATTGGAAAATAATAGAATTTTTCTCGTTGAAAGCTAAATTATCCTATCAGCCAATGTTCTCATATCTACTTACTGCCATTTTTCTTTCATAAAACTAATCAAACTCAGTGTATTTGAATACGGTACTCAAGTGGCCACTCTTTAGGCATTTTGACGCTTCGGGTCGACGAAATCATAGCCATCGATATTTAAAATACCCCAGTTCGTGGACGTACGGCGGGAAACGGCCGGAAAGCACAGGAAAGCGCTGGAAACTGGAAGCAGTATTCCAGTTGGAAGTTACCGGATTTTCTTCCTGTAGATTCCGATCAACTTCCAGATGTAAAACACAGAAAACTGACCGGAAAACACAGGAAACTGACCGGAATCCACAGGAAAAAAATCCGGTAACTTCCAACTTGAATACTGCTTCCAGTTTCCAGTGCTTTCCCATGCTTTCCGGCCAGATACGGTGATTTTTCCGCATCTTTCCGGCCGGTTCCTACAGTATCCGTCCTCCGGAATCATTGACCTGGGACTCCCCTCAGATTCTTATTTCCGATGGTTCGAACACTCCACGATGGGTTAATAAAAAATTGAGTTTTTCAATCAGTTGAATAACTTAAGCCGACGGAATTATAATAATTAAAAAAACCTTTTTAGTAGTTGCAAAAAACTTTCGAAATTTAGAAAAGTAATTTAATCAAAGGTGAAAAAATTATCATTTGTGTAACCAAATGGATCGTCTTCTCTTCGAACTTCAGACGAGATAAAAGGAGTCTATTTGATAATTATTGGATTTTATACACAGCTGATTTTTGAGATACAGTGTAAAATCAATATTTATAAATTTTATCAAAGATTTATGAAACAGCAATTATTCGGATTCTGTTTTCGTCAACATAAATTAACATAGAATTTTTTTCAAATTTTTGATTGTTTACACTGATAAAAAAATCCGGGTAATGATCTACCCCTACATTAAAAAAAGTCGCTATTAAACCCTTGAAGGGCTTATTTCGATGTGATGAACCCTTTTAGCGTTTATTAGTCGAAGGGTTTATGACGCTATGGGTTTATGAAAACTCAAGGTGTATATGATGGGTACATAAGGATTCATTATTCTACGATTTTAAGATAAGAGTATATCCTTCAACGGATGATAGTAGATTGTTGTTCGCTTTCAAGGTAGGAGTATTTTATTCTTCGTTATCGGGTTTACTATTTTATTTTTTCGTTAAAAGGGTACATCACTCTGCCTTTCAGGGTAGAGTAAGATACCCTTTCTCAGAAACAGTTCATTATTCTACGCCTAAGGGTAGATTATGCTACCATTTCCTGCTAAGGGTTTCATATATGTCAAACTTGAAACTTGAATTCAATCTTCAACTTTTAAACCAATAGCATTCTGAATAATCGTGACTCATACATATATCGCTATGAGTTGAAAGTTGAAAGTTGAAATTTTTTATTTTCAACTGAATTCAAGTTTCAAGTTTCAAGTTTGACACTACTGCAGGGTTTAGTATTTCACGTTCAACAGTTGATTCATCTACGTCTTAATAAAAATGGTTTAGTACTGTAGGTGAATGCTCGATTCTATGCCTCTTTATTGACAGGTTTTTCTATTCTACTGACAAATATCGACTTATCTACCTTAGCATCTCAAGGGATAGTTTTATCGTCGGTTGATGGTTGATTCTACTTCTCTTTCGTTGAAAGAAGTTCACTTTTTATCGTACAGGGGTTGATCTTTCCGCTCTTTCGTTGAACGGGTTTATCATTCTACGTACAGAGATTGGATGTTCTACTGTTCGATCGAAAAGATTTATTACTCTACACACAGGGGTTGATTATTTTACCTTTGCGTCAAAAATGTTTTCTTAGGGTGTCGGTGAGAGGGTCTGGGTCTGGTTAATGTTATTTTATACAGTCACCCACGCGCTAACTTGATGAAAAGAAATAGTTAGATGTCCATCGTTTTTTTGCACTGGTCACAACCGAAAGGAAAATGTGGATCACTTATTTGATGAAGTTGCGGTGTACATAAAACAGTGTTTTGATATACGAAAATAGGAAGTAGCGAAATTAGAACCACACTTCATTGACCCAGGTAAATATTTTATGTTAGAAAAAAAGAAAAAATATCTAACGCCTATATATATAAAGTAATACCTCGTGCAGAATCACCTTAAAAAATAAGCATTTTGATATCGGCTAGTAAGTAGGCTTTCTTCGAGATCATCGATATTTTTACCTTAGCGATGTGTTTGATTTTTACAATATAGCAGTGTAAATAATAATGACAGAAAAAATGAGGAAAGATAAACATGTATTTTTGTGTTTAATATGAAGATATTGAAAAAACTGAGATAGAAAGTGTTACAGAGGCCCCGCTGTAACTTAAATCAATTCACACGATAGAAATTTATGTTTCTATTTAACCAATCAACAACAAATTTCCTATTTTCGATTCATAATCTGAATCCAAGGGGAAACAAACTGATTTCGTGATTTCTGATTTCCAAAATCAAAACGTGATTTCAATTGATTTCAGTTGATTTCAGAGATGAAAACCAGTTTGTTCCCCCTTGTCTGAATCTTAATCTTTTCTTTATTATTCTTTTTTTTTTCTATTTATACTATACAACCCACACACACACACACAAGAGAGAGAGAGAGAGAGAGAGAGAAAAGAAACAGTGAAAGAAAAGGCATTTGTTTCTTCGAGTAGACTATTTTGTATATAAAGATGATGGTGCATCATTCTATAAAAGCACTTAAATTCCAGTCAAAGAAATGATGCCATTATTTATGTCGTCACGCACGGGAGGAAAGAAGACACAATAGAGAGATATGCAGAGAGAGGTAAGAAAGAATGAAAAAGAGCGGCTGATGTATGTGCATCTCGAGTTGGATTGTACATATAAGACATACATAACGTACAAAGACGAAACAAGAATGTATAAGAATACATAAATAAGTAACTTGTTAGAGTACTCTCTAACACCTTCGATAGGGTTTATGAAAATGCAACGTATGATACACTCTTTTTAAGTTGTTCAGTCGTATAAACGCTATTGTGCCGATATTGATGGCACGCTTCGATGATTCTCCTTCTTCTTCCGTATGTTCTCTTTCCATTGTTATAATATATCTATTTTCTGTCTCTCTTCTATCTCTCTCCTATATATACGTGTGTTATGTATAAAGTTGTTACACTCTGGATATGTGAAGAAGCGAATAAACATCATTCCGAGAGTGGCGGTAAGCTACTCCACCTCTATCCAGTTTGTCATTAATATATAAATCACTAAACAGAGTCGTATATATTTATCGTTACACATGCTATTTATGAAGTGCCTGCATCCAACGCAGTTTCTTTTTAGCAAAGTAAAAATGATTGTAAATTTTGTTCTTTCTCAAGAGGCAATATAGATCTGCAAACGATTGAGAGGGGTGCATATCATATACTTTATACGATACTGAATTTTAACTTTCTTTTACTTTCAATTATTAAATATCATTCCGAAATGAAGCGTTTCATTTATTTCCTGTAAGTTCATGGAAAGTCGCAGGAAGTTAAAACTTGGTAGTGTATAAAATATATTGAAGTTACTGCTTTCTACTGTTTACATATAGATATCATATAATTATGAGGACGATTTCAATCTGCTGAAGATCCTTTTTGTTCGAGGCCCTCTCATAATTATTCGAGAATATAGTCACAGAAATCAGCATTAAGCCGAATCGAATCGTACACAACGCTTTCTAACCGAAAAATAAACCATGCGAGTCATTTTGCGCCCTTAGCTCTTAGTTTATAGATATAAGTCAACCAGATTATCACACCAGTTATCGCATAGTAAATGTGAAAATTTTAGAGCCACATGTCTTGGAGTGGTTCTTTTCAAAGAAATCTATTTCAGCGCTTACCACATGATACAAAAACATTTCACATTGAAATTTTCAGAGAAACTAATTCTATACTCTGAGTACTTTTCACTAGAATCGAACTTATGATAAGACTATTTTGTTATGTCTTTTTGCATAAATACTGAAGATTTACTATCAACTGACGTTCACTTTTAATGTTTTTACCACAAAATTTCAAAAATCTTATCATAATAGCGAATAGAAAGCTAGCTTTTTTTTAGAGCATGTGATTGATTCTAAAATTGAATCAGATACTACTCAGGTCTTCATTCAACAAATAGTCGAGATTCATACATTACATTTACAACCATCATCTCTCAACAAGTTTACGAGATCATAGCGAATAACGTGTGACGAACATTCCTCTGCATCATTAGAAATTTACATCATTCTAGTAAAGTATCTTCTATAAATAGACTTTCGTTTGAATTGAAAGAATCAAAACTCCAATTCAGTACTTATTCTGCACAAAGTGTTTCAGTCACAATTATTGATTTTAGCAAAATGTTTTTTAAACAAAAAATATTTCTTCGATACGTGACAGTTTTTATCGTGTCTCTCGTTCTTCTGGACCTACTTCGGCTTCATTTATTTGAATGTAACCATTATTCAGACGATGGCGAAGAAAGTAAGACAAATTTATTATTCCAGAGAAATCCCAAACTACTGTCTGTAAATTTAGATCATTTGACTGCTTTTCTTCCAGATCCACATCCAATCGATGTACACAAGAGTTATTCGTGTTTTGACATTGAAGATCTTCTACTAATCACCAAACTGCCCAAGGTACTATCATGGATCGAATTAGACAATCAGTCGAATAAATATATATCTTCTCCAAATCCTATTCATCTAATTACTCAATGGTATCATGAACAGAACCATCGACGGCGTCGTGAACTTCTAACCGTTTTACAAATGAATTTGTTGAATGATGCTGTTACTTCTATTCATTTTATACAGTATTCAAAGAATTGCACTGTTTATGATGATATTATGTTAGATCCGAATTTTCGTGTTGATCTTCTGAAACTTAAGCTAATTATCTCCTATCAAACAGAAGTCAATGAGACAGAAAGATTAACTGTTAGTAAGGCATTGAAGTATGCCAATGGAGTAATATCCCGTGGCTATGCAGTTGTGCTCAATCTGGATATTTTCTTTGATCGTTCTCTGAATTTTCTACAACGAACACCTCTCGTCGATAAATCAACTATTTTCTATTTATCTCGTTACGAAGTCGATCGCACAATTAGTATGTCAAATGCGCACTGTACTGATAAAGGATACGAGGGTAGTCATGATACATTAATCTTTCAACCACCTCTATCCAAAACTGTTATTGAACAATTTCCGTTTGAATTAGGGACATGGTATGTCGAAGTGAAGATTATAGAAGATTTAACACTAGCAAATTATACAGTTCGAAATGTATGTAAAACGGTTCGCAGTTGGCATCTTCATTCTAGTCAAGTACGACATCGCCTGATGCCATCAAAACGATATATACCCGATAAACTTCTATATCTTCATCTACGCCAACCAGAATTTTTATTGAGTGCTTCTTATTCCTGTTTCGAAGTGTCATACTTTTTGCCATGGATCATTATCATTTTCCTACAATTTTTTTTGACTTGAAACAATATATGATCAGCATGTCTTCGTTATCTCAATCAATATTGTTAGAACGATCCGAAAACAAAATTCTAACTTTGAGAGAGATCAATATGCTCATGATTTCCATTTGAAATATAATTGTTATTCTCAGCAAGATTATAGTTTTCTCGCTATTTCTTCTTCATCAAATTACATTCAATTTCAATCTCAGATTTAAGAAAACGTAGTTCTAATGGGACATGATGATGTGGGTGCGAATGGATGATTTTATGATCTATATTTCAAGTTTCAATGAAAATCAGGGACGTGCACAGAGCATAATTTTTTCTCCTGTCCTTGTCTGTCCTGTTGACTACCTTGGTCCTGGCGGGCGGTAAGACAGAACACCAGGACAACAGGACCGCCCTGCCCTATGCACATCTCTGATGAGAATAGCAATCGGCAGTTGTCTTTCGCTCTTTCATATCTGCTTAAATGCTTCCGAATATTCGTCTAACTTGAAGTAGAATTCAATCGAACGTTTTCTATTCACACTACTAATTTCATCGCTTATGTTATTATATTCGGTTATAGTGTACTGATCAACTATGACAACATATAATGAACACAAAGTGTAGCAAAAAATCCAGCAGTTGCAGAATGCCGACCCAGCAGAATTCAGAATTCTGTAAACCTATAATATTTTTAAACGAATCAATGCTTATAGAATAGAATTCTATAGAATTCTATATTGACACGATTAAAGTATATCAATTTTGCTCTTCATATGATATTAGAATTCTATTGTAGGTTGTTTGAATTCTGCTTAGAATTCTATAGAATTCTAGAGTAATGGAATATGTTTTAGGTAAACAAATGCGTTGGATATGTTGTTCGCTTGGCGCAAATTTGGAGGATTAAAGTTGTTTTCATAAATTTTATGGATAGAGGATAAATTTTATACGAAATGAAGGGAATCTAAAACGTCTAGTTTAATTAAAAACATCGTCACTTCTAATTTATTTCAAACTTACTGATGTCTCTGGTAAACGTGAAATTTATACACAACAATGCTCTGCGCATGGCAGAACTTCGAATTCCAATCAACACAATGTTTAGTGAAGGACTGGTGAAAAATATGGAGGCGTGGCAGTCGTTACTACGAATGGATTCATTATCGTGTGCGATCGCTTTATTCAACATCGTAGCAACTACTCTTGAATTCAGTTCCGTATCGCGTTCTTCAGATGGACGACATCACATTCCATTAAATATTTACGACATGGTTATTACACGAAGCTGTTTGTAGATGATATTTTAATGTACTTTGTCCGAATATTTTTCATTTTAGCTTTCGGTAAAAGTGATATAATAAATCTCATCCGTAATGTGCTGCATTCGATATGCGTGGCTAATGATTAAAGTATGAACTTATGTTTGGATGAATTTACCAGAGCCGGACTCATGAATTGTTTGGATAAGAGTACGAAGATATTTATGACAGATGAAGCTGGTATGGCGTTTGTGGATGCTGGTTTATTTAGTAGTTTTCCTAAACCTTCAGCCGAAAATAATTGTAGATGTATGTTTTGCGTTGTTATAATGCTAAGCTTGATTATAAATAGATTGCTGTTTTAGCTTCAGTAATGATATTGTATGATCGTATGTTTTGTCTTTACGCGCGTCGATTAGCAAATAAGACAGTGGTTGTTGAAAAAAGCAAATAAAATCTTTTAGTAAATTGTTAATTTTAATTTGAGAATAATATAATTATAATTTCTTTCAAAAAATATAGGGTTTATCTACAGGCAAAGTAATGGGAACAATTGTTTCTCGTTTGAAATCAGGTGGGTCATGGGATCCTATAATAGGAAGGTTTTGTTGGTGGGTATTGGATGGTCCACCGATTATGGAAGAATTGATAGAGCCAGTTTTGGATTGCTCAAGGCATCGATTGAGCAGCTTGCTTTTGCTTGTAGTTTGATTAATAATTGTACGTTCAAATATGATGTTGATGCGTTATCACCCGTAGTCGTCTGGAGAAACTCAATGAAACAAAAAAGTATGTCATGATTTTGATCATAGATTTAGAAATTATATTGTATTGAATTATTATTTCTGCAGGCTATGACTATCGTCAAGATGTATTATTATCATCTTTATTAGGACAGTCAGTACAGCATGTCGATCGATTTGCTGCATTCATACAAACAATAGAATATGGATTGGATTTGTATGTGGAATATTCTGATCGTTTTGAACGATTTCCTTCATCAGGGAAAATTGGTCATGATTTTTCAGAACGTATTGAAGGAATATTTCAAGAATCCTTTCAGGAACAAACTAGAGTTGATAAACAGCTTCGTCAATTTTTTATCAGTGATCAACTTGATGTTCGGGCAATTGATCTAGTATCTGGCTTACTACAGCAAATGACAATACTATTGGACGCCACAAATGCACCAATATGGGCAGCTAGTCAAGCAAGACCGTTCATTGTATTACCGATCAATGATGACCGAAGTTTCGATACTGAAAAACATGAAAAAAAGAAAAAGAAGATCTTAGTATGTATGTTAACCACTTAAATATATTATCACTGTTTTATTTATAGCCCATTATGTATCTACTGAAAAGCGTCAACGTATTGCTATGGAAATTCTATTATTTCCATCTATATGTTTTACAGTAACTCAGTTACACACGAATTCATTATTGCGCAATGCAGCTTCATCAGAGATTCTTTGTGTCTTGGAGCATCTCATGAAATGTGACTTACTTGAATGTGTACATAAAGACGTTAAAACTAATCGATGGTTTACAAGCGTATATATAAAACAACTACCAAGTTGTGATCACGATGAGCAAGTGAATGCTGATTATAGATCAATATTCGATGAAAAATTAAAAGAGTTTAAATATTCTCATTCGGCATTTACACTTGACGAGTATTTAAAAAAATAGCATTATAAATGTTCATGCAACTGGTACTGTTACGGGTGAATTGACGTCAATTGAAAGACAACTTTCCAACTTATTGATAATATAAAAAGCTGTTTGTATAACTGCTTAAGTGCTTTTGTAAGATAAGCTATGTGTAGCTTTATTAAAAAGAAAAGAATGAAATTATAAAGATACGAAGCAACTTGTTCATTAAATAGCTTGTTTAATTCTACAATCCTGACTTTAGCGTGTACAAAATATTTCATTCTCAGTAATGCATGATATTGTTATATGTTTGATATAGATGCCAATGTAAATGTTTCTTCTTTTCTCTCGTTTCATGATGTAATTATGATCAACTATCTTTGATGTGTATCTATTTCTTCTCTAGACATGGATGATTAAAAAACGAAATCTAGAGATGAACAAACAATCATCATTATATCAACATCTTTTTACAAGCATACTTCTCAACAGTTGACTAAAATAAATCACACAAAATCTTTGATTTTTAAATAAGCATTTGAGCTTTGTATTATGCTACTACCGATAGAATTCTATTTTCCACTTATGGTAGTCCGTATGTTTATATTATGCTACTTTTTCGCTATGTACGAAATAAAAAAATTCTGAATTCTGCTGTTTAGGCATTCTGCAGGCCCTCAAAAAAATCACAAGGAAATAGAAAAATAAACATAAAACATCTCTATTTGTAATATTATGCAAGCATGATATTTCAAAGGTACATTATATAAGTCTCGATAAATAATCTAGATTATATTTTACATTGTGTGGAGAATTAGTCATTTAAATAATAGAAAAAGTTCTTTCAATGACAGCTCATTGAAACTTTGGTTCGAGCCACCGACGAATATTTTCAAGAGTATCTCTTGCTTCAGGAAAATAGTTAACAAAAAGAGGATGAACATGCATTAAATTTTGACCCATTTCTAATGTTATATCAACTTCTTCTGCACGTGCTTTATTAGCTACCCCTTTGGCATCGTCCTCCAAGATTTCGGCTGTGCCAGCTGTGATGTAAAGTGGTGGAAATCCTTTGAATGAACCAAATAGCGGACTGTATGATGGATCATCACGAAGTATTTGCTCATGATTCGGACCTAAAACTCGTTGTATACCCCATGCTAGGCTCTCGGCTCGAATCATCAAGTCAGTGAAACGATTACGGGTATAACTTTGACCAGACGCCGAAAAATCTGCCCATGGTGACATTGTAACAGCAGCACGAGGTATAGGTAATTGACGTGCAAGAAGAGCTTGAATTGTCAATAGTGTAAGACCACCACCAGCTGAATCTCCCATAATGGCTAGACGAGAAGCAGAAATGCCACCATGAAGAAGTGCACGATAAAGTGTTAGTGCATCGTCAACTGCTGCTGGCAATGGATGTTCAGGAACAAGACGGTACTCCAAATGAATTACAGTGACATTGAAAAGTCGAGATAAATGACATTCAAAACCACTATAGGCTATTAAACAAATACAAAATTTGTGTGTTAACATAGGACAGACAGAAATGATGTAGTAACTATTTTACATGATACTCCCTATTTTTCTTTTTCTCAACGAAGATATTCATTCTTACCTACCTTGTACATCACCAACTATGTAACCTCCACCATGCAGATAAATGATGATTCTATCAGCATTTAATTTTGGTTTAGCTCTTTCATGATGAATCCAATGTGCATCAACTGTGTGTCCTTCGTTTTCATATACATGTTTGTCCACGTGACATGAAGATGAGCGAGGAACAATTGTATCAAGTGGAAATGATGCACGTATATTTTTTGCTAGTTCCAGCGGATCTAGATTTGGATCAATTTGAAAAAGAGGTCGTCGTCGAAGCATACTTTCAAATGCTCGATATTCAGGACTCAACATAGGTCGATCTGTATCAGACACGAAAGTATTTTTAATTGATATTAAGGAGTGTAAAAAGCGTAGTCCCAAATATTTTGGATTTGTTGAATTATAATAAATCGGAATAACTATGGCTACCAACACAGCCAATATGGTTAGTTTTTTTATAATTGAAAAGAGGCTATTAAAAAATGCCATGCTTTTGAAATATGTGACAACACGCGTAAAGTTGCCTTTTGTGAATAAACACTTTTTTGATAAACGTAAGCGAAAGCAGAACTTTCAATGCGTATTTATTACGTTGGCATTTTTTTATCATACAACATCTAATCTCGGTAAAAACACCCTTATCTGAGTCGCTTTTTAACGATAAACAACGCTTGTTTTCATCAACATGCGGCTAAATTACAGCGCAACCAATTTGTTACTGAAATAATGAAGAATCTTCAATTCATCGGCTCTTATACTTTACGATAGGCAAATTCTATAGACGAGTGTAGACAAAGAGATACAGTTACATGGAATCTTTATTTTTATCGATTTCGATATTTTTTATATCTTTTTTTTTATTCTATTCAAAACTGAACTAATACATCTATTGGATGTAGATGCTAACCAACACAAAAATATTCAATAGAAGGACAAGATCAAAATTGCGTATTTATAACATTCTTGTTACGCAGATCGGCCAGCATGGAGTAGATTACTGAGCGTTGGTTCATTTATCGGGAGTTCAACCATTAATAAAGTCGTACAGAATTGTTGAGTCAAACATGGAAGTAAATGAGTTTCTCTTGATAGACGATCCCTTACCATTCCATAGCTCCATATGCCTGCTAGAATCGTGAAAATAATTGTAAATTGAATATTGCCAACTCTTTCCTATTGAAATAAAACCGTTTTCTGACACACAAAGAAGATACATTAATCAATGCAAGCTTTGATTTATGAGAACGTAGAGTGGGTTTCGATGTATGAATAATAGCTCTAAAGTAGCACTAGCAACCACATCTATAATCATTCATGGCTTAACTCAAAACCGAACATCATCAAATAATTAATAAGTTCATAATGATAGCTCATTCTAATTCTTGATAGATTTAATGCATACTATTATAAAGAACAAAATATAACACTCAAAACGATAATAACAGATAAACTATCTGAATGCTTTCGTTCACTTTGTCTTTTTAATCAACATTTCATCAATGCGAAATCATATAAGCTACGATAGAATAATCTAGATGATACTAGGGATGTTGGAACTTGCTTGTTTAACAACATTTGAATAGCCCCTTCTTCTGTTATCCTCTCATTTATTGATCTTTGCCTTTTTGAATTCGAAAAAAAAATAATATAATTTAGTCTCTTATGCCGGTATTATTTTATGCAGACATCAACGAGAAAAACACAACAAAACTCTTAAACGACTCGTGACGATTAGGGGTGGTCATTTAGTGTTACTTTACTAAATAAAGATAAATGATTCATTTATCTTTAGAAAATAAAGCAAAAATAAAGGAATAAATGATTTGTATTTTCAATCGATAATCAAGTGGAAAATATTCTAGAATTGTAGAACTCGCGTTTTGGGAATATTCTTATCATTGAATCGATGTCTTTTGACTGAAAACAGGGACCTCTGAAGTGAAATCAACTGATATTGCTTAATAGTATTTTGGGGATTTTAGTTAGAAAACCATATATTAAATTAAAACTAATATCATATTCTGAGTCAGCATTACAAACTGAACAAACCGATGTGACTTTCGAATATATTCTAGATAGTTATGATTTTTGGTCGAGGAACTCTGAGGGGGAATAGGGGGAGTTTTTTGATAGAATCATAACTATCTAGAATATATTCGAAAGTCACATCGGTTTGTTCAGTTTGTAATGNGGCCAAAAATCATAACTATCTAAAATATATTCGAAAGTCACATCGGTTTGTTCAGTTTGTAATGCTGATTCAGAATATGGTATTAATTTTAATTAAATCTATTTTTTTCTAACTAAAACCCCCAAAATACTATTAAGCAATATCAGTTGATTTCACTTCAGAGGTCCCTGTTTTCAGTCAAAAGACATCGATTCAATGATAGGAATATTCCCAAAACACGAGTTCTACAATTCTAGAATATTTTCGACTTGATTATCGCTTGAAAATAAAAATCATTTATTTCTTTATTTTTGCGTTATTTTATACAGATAAATGATTTCTTTATCTTTACTTTCTAAAATTAAATGATTCATTCATCTTTAGACAATAAAGTTTAATGATTGAAAAACAATTTATCATTTATCTTTATTTAGTAAAGTAACACTAAATGACCACCCCTAATTGTGAAAACAATTAATTTAAGTATGTTCGTAATGAAAACAACGACGCTGAAGTGGAAAATACTTGTCTGTTTCAACATAGAACATCTTGCTCTAGTAAGAACTAAAAGTTCCTCTAAACTTCATTTAAATCAAATTATACATTTAAGTTCCTAAAAATATTTTTCAGCGGTTTTTCAGATTATAGAAAGAAAACTATGATTTAATGCATAAAATAATTATTGCTTTAATCTTTTGATTGTCTAACAAAAGATTAGGCTCAAAAAAAAGATGAACAACTGGTTCATTCAAGCATATGTTTGAGTTTTGAGCAGACAATAAGAAATGAAAGGTACAAAAAAAGAGACAGAATGAACAAAGAACGAGAAAAAAATTGTCGACAATGCGTAGAAAACAAAGTGATATTGGTTTACTCTCCGGAGGTGTATATATATATATATAAACTTTCTGTTTGCTTGCTAGGTTTGATGTACGATGGGAAATATACATACAAAGAACGTAATCAAATGAAATAAGACAGATATTTATTCGCTTTTTTTTCGTTTCTTTTTTTAAACACGCAATGTAGATGAAATTATATCTTTCTGCTCTTTAGTGAGTGTATCAGGAAACTTAATGTCGAACTTTACAACAATATCTCCACGTTTAGTTGGTTGTTTTGGAAACGGTAAGCCATCGCCGGCGAGTCGTTTTTCTGTTGCTGGTTTAATAACTTCGTTTAATTGCAATTTACGTACACGAGATGGATCAAGTGTCGGCACGGTAATTGTTGTTCCACACAATGCCTGGAAAGATAAATAAATAGATAAATAAATAACCATTTGAATGGTTCTTTCATCGAGACTTTCATAGATATTTTTTAACTCAAGTAAACAACGGATTCCCCTTTTATGATTTCTCTCCGACAGATGTCAACAAATTTTTTCCATAACCTTAGTAAGATTAATATTCAAGAAAACATACTGGTTAATCTGTAGTTAATAGTTGCTCCGAAAATAGAAGACATCTTGTTTTGCAATTATTTGTGTAACTCAGGCAACGCTAATTAAAATAGCATTTCATATGAATTGTAATATCGCTTGTAGTTACTTTTAAACAATGGCATCTTGGAAATATTTGAGAGCTACTCATATTTAGATCCTCACTGATCAACAAAATTATGTCTATCCAGTATCATCAAATCTTGTTATTCACGATACAACAAACTAGTCATGATAAAATCTCTCATCTTGCATCATCATATGAATAACCCACAGATAGTATTTTTTAATGCTCACTGACAAAAAATCTATCCAGAATCGAATGAAAACAATCGTTTCTCTCTGTTCTCGACCTCAAAAACGTGTATACACTTGATTGCGTGTGTTTTTGGTTAAGTAATGTTCTCGTTCATTTTTTCTCTCTTGACGTTCTCAATATGATGTAATCATTTAAAAATAATAATGATTGATCGTCGACTTGTCTATATGAATTAAAACTTACATCTTTGAGATTAATTTTTGCTGTATGAAGAAGATCACTTCCATCGCGGCGAAATACTGGATGCACTTTATCTTTGATAATAAATACAATATCAGCTGGTATCGTTGATGGACTTTGGTCACCTTCACGTGGAAATGTTATTTTAGTTCCTTGCTTCCATCCAGGTTTTATTTCAATGGTTAATACTTTATCTTCCATGCGAGTTGTACGATTGTCTGGATTTAGAACTTTTCTTGAGATTTTCATTTTTTTTGTTGTGCCAGATGCTATTTCTTCTAATGATACAAATAGTTCGTGTTCAACAGGTGGATCTTGCGTTTTTTTTCGTGTCATTTGACTATGTGCACCACCGCGACCACCCATACCAGGACCTCCGAAATGAAATCCGCCAAGACCTGGGAATCCACCGAAACCAGCAGCTCCTGGCCCATCTTCTTCCTCACCTTCACCACCAAAGAACATTGCAAATGGATCAGCACCATTCTATGAGAAAAAATTTTAATGCAAATTTCAAATGAAATCCGTTGTTTTCTTTTGTTCGTACAAAAAACATGCGAAATGTCTGATGAGGATCAATATTAGAATAGTACTGTTGTTGTCCTGCTCCACCGGGACCACCGCCACCACCACCACCACCGGCTTTCAAGCCTATGGGAAAGAAAAACGTTCAGGTGAAATATTCTGCATGTTGAATATCATACCTTCTTCACCGTATTTTTCATAAATTTCTTTCTTTTTTGGATCGGATAAAATTTCATATGCTTCAGCAACTTCTTTAAATTTCTCTTCGGCTCCAGCTTCTTTATTTTTATCTGGGTGGTATTTCAAAGCTCTAAATTAATCTTTTTAATCGTTTCAATTGTTTGAATTTCTACTTTGACTTACAGTTTTCGGTAAGCTTTTTTAATATCATCATCGCTGGCACCTTTGCTCAGACCTTAAATATAAAAAGAAAAACGAAATTAAAACTTAGGGAAAATGAAATTTTCAAAAAATTTACTCACCTAAGATTTTGTAAAAATCTTTGCCCATATTTAAATCTTTTTAATAATAATTATATATATATGTATATATATATATATTTATATATGTATAAATAAGAGTGTTTATATGTCGAGCAAAAGTCAAATCTATAAGATATTAATATAGGTTTACTCATAAGCATGAATAATATGTTTATTTTTATGTTCTTCTTTTCTGCTCAGAACTTTGATAAACTGTAGTACCTACTTTAAAAGACGTAATTCATTCAATTTTTTTCTTTCTCGGTCTCTGCATTGTTTGCAACCATTACGTATGAACTACAACGACAATAACAAGTAGAACATGTGTGGTCTTTCTTCTACTAGAATACACTATTTTTGTCGTTCTTTCGAAAGAACGAAAGAAAAATTTCTATTGAAGAAGATACTCGAACAATCGAGAATAGCAGCGAAGCTTCCTAGTTGCAAAACAACAGCCATATGATGTACGCGTGTTGCTATTATTTTAAACGAACAGAAAGGAAAAATGTTGAGATTAGTTTGTTTAATTGCCAATCCGAAGAGGAAGTCGCTACAATCCGACTCATTTTTAACTGATATCACCACCGGCACTCGTATGAGAACTGCAACTGCTCTATTTCTAAATAAAAGTGAACGACTCGCAGATAATATTTAAGGTAGCATCAAACTTCAACGATCGTTTGGTAAATATTCAGGGTCATGAATATTTGTTTTTACTAGCTTAATCCATTGGCCATTTCGAACGAATATATCAATAAAAGACAATATTTGACAAGACTCAGATTTATCAACAAGATACTCATTTATACGAGTACTATAATACATCATAGGAGATTGTGATTATTATACGCTCAATCAAAATCTCATGAAAAAAAATTTAATGTTTCTCTATGGTTGAGAGCTTATATCAAAGCTATACATCAGTTCATTGAAATATAAAAATCAGTATTTTAGGATTTATACAATGTTTTTCTTACAAAGAATTTCACGGTATGAACAATTTAACAAAGCAGAAAACTAACCGTTTGAATTAAATACTAATTGATAAAAGATAGATTTTCATTTTATCATGATAACAAAATCTTAATTTGATCTGTTGCGAATGACCGCAAAAAGTTATATCCTTAAAGTAAATACTTTTGAGCGAAACTTTTGTAGTAATACTTGTCGGATAATATTCCCGAAAGTTAATATGATTTTCATTTGGAACTTGATTAAACTACTAGACCTTAGTGAACTATTTGCCTAAGATGAGCAAAGTTTCTGCTTGCGACCTGCTTCTAACCAACATTGCTAACAAATCTCCAATTTTAGTGTAAATGTGTGTTATTGAATATTTCAAATTAAAAATTTTAACCAAATCAAACTCATCTTATTTACGAAAAAAAATGAATGAACAAATCTCTTCAAAATATTCAACTGAAAATTTCTGACGCTTTTCTACGCGCAAGTCTAATTGAAGCTCGAACTTCGACAATGATTGAATAAAATCTACAAAATGCCCTTAGTCTAACTTCAAAATCACACAGTTATCTGGAGAGTTTATCAAAGTTTGTGTTTCTCAATCAAAATATAAGTTCTACTGCCAACAATAATTAAGATCTCACCAGTTCTGGATCCAAGGATGTTTCATGTTGCTATAATGCTTTTCTGTTAGTCAACCTAATAGTAGTAGAGAAATCTTTATGATATTTTACTCTTTGTCTGTATAATCGATTATTCAGAATTCCAACATTCGTAGAAACTGTTTAAGATCGTGAGAGAGAACCTTTCTCTTAGGACTTATAATTGTCTAAATGATCTAGATCAAATCTTTTCTTTGAATGTTAATAAGATCTTAAAATTCCGTGATTATTCTTTCTTTTCAATTTACGGTTTATTTTTGCAGAAAAAGAGCAAGCAATGAAGCACCTTGTTCACTAGAGAAACTATGACGCTATAATTTTGCGTTTCTTAACTTTAATCTTTCGATCGGTGAGATCAAAAATAGTATAGAATAAGAGTGAACAGAAAAAAACTTATGAGAAGGAGATTGTATTATGATGAACATATGATACGAGTTTCTTTCTGTAACGTGTGCTAGTTCATTGCATGATAATGTAGCAGTATTTCAACCATGGGTTTGAATCTAATAGACATTTAACGTAAGAGCTATAAAATCATAAAAATTTCAATGAATCTTGACAATTAGCTCATACATATAGTATAATGAGTAAATTGACTTTTATTCTACAGATAGACGTTAATGGAAAATATTTAAAGGGAAATTATCTGTGGATAGAATGAAAGAAGACATTCTCTTAGTTATCGGCTAAGGAGACGAACTATTTCATCTCTAGCGTCTAATTCTACGGTCCCAGGAGATTCAATCCGACCAGTGGATCTGATCGTTTCCGGCATCGGATCGTATGGATTCCGTTGCTTTTCGGTCGGCACCGATCAGTTTCGACGGATTCCGACGTACCCTGATTCTCCTGGGCGTTTTGGGCGCCATCTATATTTATAGTCTTAGAATAATGCATTCGAAACATAGCGATTATACATTAGATTATTGGAAGAGATTTGAATATTCTTTCACTTCAATTTTGTCAAATATATCTAATCAGTTTATCTACAAATTCCAACACCATCATATTTCTTATTGGTTATTTCTATAAATCTGATCATGTCGTCGTCGTCATCATAGATATCTGTTTGGATCCATTCACCATTCGTATTCTACTCGGTAGTTAGTCCTTCATCAATCGTCAGATTTTCTTCGAATGCTGACTACCGTTTTATGTCCACGATGTGTACGGTGTATTAATCATTTTCCGATTTCTATTTTGCAAATTCGTTCTGTTTCAACAGCAAACGAGACTTCACAATCATCATTAGAGGACGATAACGATACAAATAGAAATATCTCACGTTTACCAGATGATGTTTATCGGCAATTTAAAGGTAAGAATATCAACAAAAAAGTGTTACTTGTACATCTACCTATTTATAGGATAGGTTTACCACCTATTGATGTCAGAGAACAATATCATACTCGAACAAAATTACGGACACTCTGGGGTAAATATGGTCGAAAAACCGGTATAGATCCAAAACTTTGTTGGCCAACCCAAGATGAAATGGATGAGACCATTGATGACGAACGTGTATACAATATGGAATTGAGTGAAAAATTAAAAATAGTCCAAGAACGACGCGAAGCCAAACAAAAAGAATTCGATCAAATGTGAGATTAAAACAAATATTCCTATTAACGTTCTTATTATTTTGTTGTTTGTTTTTTCTCTGTTCTAGTCAAGCTAAAGTCGAAAAAAATCTCAAAACTATGCCAAAGATGATAGATGATTATCGTAAACGTAAAAGTGAACGTGAACGTGCACAAAACGCTGAAATTAAAGTTAAAAGTGATTTAGCTGAACAAGCTCGTGATTTCTATGGATTTTCAGTGGATCCAGATGACGAACGTATGCAGTTTATGTTATTACAATTAGAAGAAGCACAAAAAGCGGAAGATAAGAAAGCACGTAAAGCAGCTAAGAAATTAGAAGCACATCAACAATTACAAAAATTAATGGGTATGGGATCAACAGCAGAGAGTACAAACGAAGCTGATGCCGCAGCACCAGTAAACGTTGACCCTCTAGCAGCAATACCCGAAGCAAAAGAGAAAGAAACCGATATGAAACTATTTGCTAAACTTGTTTCTGAACGTAGTAAATTAGCGAAAGCAGCATCGAAAATAGCTGAAGAACAAGCAGCTGTTCAGTTGAAAGGACAAAAGAAAAAATGATAGAAAAAATTTGTATTTAAAAATGTTTAGATTTGTTGGTTTTTCAGATATCATTAATCTCTCTATTACAATCATTATATCACCAATAGGAAACAGTAATTTTAGTTCATAAACTCAAAAATAGTCATGCCTGTGATTAATCAATAAATATTATTCATGCAATAGTGGTGGCTGTAGTCTCAGTAGGTAAGTTTTAATCAATGAGTTTCCGTTTTGTTTTCATCTGTGGATTTTAGTCCATTAAGAACTTCTTGCTCATAATGAATATCGAAAGCCAATTATCGAAAAGAAGAAGTTACATGTCGTTTTATTAAATAAACAAAATGAAAGAACTAAAAAAAAAACTTTTTGAATTTTATTTCTATTAGTAGTGAACAAATTATATGATTATTTCAATGCTAAAAACAATCCTGTCAACTATGGGAATAAAGCACAACTGTGCTTTTATCTTGATAGTACAGAGAACGTAGCATTGTAAAACCACTATAAAAAATAAACCGAATAATTTCGATCGAAAAAGATAACCTTCGAATAATTTGAACAATTTGAAAGAAATATTCCGTTTTCCTAGAAACATTCTCAGACAGTGTAAAAAGAACCAGTTTATCTTTATTTTTTGTTTAGGTAATGATTCAACAGTAAATTTAAACGAATAAAAGAAAACTAAAGATATGAATGAAGTGGATATTATTCCTGAACAAAATCCACTTGAAATATCTCGAACAAATCAATATACAATCAATGACGATAGTAATGATCTCTTACCAACTTATATACCACGATTAGCTGAACCAATCATTATACGTGGTGCTGGTCATGTCACTGTATTCGCCTTAAATAATAAATTCGATGAAGAATATCCACAAGCTTTAACACATAAAGTTTCACGCGACGAATATCAAGAAACAATTAAACGAGTCAATTTAATTCTACGTAAAAATGTTCCAATTAATTTTAAATGGTAAAACTTTTTTTCTTTTTCTTAGAAAATTTTCTTTACAATTCATTTCTTACAGGTTACTTTGTGGTTGTATATGTTGTTGTTGTACAATAGGACTCTCCCTGTGTCCTGTCTTATGTTTGAACAAGCGGTCAAAAGATGCTGTAAGTAAAGTTCTTGATTGGGAGAACGCACGTTTGTATCATAAACTTGGTTTGCATTGGCAATTAACGAAACAAAAATGTCCAAACAATGCTGTACAAGAATATGTTCTCATGATTGAATTTCGCCCACCTTTATCTCTATCGCATCCGGATTAAATTATTTTTTTTTGTTTTTTTTATTATTATTGTATTTGTATAGTGTACAAAAAAAACCTATGAAAAGCGAAAAAAACATTTTTGTCCTAAATATCTGAACAAAAATTATATATTTTAGATTATCAGCTTGTCATTTACTGTGTTTTACTTGAAAAAAGAAGAGAATCGCAATGACCAATCAACAATCATTAACAGCAGTACATCATGCTATTGTTAAATCAATCTTTTCTGGCGATACACTTGTTATTAAACAATTAACACGTTCACCTGCGAATGAAACTGAACAACGAATTTCTTTAAATTATATAACAGCACCAAAATTAGCACGTCCACCAATAGACAATGGTGCCGTTGGATCATCTGTTGACGAACCATATGCGTTTGAAACTCGAGAATTTTTACGTAAGAAATTAGTTGGTCGAGAAATATGTTATACAGTCGATTTTCAAATACCACAAAGTAATCGTTCGATGTGCACAGTTTATCTAGGAAAAGATAAAGAAACAGGTGAAAATATCATTGAATCCCTACTATCGGAAGGTCTTGTTGACTTACGACAACAAACTGGTCAACGTGCAGCCGATCCTAAATATCAACGCTTAGTGATTATTGATGAACAAGCAAAAGCTAACAAACGTGGACGATATTCAGATCACGTAGCTGATGCTCACGTACGAAATATAAAATGGACATTAGACAATCCAAAACAATTTGTTGACGAACTCAAATCACAACCACCAATGGATGCTATTGTAGAATTCGTACGTGATGGAAACACAGTACGATGTCTTCTTATGCCATCGTATCATTTGGTAACTGTACAATTAACTGGTATTAAATGTCCTATGCTAAAACGTGAAGGTAGTTCAAATGAAACTAATGAACCATTTGCTGAAGAAGCTAAACAATTTGTTGATACACGTTTATTACAACGTCAAGTTAAAGTTATTTTAGATGGAGTTAATAATCAAAATTTAGTTGGAACATTATTACATCCCAATGGTAATATTGCATTACATTTATTAAAAGAAGGTTTAGCTAAATGTGTCGATTGGAGTTTAACTTTATTACAACCAGGATGGAGAGAAAAATATCGTGCTACAGAAAAATATGCTAAAGATAGCCGATTAAGAATATGGAAAAATTATGTTCCACAAACAGGTTACGGAGATAATGAAAATAATGCAAGTAATGATATGGGTGCAACTGCTAGCAATGGAAAATCGAATGATCCATCGTTAAAAGGCTATCAGGTAAATTTGATAAGTAGTAGTTTTTTATCTTTTGAAATTTTCTCTTCAGGCTAAAGTATTGGAAGTTATGAATGGTGATGCTTTAACTATACGTGATTTACGTGATAATAAAATTCGAAAAGTCTATCTTTCATCAGTACGTGCACCACGTGCTGCTGATCTTCAGCAAAAAAATGATGAAAACAATCCAAGTGGCACTCGTCAACAAATCAAACGACCACTTTATGAAATTCCATATCTATTTGAAGCACGTGAATTATTACGTAAACGTTTAGTTGGCAAAGCTGTACGTGTTGTTACTGATTATGTTCAACCGGCAAGTGATGATTATCCGGAAAAAATTTGTTGTACTGTTTATGCTGGTAATGTTAATCTTGGTGAAGCTTTAATTTCAAAAGGTTTAGCCAAAGCTGTACGACATCGACAAGATGATGAAAAGCGATCATCTCATTATGGTGAATAATCTTCCTATGTATATCGATATGATTATATTTTTTCTTTTCTATTTATTAGATGATCTTCTTACTGCTGAACAACAAGCAGAAAAACGTGGTGTTGGAATATTTTCAAATGGTGGTGGTCTTCAACGTATTGTTGATATGACTGGTGAATCGAATAAAGAACGAGCTAAAGGTCTATTAAGTGTTCTTCAACGTAACGGTCGTATGGAAGGTGTTGTTGAATTTGTTGCCAGTGGATCTCGTTTTCGAGTACATCTACTAAAGGATAATTGGATTGTTTCGTTTTTGTTATCATCAATCAATTGTCCACGTGCTGAAAGACGTGTACCTGTCGGTGGAAATCCTCAACAAACAAAAGTTGAAGCAGGTGAACCTTTCGGCGCCGAAGCTTTGACATATTCAAAAGAACATTTTCTACAACGGTAAACCGAAAATTCTAATCAATCGAAAGCATATTCATCTTTTCGATTCATAGTCAATAGTAATTATATAACTGTGTTTATTTTCATTTCTAGTGATGTTTTTGTTGAAGTCGAAAGTATGGATCGTGGTGGTAATTTTATTGGTCGTTTAACAACTGTTGATGGGAATTCAGCGTCATTTATGCTTGTTCAAGCCGGTCTTGCTAAAGTTCATGAATCAGCATACGGGGCACCAAATTATAAACAATTAATAGAAGCTGAAGAAAAATGTCGTAAAGAACGTATCGGCGTTTGGACTAATTATGAAGAACCAACTGCTAAAGATGAAGAGGAAAATGAAACTGAAAATGTTCCTGAAGGTAACTTTTCTTTAAACTAATTAATGTTTTTATTTTTAATTCTTTTTAATTTGTAGTAGAAGAGCCTGTGTTAGGAGCAGGTGTAATCAACTTTAATGATTCACGCTTTCGTCGCGTTGTTGTTACTTATGTAACACCAGAGTTAAAAGTTTACGTTCAATATGCTGAACAAGGAGCTAAAGTTGAACAATTACAAACTGATTTACGTGAAATATTCAGTCAAACAAAACCGGTCGGAGGACATTCACCGAAAAAAGGCGAATTATTAGCTGCACGTTTTACAGCTGATAATGAATGGTATCGTGCTCGGGTTGAAAAAATCGAAGGAAATAATCGTATATCGGTTTATTTTATTGATTATGGTAATCGAGAATTAATTACTGATTTAAGTCGTCTTACACAATTACCACCAGGTATGTATTTTTCTCATTAAATATTCATCATAGAGAGAAAATCAAACGGTTCGATTTTACTCGATAGATAAGAAGCATATAACGAAGTAAAAGAATAATTGAATTAAAAAAAAATCTACTAAACCAATAATTACTTTCCAGTGTATATAGATTGGAGTTACTGATAGACGAAAGAGAGATTGTAAAATATTTCGCGAGATAGCTAATATTGATCTCACGCCACAAGATATTAATTTATCATGAAGCTTCAAATAATTTAATAAATTTCCCAGTGGACTTTTATTTCAACCTCACTACTCCGATTGATCTCTATCAGAACGATTCTAGCTAACTTCAGTCAACATGTATCTATACTCAGAGTAAACAATGATGACAACAAGTTGACCTTGACATGTTCATAAATTGTAGCAGGTCATAGGATAGTAGTACACCAGAATCACTGATATAATTATACTCTATTTATCTTTTGTTGTATTTTGAAAATGTTTTAAAATATATATTCTTATTTATAGGTTTTTCACAATTACCAGGTCAAGCACATGAATGCGATTTAGCTTATGTTCGAGCCCCACCCGATGAAGATGATCGTCAATTCGCTAAAAATGCATTACTCGAAGATATAGACAACCAAGAATGTATAATCAAAGTTGAATATCGCCAAAATAATTCTGAACATGTATCACTCTATCGTGCTATTACAAAAGAAAACCTCGTGAAAACTCTAGTTGATCAAGGTCTTATTGTTGTTATTCAAGGTCGTGGTAATCGTCAATTACGTTTAACACCTTTATATGATGAATTGCTTCAAGCACAAGCAAAAGCAAAATCTTCACGTATTGGCCTCTGGCAATATTCGGACCAAATTGAAGACGATGCAACTGAATTCGGTTTCAGTGGACGTAAATAAACAAAAGATTGAATTCGATTGATTTACAAATATTAACCATCAATTTTAGCGTTATTTCTTTTGTTTTTACAAGATTTTCCATTGTTTTTCTTTTCTCGTTTTCTTTTTTCTTTTCTGTTTGGCAATATATATACACACATACATACATATGGCTATAAATTTATTTATTTATTTATTGTTTTTGTTTGTTCATGGAATGCTTTAGAGAATATCCAGCAAATAACTTTGATCATCTTGTTATCGTTAATTGTTTTACTTCTTTCTTTCTTTTTAACCGTCATGGGAATTTTTATTGTTTGTTGTGTGTATATGTATGAAAAACAGTCCTTTTTTGTTTTTGAAAGATTATTAAAAAGAAACTATTGATAAAGAATTTATTATACTCTTCGTCTAGTGATTAATACGGTTTATTGACACAAAATAAAAGAAAGATACGCCTCACTTATTGGTCCTTCAATGAAATAATAAAAGCAGACATGCACATAACCAGTCTCAAGGCCTAATCGGATTTCTCTTGTTCTTATGCTATGATCATTAGTTATTCTAATATAAGTAATTCCTTTCGATTTATCAACAACACAAAAATTTCTGTATTATGAAATTTTAAACAAGAGAAAATGCTTCATATCTACTCTTATACTTTACGATCTGTCATATGTAATCATTTTTTCTACTTTTATATCTTGATTTTTTTTCTTATTATATATGTTCATTTCGGTCGATGATTTCATCCCTCTCTCACTCATTACATATACTTCATAACTGTGTGTTCGGTCTTCCCCCGTTCACATTTTATATTATCTTGATGTATCTATGAATGGCGATGAGGCGTGCACGGAGTTACTCGCATACTATTTCTAATCGAACTAGTGTCAAACAGGGACATAAAACGAACGAGAAACGAAGAGAAACAAATAAAAAGAAGGACTCGATATACGCACACCTTTTCATCGCTCATTTATTTCGTCCAATTTTTTTTCTATTGCTCATTCGATCATTAAACATTCAATCATATCTATATATATATATATATATATATTTATATTTATATTTAAAAAAGAAAAATGTTCAACGCAACTCAAACATCAACTGGAGGAGCAGTAAATTTTAACCAGGCTTTAGCACACGAAGCACGTCTTAATCGTATTCATCGTTTATTTAAAACACATTTCAATGTGACTGAACCATCAATTGTACTTGAACCTTATTTATTTCTTGGTAATTGTATTTCAGCACACGATGTTCATCGTTTATCAAGACTAGGTATTCGTTATGTTTTGAATGTGGCAAAACGAGATGTTGAAGTATGTCCATATTATTCCAAAGATATGCGTACGTTGACCATTGATCTTCGAGATGATGACCGAGAAAATATTGTACGTGCATTTGATCAAACATTCGCATTTATTGATGAAGCTAGACGTGCCAAATCTCGTGTACTCGTACATTGCAGTCATGGACAAAGGTGAGCTAATAGATTGTTTACTTTTTGTTTAAATGAAAGGAAAAACAAGCAATGAAGATTTTTCTGAATATTTTTCTATAGTCGATCACCTGCTATTGTCATTGGTTATCTTATGCGTACATATAATATTTCATTAGAACAATGTCTTGTTCATGTTGTTAAAGCTCGTCCTTGTGTTATACCTAATGATGGTTTTCTAAAACAATTGATTCTTTTCGATCGTTTTCTTGTCGAAAAACGTCGACACCAACAAGAAGCAGCTCTTATGCAAGCGGTTAAAAATGCACCAGTAACTGAAATTCCAATTCAACACTATGCACCTGTTGCTTCTCAATATGTACAAACATTAACTCCAACAAAATCGAATCCATCGCCATCTTCGATTTCTAATGTTGCTACTATATCGTCGGTAAATTCATCAAGTATGGCATCATCATCAAGCATGAATCTATCGTCAACGACAAGTATGGCTTTATCATCATCATCAAGTTTAGATTTATCATCAACATCAAGTATGCCATCATCAGAAAGTACTGCTTCAGTACGGGTCATTCCAATTCAAGTTGCATCCAAAGCATCTAGTCCAGAAAAGGTACACCATGCGTCATTTATTTTTTTATCCTACCTACTAAACCATTTTACTTCTGATTTCTAAAGTCTGAACCAACTTCACTTAAGCAAATTTCAACTGATGACGACGCTAGTGCAGATGAAATAAATGTCAATGATGGCCCATCAAAAGAAAAACCTATCGCAATTGAACAACCTTATGTATCAACTACAAACCGACAAAACAAATTAACGCCACATAATGTATTAGTATTTCAGGAGCGATCAAGTGCGGAACAGATAAACGAGATTCAACAATTCTCACATCACTTACCACGATCTACAGTAGATCATCATGATTATTCATATGGCAATCATCACCATAATCATAATCATAATCATCATCATCCCGCTACTCTTACTCAAGACCAATGGGATTTTATTAATAATATACCTAGCAATTATAAAGGCACCACTGAACATGCAAAACCGAAATATATTACTGAAATTTATGATCGAGCAACAAATCGATTTATTCCAACGACATGCTGTTATTAAGAACATTCCGTTTCTTTTTAATTCAATTCTTTTATGTGTGTGCTTGTATATCAATATTTATTAGCATAAACTAACGCATAGAGTTTATTCTCAAAAGCAAAAAGAAAGAAAACAAATTTTTATATTTTTCTTCGATCAAAATGAAAACTAATATGAGGACGGTTATTAATATTGTACGTCCTTCGTTTGTTCATATGGTTTTGACGCATGATAGAGATTAATGTCCAGGCATATGCATTTGCGATAGAATATCAAAATAATTAGGTTCTATATTGATAAAGAAAAATAATCGAAATGAAAAACTAATTTCATTTTAAAAAGATATATCAAAACTAACCTTGTTCAGGCGTGATAAAACCATGACGAATAAGAAAATCAAGTACAGCTATAGCACAATTAGGTTTGAAATTATCTTCAATGATAGCTTGCTTCACCTGTTAATATATCAACTAATAAAACGAATTAAATTTAATATGAAATTTTTACTTGGGGTATTGTCCATAGATAAAATTTTTCCATTTCACAATCGCTATTATTAGGTGTAAAGGTAGTTGGTAATTGAATGTCATAAAGAAATTCACCCTAGAATATCAAGGGAATAAATTGATTATATCTTGATTGTTTTTAACACACGTACCTCGGGATGTATACCATCATCGTCTTCGTAAGTATAACTATATGAGAATGAATCAAAGATTAATGCACAAATAGAACTGTTTAAATTATGGGAAAAAATAAAATTTTCAGATTGATTTATTGAACATGTTTTTCAAATAATATTTTATTTTTGTCGCTCTCAGTCGATTTCTCATATGTACATGTTTTCTAGACCTTCATCGCCAATCATAGAGATAAAAATAGATAAAGCCATTAGTGTATAAAACACAAATACTTAGCATTTGTATTATGTTTTTCTGTTTATGTTTTGCATCAACAATGATTTAATCGATGTACACCGTAAAGCTAATATTGGTTGTCTTAAATACTCTCTATCATAAGATTACTTGAATTACAACTAATCCAACAATGGAGGTGTTTGTATTGTAAGTTGACAAGACTAGATATTTTTACATCAAAAGAAAGCTCTCACCGCCAAATTAACAAGGTTAAAATATTAGCTCCCCTTGGCTTGTCTCGGGGGAAATATTCGATTTTTCAGTGAATTTTCTCTACAGGGCCGGCTTTCCCAGCAATATCATATTTTCGAATTTGAACCTGAAACTTTGTTTGCATGAAGGCATCAAGGAGACTAGCTTATAGAAAAAAAATTCAAAAGTTCTGGGCAAACCCTCTTTGAGACAGCAGTGTTCAGACTTCCAAAAAAGGAAATTTCGGAAGCGTTGGAAATTTCAAGTACTTGTGTTCTAAATTGTTTGGTATTTCCCAAAATTATACAATTTCCGAAATTTCTGAAATTTCCAAAATTCTGTACAAAGCGAAATTTCAGAAATTACAGAAGATTCCGAAATTTCTAAACTTTCAAATATTTTCAAAAAATTTTCATTTGCTTTGCTATGTAGTAATCGAGTTGATGGAAGCTTCGGAAATTTCTGTAATTTCCTTTTTCGGAAATCTGAACATACCTCCTTTGAGATATGAATCTCTCAAAAAATAGACGATTTTTTATACAAGCTGTTTGCTTGAGACATCTATATGTCGAAGAGAGTTTTCCAAAACTTCTGAATCTTTTTTTGTATAAGCTAGTCTCCTTGAAACCTTCATGCATACAAAGTTTCAGGTTCAAATTCGAAAATATGATATTGCTGGGAAAGCCGGCCCTGTAGAGAAAATTCACTGAAAAATCGAATATTTCCCCCGAGACAAGCCAAGGGGAGCTAATATTTTAACCTTGTTAATTTGGCGATGAGAGCTTTCTTTTGATGTAAAAATATCTAGTCTTGTCAACTTACAATACAAACACCTCCATTGTAAGTAAGTAATTAATATTATATATTATGATTGCAAAAAAAAACACATATGCTATTGATAATTTTAAATGATATGACATTTATAGCTTGTCAAACTATGCTGAATACGGAAATCAAAACAAGAATGTAATTGGTCGATACTTCCTGAGAAATTGATGAAATACACTTGACTAAAAACATTGTTCAAACAGCATCGAAATAAACGAATGCACATCATATTTACAATCCATAATGTAGTCCATAAATGTGAGAACGATTTTATGGGGCGACTGTCCTTCAATAAGAAATTAGTTATAATTTTTCTTATGCATACCTAACGGCTCCCACCACTTTTAATTTCTCAAGTGCTAATTCTTTAGGAATTGTAGCTTCTTCTTCACATTCTTTGGCCATACACTCAGTTGGTGTCAAATCATGATTCATGCCACCTGCAGCCTTAGAAAATTGAATGAAGTAAAAAATGCATTGCATATTTAAATGGTTAGGCGCATTGTTTAAGATTTCGTTTCTTACCATATTATCATACATGCCAGGAAAAGTTTGTTTTGTTGCTGATCGTTTTCCAATCCACATGTGCCATGTGCCATTTTCATCAATAACATATCCATTGACATGTGAACCATATTTTCGTATACCAAATATACCTAATCAGAAAGATTTGTTCTATTAATTAAATATCTAAAGTTTTCTTTTATTTCCACACTTGTAGCAGCTCGTTCGATTTTAAACAACGGTGGTTGGCTATAAGCTGATTTTACTAGATACAACTGAGTATCAAAAAGAAAATAATACAAATTCGTTTTTAATTCTCGATCATTACTATATCATTCATACATACTTCATCTCGCCAACCTCGTAATGTTTTTAGACAATCTCGTGCACGCATATCATTTACAACTTGAGCAACAGCTTCTGAACGACTTTCATTAGTATTTAAATGCTCAGCTAATGTAAACCTGGAAAAAAGCTTTTTTTAGTTGTTGAAATTTCATTATACTTCTTCATATACCGATCTGAATGTTCAACGAAAACATTTGGATATCGGCGGAGTTGCTCTGCAGCATCTTCACGAATCCATCCGATCTGTTGGTCATTGCAAACAAACAATTTACATTTTGATTTGCTTGAATCTATTTAGCAGAACTGCTATTCGAGCAAGTATAAGAAAGAAGATCAAAACCTGGTTGATGAAATGAATTAACACGTGCTAGAAGTCGCTTAGCACCCAATGACCATATTTCAGACATCTGAAAGACAAGTAAGGTTATTTTGCTTTTTTGAACACTTCTCAATTGATAGTCAAGGTTAAGATTGATTCTTGATGGAAAGAATTCATTTGAGATTAAGGATTTGATGCATTTAGAGAAGTTTCCTGTGAAGATGTTGCAAAAAAATTCTGTACATTTCTACGGATTAAATTTTGCTGATAGTCAATAATTTTTATTTACTCTAAAAAAATTATTATTCGACAAATTATATCATGAGAAGATGTCGAAGAAAAATCTTATTTCACAAAATCCAAAAGTCATAAACGAATATTTCTGTCATCTTGATTTTGGTGTAACTAGTTGTCAAACATACTGCTTGAATAATTATATTTTAATGATATCAATAGAGTAAATATATATTCGAATTTCATAAGGGTCGACACATTACAATTATTCACAAAAATATAAAATTAAATAGGTTATATATTTAATGTAATTTTGATTCGTAACTACTTTTATAGGTTTTTTTGCTTTTTTGCTTTCGCCATGGACAACAACAAATCGACGGCGTGTCTGTCCATGCGCGCAAAACAAAACTATTCTATTAGAACCGTTGCCGTCCAGGAGATTCAATCCGACCAGTGGATTCGATCGTTTTCGGCATCGGATCCTATGGATTCCGTTGCTTTTCGGTCGGCCCCATTGAATTCCGACGATTCCCTAACGAACGGGTACCGGTCCGGTTTCCGCCGGAAAAATTCCGTTAAGTTTCGCAAAATTTTGACCCGGAATTCGTCGGAAATCGACGAAATCGATGAGAATTGATCGGAAATGGTCCGTCAAAATCTGGACCGGAATCCGTTAGTTAGGAAATCATCGGAATTCAACGGAACCGATCGGTTCCGACCGATTCCGATGTACCCTGATTCTCCTGGGCGGTTCCTGCTTCTAATGTGTATAAAAAGAATATTTCGATGATAGTTTTTTTTTAATATTAAGGAAGAGTCTAAAACCAACTAGAAAAATATTTCTCATATCTATTGTGCGTTGTAAAATATATTTTATTTTTTCATTTAAAAAAATACTTGAAAACAAATTCCCATTATGTATTATACACTAACAATTAGTAACTTCTCGTTGAGTTTTTTTTTCTTGAAAAAAAACCAGTAAAAATGCCTTCAAGAGCAGATTCTCTTATTAATAAAAAGGAAGAAGAAAACTCGTATCTAATTTCATTCATACGTAATTCCATTCGTCACTCTCTACAATTGTTTTACTTCATTATCATACAGTCGCACAGCAAAATTAGCTGGGAAAATTCCAATAGCACCATTCGATTTCTCAGCATATTCCCAGCCCTTATCGCGTTCATTGTCGTCTTCATTTTGAAAAGAAATAATCGATATGTATTCATCTTTAACTAAATCGAGTTCATCTTCATTTTCAGCTTCATAATCGTGAATAACACGTGCTTGATGTAAAACTCTATATCCTATCGGTCTAGATGGTGATTCTGACGCAGCCGAAGGTGTTTTCTTGCGGGAGTCTTCAGTCGATGATAATGATGATGATTGCATTTCTTTGTCATGATTATTTTCATTGTAATCTGAATTTGTTGAGAACTTTGCTGGACGTCTTCCAGCAAAAGCTGAGCATATTTTATAGTAAGCGTGGTAAAATTTACTATGCATGCCAACTACTTCTATTGTGGTCTGTACATAATAATCTTGCACATCGGCATGAAATTTTGCTAAATTATCGCGCAATTTTTCATTAACTAGACTTAATGCAGATTTCAATTGATCCAAGTCAGTTTTTAAACGATCGACTTTAATTTGTTGGTCACGTTTCATACTGGCATGATAGTGTCTACGTGTTTTATCATAATCAGCTTGTAAATGAGTTTGTTCATCAATACGACCTTTCATGTTATCAAATTTGTCGAACAATAAATTAATACTCGAATGCATTTGTTTGTTGAAACTTTGTAAATTTTCACCACGAACCCGTGCTAAATCAATGCATAATCTATCAACTGTTTGTGTTTGAGACCAGGAAGCATCAGTAAGTGACCGAATAAATTCAAAAAAGCGAATAGACGCATTGTCGAATACTAATGTAGCCTGAGTATACTTGTCAAATTCACGTTTAAATTTGGATAGTTTCGACTGTTCATCTTCGAAATGGCTAACAGCTTGCACGATGTCTGTATCAGTAGTTTTAGCATTGCTACCTGTTATTTGCTCAGTAAAATTACGAATAAAAGATTTGGCCATGTTTCTTTTGTTTGAAACAACCACTTGTACGTATTTACATAAGGTGCGAAAAAGAAGCAGCCATTTAACTACAAAGTCCACATATACACGCACACAGACGTTTGATACTAAAGAATAGAAAAAGAAATACGACTACCTCTGATTACTAACTCAACAGTCAAACTCTATTGGTGTATTTTAGGTATTATAAAGACAACAAAAGAATCCACATAAATATTGATAGATGGGATTGCTGGAAAATGATGAAAATTCCAATGTGAAATTCAGCAAATCTACAATCACAAGTTGACTAATTATGGGCGTTTTTTTTATAAGTAAACAACATATAAAGCCATTATGTTAATAAATTTACGACGTTTATTTCGTTGAGTAGAACAAAGAATGTGCTTGATAAGCAATACACGCGAAGAAATTAAGAACAACGTGAACAAAAGATTACATAAGAGAGATGTTAATATAACTATATATGAATTCCATCTTTTCCTATGGGCGCAAGAAGAAATCGATAACACACACTATGTTTTAAATACATGCATACTTGAATTATTTAAATCATCGTTGCTGGTGTTATGCTATCGTATCCTAAATAAGAAAATATATTAGCAAAATAAGAAAAAAAAACATGAATTCTGTTCTTTTACCTTGGTATACAAAAATTTTGCTAGGAAAATTCAACATTGCTTGTTTAAATTGAATCAAGGGAAGAAGAAGGAGAAAAATGAATATTTAGATAGAAAATATATCATATTGATCAGCATTTGATGCAAATTTGTGTATAGATATAATAATAGATATGATTTCTGATCGATAATCGATGACAAAAAAATCGCTTCAATTTCATTTTCTATTTACACAAATGTTATCTTGAGTTTTCAAATTTTGATGAAGAAAAGAAGAAAAGAATCAAACGGAAGAAAGAAAAAGAAGAACTCCGCATGAACATCCATTGTCTGTTCGTTGTAGACAAAACATCGCACACTAATACGAGCAGAAAAAAATAGATATGTAACAAATAATTGTACGTTTCTTTTTTTTAGATAGATAAAGAGAAAACAAAACAAAAACAAAACAAAAAATATATTAAACGAAAAATCTATTATGATTCAAAACCTGAGAGAAACTTGCGTATTTTTTTCAAATTTAACAATATGCATTTATATATATATATATATATATATATATTTAATCAATAACAATACATGAATCATTTGTGGTTGAAATGGTTGTTGATTTGTATCGTATTTCTTTTGAATTAAGTATAAAGACTGTTTTAATTTTCCCTTCCAGCACATGCTGTTTGGGTGAATTAAAAAACTCTACAACACGTGTTAAAGTGGAATCTATTTCAGAATCATAAATATTCAATGATAGATCTCTATCATGTTCAAGCCAGTGAGAATGTAAAGCATCACTATTTGTTGTTTGTGCATCAACATATTCACGTTTTGAACAAACAAAGCATTTTAAATAAATACGTTGGTATGTTGGCGAAGATAAATCATCATTCTTAATATCATTATCATTGATACTAGTACAATTATTATTCACTGATTTTGCTCGTTTTGGTTGAGTGACGTCGCTTGATGTTGATTTACGTTTAATAGTGGTTTTTTCTGTTGTCATTGTTGTGATAGTTGTCCTTGTCGTTGTTGTTTTATTCGTCGCTATTGATGATAATGAACGACGAGCTTTACAAGTTTTGCGTAATGATTGATCCGGTATTGACTATGATAGAAAAGAAATATTCTAGGTAAAAGAAATATTATTTTCTCATATCAATAATACGAACGATCGATAAAGTGCTTCTTTTATCATCTTCAGTTGAATTTCGCATTATCTGATTGATTGCTGTTTGTTCCAAACGATCAAGTACAACATGGCATTGTAGAATTGAGTTGACATATTTAGTTATTGAGTTTCTACTTGGAATATTGCGAGATGTCTTAGGAGTCATATTGTTTGAAACTGTATAAAAGAAAATACATTTTGCTTTTTCAAGTGTCAAGAAAAGGATTTGAATTTGAACTTTCATAACCTGTTTTTCTAGATTTAAGTTTGAAAAGATCAACATGCCCGAAGCACAAAAAAAAGTCAATTTTTTTCGATAATAGTTATAGAAATTTGAAATATTGATTTTTTTCGAAAGATGAACATGTTGACTACAGATTTACTAAATCATCTTGAGTCTATTTCTTTCATTATTAGTTATTTATCACTTCGATTAGGCCCGTATTTTCGTGGGCGATCTGCAATTGGTCAACTTTATAAACATATTCAAAGGTTTTTAATAGGTGTCGTACGAAACACTACGTTGCATAAAGTGTAATTGACGTTATATCATACGAAAAAAGAAACCATGAATGAAAGAAAAAAAGAGGAGCATCAATTTTATACTTTCACGTTTTCACATAGATATGATTTAAAATGTGAATGACGGGAGTTATGATGTACATGTGAGTTAAAGTTACAACAGATAAAATATGAAGTAGAATGAGTTCAGAGTCTTCAAACGAAAATCTAGGCAGTAATTTGTCTAATAGCACGATAAAATTTTAAGCATTTAACTTTGCTACTTTAAATAGTACTAAGGTTCATAAAAATATTTCAATGAGAATCTACTTCAGCTTATTACACTCAACTTTTAAGAAGATCTGAAAGAATCTTAATATTAAGATTTCTATTCATGCCTTTTCTTTTCACCTACAGAGCCCAGTTAATTCTAGACTAAATTGACTTCAACTAAATGTATCTTCAGTGAGAGAAAAAAGGATTCGTTTCGTGATATCATTCACAATGTACAATTTTTGCTCCTTAAGCAATGCTTTCAAACTATCAATGTGTTGAAATATTAATTAATTTTATGGTTACCTGTTTTTGATAATTTCTGTCGTTTTTTACTTCTGTTTAGTATCGATGTAGAACGTGCTTGTGTTACTGAACGTGGTAGAAGACTTTGTACTATTATGTTTGGATCTGTCGAACAAAACCTGTCCAGATCGTTTGTAATCGATAAAAATTTTAAGAATGGTAATCGAATATATAAAGCTTGTCGAACACGATTAATATTTTTTGGTAGAGGAAGTAGACACACTGGGCATGCCAATCGTTTTGTTAACGTTCGTAAATGTAGATTACGTACGATGGGTTTCTTAGTCTTAAGTCGAAGACCAACAAGTGATAGAAATTCTTCTTCGTCATGATCAGTCTCCATATGATAACCATCAACAAGGCCATCATTGTCATCTTCATCATCATCATCATCATCACTTACAATATTCAGAATTTCATCACTGTTTGCGATGCCAATACTGTTAATGTGATGGTTATTATTATTCTCATCGCTTTTCATTATTTTTATAATTGATGATTGATCAATATGTGATATGGTTACAGGAGAGCATAAAGCTGCTGATGGCGACGAATTAGTTCGACGAACAATTGGCGTAAATTGTGTTCTTGCTGTAGTCAATGAATGTTGGTAGAAAGCAGGATTTGACGTACAATATGCCATTGCTGCTGCCATACTAATCGATATAGATAAAAGAGATCGATAGAAAAACGAATGAAATATATATATTAATATTTATATGAAGATAGAATAAAAATCAAGATGAATATGTTTATATCGAGTAATCTAAATAAAGAAATTAAAAATTAAAAATTAAAAAATTGATTTTTGTCATGATTACAAAATCCCCCACAAATGACGCTTTAGAATTTTCTGCATGAGTAATAGATCGTGATTCAACTTTTTATTTAAATCAAACGAAATAATTCACTATACACGAGAGAAAAAAATTCACAAAGTATGGAATTACTACATCTAAATGTAACCGTCGCGCCTCTAATGACTATTTAGTAAATATAACCGAATCGTGCATGAAAACAAAGATTTGTTCATCTGATCATGAATCTGACCGTTGTTTTCTTGGAAACAGATAGTAGCGCTCCACTGATAGATCAATGATTGGCCTATTTTTCGCTTCAGAAAAAATTGAAACCTTTTTAAATTGAAAATAAAATAAACGAAATTCTTCAAAATATATTTTTTAAAATAGAAGTTTATTAAATTTATTAAAATATTTGGCTGTTACCATAACAACGTTTTCCCTGTTAAATCGTTGCATGGTGATGTCGCCAGCACAAATATTTGAAACAGTATCAAATTTGCTTCAAAAATTATTTATTGTCTCAAACGGATAAGTTGTATGTATATATGCATAATAAATTACATAACTATGTATTTATTTAGTTTTTATCTAATACATTCTAGACCAAAGTTTATAGCAACTGTTTCATTTTGCACCTATCAGTAACATGGCAGCCTCAGCGCGTCTTCAAAAAGAACTCGAAATTAAGTCAAAACAAGCATTAGCAACAAGCAAAGATCCATTAGAACGTTTACGTGCAGCATGTTTGGCTCGTGGAGCTCAAGGCATTAAAGGATTATCTATGTACGTATTCTTCGTATGCCGAAATCTGCTAGCTATAGACATATTTTACTACCCAGATCGACTGATCCGACATCGGATCTGATAGGAACCTGGAAATATCCTACAATCCGATACAATTCTATTGGATTCCGGGTCGAGCAATCGGTGTCGGATGCTCAGTGTCAGAATCCTATGAACTTCTGATGACATACAATGGCTTTTCCTTGGAATTCATAGGAATCCGACACTGAGGATCCGACATCGATTCCCCGACCCGGAATCCAACGATAATTCTGTAAGATCTGACAGGATCCAATAAAATCCTATCGGATTTCAGTCGGATCGGATGGGCTCCGATTGGTGCCTACTATCGGATTGCTCGACCTGGGTAACTACTAGTATGAATAATTAATTTTTTGACTGCAGTTAAATTTATACTTGAAATTGGAAACGAGTTGCTCGCGGTTCCAACTTTGGTCGAAACTAAAGATGTCAAAAGATAGCCAGCCTAAATATGAAAGTGGATGGGAATAGAAATTTTCATTCGTTCTTCAGTTGCCAGCTTTATCTACCTTCTTGTGTTCGATATTTTTAGTTTCGACCGATGTGAATTTTCCTAGGCTCTTACAAATATATCCATGTGTAAATGAATGACTTATCTGTTGGATGAGCCTGGTTGGTGTCGCCTATCCGAAAATATAAAGTTAATTTCATAAAAAACTGTAGGACAGCAATTTGTTTTGCCAGTAGCCCCATAGAAATTTTCAAACGTCCACCAAAAAAACGAAACCTGGGCAAAGCACTGATGTACATTTTATATTTCTGTTTTAGCTTATTTCGTGTTATGGATGACGACAGAAGTAGAAAGTTGAACTTCGAAGAATTCCAGAAAGGTGTTGAAGAATATGGTTTGAACCTTGGAAAAGATGAAGTTCTTCAACTTTTTCGTTTGATCGACTCTGATAGCGATGGTAGCATTGATTATGAAGAATTCTTGCGCAAATTACGAGTAAGTTTTGCAATATGAAAAGAGCTGTATTATCTATCATACATTGATTTTCATATGTATATCCTAGCCTCCAATGAGTAATTTTCGTATTGACCTGATTAATAAGGCATTTAATAAACTTGACAAGTATGTATACATAAAAATATGCATTGGATTTCGAAAATATATACATATATATATATACTTATAGAAATCATGATGGTACGATAACAGTTGAAGATTTGCGTGGCGTTTATATCGCAAAAAAGCATCCAAAATATATGAATGGCGAATGGAGTGAAGATCAGGTATTGAGACATTTTCTTGATTGTTTTGATTATGGTAAACATAAAGATGGTGTTGTAAGTATTCGTGAGTTTCATTATTATTTTGAACTTGTTCTTCAAATATTACTCCTAGGTAACACGTGCCGAATTTATTGATTATTATTCAGGTGTTAGTGCATCAATTGATAATGATATGTATTTCGATTTGATGATGCGTAATTCATGGAAAATTTAAGATAGCTGTTTCTTTTTGATTTTGAAGAGCAAAATTGATTGATGAATAGAATTTTATGACTGCCGTTTTGTTTTCTTTTTATTGTGTTTTTTTTAACTACTTACAAATTTAATGGTTAGTCAAATGCGTAATCTCTCATACATTTCTTCTCAAGCGCACTATTATGTGTATGTGACTGACGAACTCCAAAAGTGATTCATGTATGTATCTCATTTTATCGTGATTATCTTTGTTTGGTAAGCGCTTGTTTTTCTTGATTGTCTATCTATGAATGTACTGTTGTGATTTGTTTTCTTTGTTCATGATTCTAACAATAAAATAGGGGAGAGCAATTATTGGAACACTACTGCTCCACGACGAAAATTGATAATTAACATTTTGAATATCATATAACTGATGCAAATATCGAGTGCAACGCTGTATCTGTGGGCAGAAACAAACAACGATAAATTCCAACGCCTAGTTTCTATTAATAAAATAAACTTTTATTCAAAGTTTTTGCTAATGAAATAGTTGGTTTATAATGCCAAATTTCGGTATCTATAAGATCACATGATGAAAAATTACGCAATGTAATAGGTTTACATTTGAAATAATTCCTGATTTTATTTCAAGCCATAGACGGTGCAAATGAAACTTTCTAGAAGAAATATTGATTTTTTTTCGCCAGTTTCATTTTTAGATCGATAGTTACGTCGCATACTTGAATGGACTGTATCAGATAAAAATATACAGAGAATCAATCAATAATTTGCTTACGGCTATAAAAATTGTTACAAAGCGTATAAATATCTCTGATGTGTTGTGACACATTGATTAATGCTATAGTTTGCAGTTTTCTTGTCAAACGACGTTTCCATCTTTTTCTTTTTGCTTTGTATCAATATTTAGAGAATGATTCGCGTTTTATTTATTTTTTGTACTTTTGAAGTTTGTTGCCAGGGCTATAGCGATCGGAAGGTGTGAAGGGATGCAAACTGTCCCACTTTTCAAATGTTATGTTAAAGGTTCAGTTTTCAGCGACAAAAAAATCAACGTTTTTTTTAATTTTACAGCTTTTCTTGAAGATTTTCTTAAAAAAACGTTGCCTGATTAGAAATAAAAAAACAGAGAATTCGTGTGATACTCAAATTAGAATGCATGAAACACATCTGAAGTTTCTTTTGTTTTACTAATTATTTCAGTCAACTATTGATCAATATGTTAGTTATTTTTATAGATCTTCACAAATGGACAGTCTCTATGTTGTGCTCTATTGAAATTATCAAAAACTGGGCTTATATCAGTTTTCTATAAAACGTCAACTTGGAAAACCAATCCGATACACATATTCCTGTTATTTATCAATTGATGTTCTTCTTGAATATCATTTTTCTTTTGAAGAATAATCTCAAGTACAAGATGATTGGCGCCTGGCTAAATATTTCTTTTTTTAAATATTGGTGCGATTTCGAAATCCTGTGTTGTGTTTGATTCATGTGTGTACACATTATTCAATAAATATATTTGTTCATGAATAATCAACACAAATAGATGGTGTACGTGCTTGATAATATCATCGTTGTTTTCATGGTGATAGCATTTACGACAATTTTTACTTTCAACTTTAGCTATTAGTAAATATAACATGAAACAATTTTTCTACGAGAAAAAGTAATTACAAAATTTTGATAATTATGTTGAAGGAAAATTTCCCAGTGAAATCAATTACTTATGCAAGAAAACATTGATTTGAATAGAATAGATTCAAACAATCCATTCGAAAGTCAGACACGTCGAATTTTTCTTATTTTCTTTTCCACTTCGTCTGTATAGAAGTCGGTTCAAATTTATCTGAAAATGTTACACACAATGATTCTACAACAATAGTAACACATAGAACTCGTCAAGATCAGTACGATCGATTACTAGAATATCGTTCTCACCTGGAAGAATCTCAGCTCTATTCCTTAACTATTTCATCAAATGGTATTGAATGTTATGAATCAGATTGTCAGCCATCTGTATTCACTGAATCATATCAATGTCGAATGATATCACATGATCAAAATATGGATAGTTTTAATGAATTACCTTTGATGAATGATCAAGATATCAAACAAAATATTTCCTACATATCTCTCACTAGTTTATCGCAAATAATTGATCATGAACCAAATGTATCTCGAAAGGATTCAATTTCACGACCAAAAAGCAATATTTTATTACACAAACCATCATTATTTCTAACTGATATTTTAAGTAAATAAAATGATTTACTTCTAAAATATTATTAGCAACTATAATATTCTAGACAAAATGACCAACGAACAACTTGCTAAATCTATCGCTCAATTGACCAAGTTACATGAAAGTCGTACCAAACTAAGTACTAGACTAATGGATAGTATTCACATACCATTAAATTATATATTTTTCTCATGTTAGTTTCTCTTGAAAAACTACCGAGAACCAACTCGCTTCCAAATTTGAATAAAAAACCAAAAAAACTTTATAGTGTGAATTCATTATTATCTGAACGAAGAATACCACCAAACAAAAATCATGGAGAGAATGAAATTTCATCAATGACTCGAAATGAACAAAAACATACTGATGACGATACGAGTTTACTGCATATCGATATCGAGATACCAAACGATAAATATCGAACTGATACAAATGGAAAAACAAGATCAAGTGTTATTAAAGAGAGAAGTCAAACACCAGTACATATTTCAGAACCATTAGATCGACATATCATTGCTTCAAAATTAAAATCACTTCCGAAACGTAAACTATCTCAAGAAAATCATCAAGCAATTTCCATCAATGATTCATTAGTGACTACTTCAGCAATCTCATCACCTATTGTACATTTGCCTATAGTGAAGTCGTCTTCAAGTAAGATTTAATCGAGTGGCTTTACAAACGAAGAGATAAATGGGAATACAGATTTCTTCGATGTAGAATGTGATGAACAAGTATCCAACTGGGACCCTTCTAGCACATCAAAAATAAATCCAATAGATACAAACAATACTCTTTTATCATCCAAACCAATCATAAATTTAACATCTATCAACGATGAACAAGTAGAATTGGCGAAAATATCAAAAGAAACTAATAATCAACTTAGACAAACGACAAACTTCGAAAAAAGTAAACAATCTTTGTCGAAATGTGAAATAAAACAAAGTCGAAATGATGTATCTGAAAAAAACAATATAAACCAATCATTGAAAGATTTTTCATTATGCAACAAAATAACAGACCATCCTTCTCAAACCAACGTATTATTATGAGGGATAATAAGAAAAAAAAAACTAATAACGATATCCTCCTGATATCTACAAATATCAATTGGATCTCACTAGTACTGCCTTTCTCTAATAAATTTTGTTCTTGTTTTGGATGTATAAATCAGAATATTTCGTTCTGATCTGGAAAGTTGGGAAATACTTTTGATAAACGCGGAGTAAAAATAAAGTGATCAAACTATCTGTTCTTTAAGGTATGTATAGAAATCAAAGTTTTCTCTTCTCTTCGTCGTATATCCAGCAGTAGCATATGAAACTACCAATCATCTGTATTTGTTACGACCTGCTCTCCGGTTAGGTCGTAGAGCCGCCCCATCTACAGTATCTCTTATTATTCTTCCTACATCTCACCTGTTGTTTGATTCGTACTCTTAATGTTCATGATATATTTCTTTTTCTCTTTTCTCTCTCTCTCTCTCTCTCTCTCTTCTGTTCGAGAGATATCCAGGTGTTTGTACTATCTTTATGTTTATGATCTATCTTCTCTCCCTTTGTTATTTGATTTGTACTATCTTTATTCGTGGTCTACCTTCTTTCTCTCTGTGTTCTCTCTGTCGCTATATATAGCTAGTTATTTATGTAGTAAGGGCAGACTTTTGGGTTTACTTATTTCAATATATATACAGCGGAAGGATAGTAAGAGCCATCACAGTATTTTTCGTATATATACAATTTGTTTTAGAGAAAAATATTCTCAGGCATTTAGCTCATATTCGTTGTTTTTTGCGCCTTTAATTAAATAGGTTTTCTTTAATTGAATTACTTATATGCCAATACATTGCCGACATGAAGCGAATGATCAATCATTACCACGTAATGAGATTCAAAAAGAAAATGTTGCACATACTCATATAATCGATTCTAACTTTGGACCTGAAAAACATTTCGAACCGTGGAATTTGTCAGATTCTTCGAAAAATCGAAGTAGTTTTCAAAATAATGAGATACTAAGCAGTGATCTTATCGTTGAAAATCTAGTCTTTTCGTAATTAAATTTAGTTGAACAATCGAAGACACCCAATTTTGTCCGTAACCATGGATGGGATGAAATTGAACAAAGCGAAGAAGAAGCAAAACGACTACGTCAATTACTTTCTATTTGGGATGCTGAACGAATAGCTATATTGAAACTTCAATACGATCTTGACAAGAATATTTTCCAACGTAAAAGAACGCATTCCGTAATCTTAATAAAAGATCAAAATTTCTATCATTAAGGTACATTTGATTATATTAAACGATTAGGTCAAAGTGTTCGATTAGCTCTTTGGTTGTGGTCTCATCGTCCAGTTAATTGTTCAAATATTTCTAGTCTAAATCAATGTGAACAACAAAAACAGCAACAACAACAATCTCTATTTCCTGTTACTAGTGTTCACAAGTTACAAAATTCTGCATGTTTCACAAATTATCCTACACCAGAAAACATGGCCAATCAAGAGTTTTCTATACCATCTATTGATATTTTAGCAGATTCACTCTGGTATCAACGTTTCATTTTGAATGAACCGCAGGAAAATTTACCTCCAATAGCTAGAGCTATGAAAAAAATGCTTGAAAATGACACATTTATATGGGATTCTGAAATTCAAATGCAAAGTCCTTGGCCACATTTTATAAATCAATATCGAGTCACACAAAATAAAAAATTTCTACGAAATGTCTATGAAAATGATGAAATTCAAACATTTGAGTCATTTCCATCTGTGACAAATACTGATACAATAAATAAAACAAAATCGAACCAGCATTCGTCTCAAGAAACGAACACTTCACTGCAATTGAGCATGGATAATACTTTTCAACCAATAGATAGCCAGTATCTTCTAAAATCACCTATGATCGCATTAAAGAATCACGAAAGTAAACCTGAAGAATCAAAACCACGTTAGTAAACGAGATCTTATTTCGCTGAATTCAAAATTAGATTTTTTTTTGCACATTTAAACTACAAAATATTCTCTTAAATATGATAATAGTGATGACACTCTATTGTTGACTTTTACATTCGTACAGATCGTTCCGAATCACAAGACAAAGAACTTAAACCTAGTAAAGTTCGTCGTCGATCAAAAACACGAAATCGAAAGAAATCAATAGACCGAAAGGCAACTAATCGATCCAAATCAAAGTCCAAAAGACACAAATCACGTCGTCCAAAATCATCGCGACGTATCAAATGAAGCACACAAGCTCTTCTTCGCTCATGATAAATTTTCTTAAAATTCAGTTGCTATACTAAATTAATTTTTATTGACATTTAAATATCGCATTTGATCAATATGTGCTCTAGGCATAGGAAGAGACTAGTAAATGCTATTACGCTTCTCTAATAATAAGTTAAATTCTATCTTATTAGTCGATTTTTTTGTTTTTGTAAAAATGTAAATTTGACATGCTTAAAATTTCTGTTTTCGAATGGAAAAGAAGAAGACACTCAACACAAATCACAGAACTCAATATGAATCATTCCATTTAAAACAGGTTCATGAAAAATGTAGAGCATAATCAGTATGTTAATTATCATATGGTTTCCATTCCATTCCCTAAATATAGAAAAAGTTACTCATAAAATTCAATGACAAACAAAATATATACTCACATCAGGTGGCTTGCATTCAGTTTTTTTCTTGGCAATATCATCCCAGTTAGTACTTAATACAGTGCCACCTGATTCCATCTATACATATAAAATATATAATGGCTATAAAAAAAACAAAAATAAAGCACAAAAAATACGTACGAAACTTTTGTTCATTGCTCGTCTTTGTTCATCACTTCCATCACGATAGATTTGTTGAAACAATCTATAAAAAAATATAGACTTTATATGTTTTTTTGTTTGTAATATTAACAAAAACAATACGTACTGATTGAGTGCTGCATCACCTTCAAGTTTTTCTTCCTTCTCTTCTTTCTTAATTTCCACTTCAAGTTTATCCCAATTCGTAGGTTTTTTGCTCGACGATGGATACGATGGTGGAACTGATTGTACAGTTGGAGCACGATTCATAATAACTAAGCAAAATAAAATCAATCAACTTTTCTTTATTCGTATAAAAATGCAAATATGAAATTTACCTGGTGGAGCATTCGGTTTATGTTGAGAATCAAGTGATGCCCATTGTATAGCATCAACTTTATACAAACGAACTTCAACCTAAATAAAGTTATCGAATTACATCATGCAATTTTTTAAACGGTTAGTTTTCAACTTACGTTTGCTGTATTAACTTTAGTATCCGTACGACTGCTATTAACATGATAAGCAAGGTCAAGTTCTAGATTATATTCACTATTTGACGATGGCAATTTGATATTAACGCTTAACTACATAAACAACATAAACTTAAAAATGATCGTAGTATTTATCATTAAAACAAACACGTACTGTATTTTCTGTAGATTCAACATGTACTTGGTCTCGTTGTACGTTTCGAATAGGAATGACAACATAAACACAAGTTTCGGATTGATACCATGTATGACTTTATTCAAACAACAAACATAATTTCAATGATTTATCTATGGAAAATATCTTACTTAATCTTTTTCGGAGGATTAACTACTGGTTTTACTTCGTTCGTTTCACTTTGAGTTTGCTCGTTCGATGCCATAGTTTGTATACTTATTATCTTATACTGCCCTGTGAGTTGTAACACAAATGATTTGCGGGCACTAAGAAACAAGTAAGGTCATATACATTGGTTGTGTCGCCATCTTGGTTACAAGCATAATTAAATAAAAATATTTTTTTACGCAGTAAGATTTCGTTTCTGTGATAAAATAAAAAATATTTTCTTTTATATAACTATTGTTGATGATAGATGCCACTATTATGTGATATCAGTGCTGATGTGGTAAAACTTTTACAACGCTACATATTTTACGGTGACGAATATCGTGAGTTATCACAATATCCAATTCAAAACTTTCCCTCATATTAGTTTAATGATTCTACATTCTCGTCAGAGCTTAATGTTTAGAATGTCAAGTGTATTTTCTTTCATCATGTAACCACAGAAGAGTCTATGGTTGAAATTTAGGAAACTGAACAAAATATCATCTTCGCTTCAAAGTTCATATTTGCTAGATGTGCTCACATGTTGCTGTTAGACTTTCAGTTTTTGGTTCTATCTTCTTGCCGAACCTTTATGGTCCGTGCTTTTTTTTTTGTACAAATAGAATCACATAACAATGGATAAATAAACAGTTAAAATAGTACATATAACGCTAACGATGAAACCAACAAGGAAAAGAAACGAAAAAACATATGTTGAACGATTATACATCTTTTTTTTCATGGACTTTCATTCTCAATAACATTTACAGGATCATTTTCAAAAACAAAGCCACCAGCTGGAAATGCTGAATTTCCCAGACCATATAAATGTCCTGAATATTTTCCTTCATCAATTGAATCTTCGAAAAATAATTCTTTCATTCTAAAAAACGATAAGCCAGTCATGAGACTATCACTACCAGCTTGATGTTGTGGACCGATACGTTCAATCTGGAATAATAACAAAAAACAACTATGACTATTGAAATCAGATTAACTAAAATAGTTACGTCAAGTTGCTTAGTTACTTCTTCGAGACCACCTTTGAGACTTTTGCAACTCTTCATTAAATATTTAACATCATAAATTGTTGGAAAAAATATTTTTAATAAATCAAAAAAATCATTTTCGGTATCAGGTAATAATTTTCCTGTTAACATTTTTAATAAATAACCAAAATCGTAACCACTAAATTAAGAAAACAAATACCATGAAGCAAAGAATACTTTTTACAGCATGACTACATACGCATGAAATGAAAGCCATGTAATATTTTCCATAAATACAACACCTGATGTTGTTAATAGTTCAGCAAATAAATGTGGATCAATACCTTCGTCTTCATGTTTTTTAAATTGTATTCCAGATTTTTGTAACAATTCAATAGAATCTTGTGCATACATATCCATTCTATATATAGAAATTTGATTAGTTTAATAATTCAATGACTAGAAAATATATATTTACGTTAAGTTAAAATTAAAATTGAACTGATATGAACAGACACCCGGTGGACTTTTTCCTTGACTATCCATAAATGTTAAACCCAATTGAATGATTTTTAAAAAGTCCACATTTAACTTTAAACATTGATATTGATATTCAGCTGTTGTTTTAAATTCACCTAGGGGTCGAACGACAATACCTGGAAATTCCGTATCCTAGAAAAACAAACAAAATCGATATTTTATAATCAGATCAAGCTGTGCAATTGCAAAGTTATTTTTTTATCTTATGAAATTTTTTTGCTTCTAAGAGTAGGGTAATTTACCAATGTATACAAACAGTAGTTTCATTGAGGATCTATCTTTTCCTATGAATAGTTTTCGGATTCATGTAGTATTGTCATTTAAATATGCATAGAACAGATCATGATAAGATCGTATTTATCGTCCTTGACCTGTCACTTCGAATTTTACGCTAGACTGTTGAATCTTGATTTTTAAATATCGACTCACACGATAAACATATAAATCTAATATCGTTCTCTGTCTACAGTTTATTAACAAGAAATTCGTGATTCATACTAACCATAGCAACAAACGGATATTTAAGAATTAATTTTCGTATAGAACGAAATTCTTCTTCAACATTATGTGCCCAAACATCTTTTATTCTATATAATGGAATTGGTTCTTCTGGCATGATTACAGTATTCTTAAAAGAAAAAAAAAATATTACTCAAAAAAAACTGCAAACGAAATCGATTTACTGGAACTAAAGAATCATTATCGATGTGAAACAGAAAAAATTCTACAATAACTGTTTAGCAGTTGTATATTCGAATCAGAACAATAATCGATGAAGAACAAATAATCTGTTTAAGTTGTGTACACACGTCGGTCGGACGAAGCGATGATATGAGCAAAGAGAAATTTTAGTAATTCTTCTAGCCAATCTGGAAAATTTTCACAACAAGCGACCTCTTCTGATAGTGATCACATATGTAAAACCGAAAGATATAGTGATTAGTTTGCATTTACTTTATTTTATATTTTGAGTCATAGAATTAAAACATATCGAACTGACAAAAAAACAATTTCAAAATAAAAATTATCAGTTAAAATGAAATCCCTCCACAAAAGCATTGTCTATAACTTTGCCCATTTGTGATGACTCTAGTTTGCACATGTTTCGAGACACTTCTGTACACTATCGAAACGATTGTTGTTCCCTAAAAATAAAATTTGATAATAATTTTTTTTTCTATAAATTGAATATTCTCTCTTACCTCCACAACCACCATAAATAAATTCTTTACATTGATTTGACGACGAATCAAAATAAACAGCAGGAAACATGCCACGACATAGACCTGTATCGAATGATAATTCACAGTCAGGTATTCGCGCAAATACTAACGAGCAGCAGAAGGAAATGACTAATGTGACGAATACTTTATTCATATTGCGTTGTTGATATCTGAAATTAAATGAAATGCAAATCTTTTTATATAGCATGTAATTTGACGATAGAAGAACAAAATGGAACATGCGTGCCGACAGAGAAGGAGTGATTCATAACGGCGCGGAAAAATGATACGACGGATTTCTGTTTTTTGAAATGAATAAAGAATCGTTTGGCGCAGTTTTCCTACTAAAATAGACGCAAGTAAAAACAAAAATAATCAATTTTGATTAAAACCAGTAGATTCATTTTTCTTCGAAAAACAGAACAATATTGTCACTGTTCTCGTAGCAGAAATAGCAAACAGGCTATTACACAGTACAACATTGTGTCGTTTTGTAAAAAAAAACCATAGCAAGTGGAATTAATTCGATCATCACATGCCTGACGTAATTGAGAGCGAATATTTCGTAAGGCGAATTTCCAACAGAAACAAATAAATAGCCAATTATTGCCACGTTTTCAGAACTGAATCACAAACCCTGAGTATATTATCGTTTTCTGATGAAGTAAAATATTTCAGAGCAATAGTGTCATGAATCATCACACTAATAACATTCGCTTTCAAACTTGATTAGAGTTACTAGTTGATGACTCGTTGTAGATATTGATTAATTAACTAGAACTAGTTTTTCATCAGCTAGTATATGTATTTATCTTTTCGTTGGCTACTACACATAGTGCATACAAAGAAAATCCAAAAAGAACACAAGAAAAACTACAGACACAGACAAATATGAATAAAGATCAAAAATACACAAAATCTGAACAAATAACTATGGATATGAAAAATTTTAAAAATCAGCATCAAGTGTTAGTTTATGTTCAGTTATAGCAGACATGACACCAGCACGTTGATAATCACCGACACGTTTCTCAAAGAAATTAGTTTTACCAGTTATAGAAATATTATGCATAAAATCAAATGGGCAATCACAATGATAAATCTAAAAAGCGTTTAAATTTAATAGGAAAATAAATTATTTACTATAAAAAAAAAAACTTACTTTTGAACATCCAAGTTCAACTAAAAGTCGATCGGCAACAAATTTAATATATTGGGCCATTGCCGATGCATTCATGCCAATCAATGAACATGGTAAAGCATCAGTAAGAAATTCAATTTCAATATTTACAGCATCACGAAGAATTTCTTCAATACGTTCAGAACTTGGTTTATGAACAATATGTTCAAATAATAAGCAAGCAAAATCTGTATGTAAACCCTTAAAAACAAGACAATGCCATTGATGCTAAACAATATTCTCTCAAGCAAACCTCATCTCGACTAATTAATTCATTGCTAAATGTTAAGCCAGGCATAAGACCACGTTCACGTAACCAAAATATAGAAGCAAATGAACCACTGAAAAATATTCCTTCAACACAAGCAAATGCAACTAAACGTTCAGCAAATGGAGTTTTTTCATTCATCCAACGAATAGCCCAATCGGCTTTCTTTTTTACATAAGGTAACGTTGATATACCATTGAATAACATGTCACTAAAGAAAAACGTGAAAATGAAAGAATTAACTTTTAGATAAAGAAAAAGATCAATGCTTCATACCGTTCACGTGGATCTTTAATATATGTATCAATAAGTAAACTATACATTTCTGAATGAATATTTTCAATAGCTATTTGAAAACCATAGAAACAACGTGCTTCAGGAATTTGAACTTCAGATGAAAATTTTTCGACCTGAAATTCAATAGAAAATAATAATAATCACATAGACATTCGCGACGATCTTTTCTATCATACCAAATTTTCACCAACAATCCCATCACTAGCAGCAAAGAAAGCTAAGACATGTTTAATAAAGTATTGTTCATCGGGTGTTAAACGTAGCCAATCTCTTGTATCATTTGCTAGATCAACTTCTTCACATGTCCAAATTGATGCTAATGCACGTTTATACATTTTCCAGACATCATGATATTTAATTGGAAACAAAACATAACGTGAAGGATTATCACGTAAAAGTGGTTCATCAGCTTCTTTCGTTTTTACGAGACCATCCTAAGCAAGAAAATAAATTATTATTTTTGATACTTCATCTTTTTTCAAATGGGCAAACCTGCGATTGTTCAATATAATTTTCGAATAAATTTATGTCATCATCGCTATGATCGATCTTTAGAAATAATTTCCTAAGCATGATATATGAATTAATACTGCGAGATAACTTACAGATGATAAATCTGTTTCGATATTATTCACTCCATTTGATGTTGAAATATTGATGTCACGCATGATATTGTTTTATGTCTACCTGATCTATAACAATTGATTGAAATGAATGACGTTTACCTAGATTTTTCTCGTCTATTTATCTCCCAAGAAAACAATAACCTCTATTTTATTTTCAACGATTTTCCGATTATCCTAGTTTCAAAATCAAATTAACCAATCAAATAGAATGGTCTTTGTCTATGTTCAGATGTCGTAGACGAATCAGGGAGCAATGTGTAGTGGATAGTATTTAGTTGCTTTGAGAAGAAAAGAAGCAAAACTGAACAGAAATAATAAAAAAACGTTAAAAACGAACCGACATATATAGATCTGTTCAGTATGTACTAAGACTGTTATTTCACAACCATCATGCAAGTACAAGAAATAGACGTTCTGACGTCATTTGTTGACTGTCTAAAAGCCTGGGAACATTTGTCTATTTGAAAATCGTTATCCAATACGAGTTGTTTCCTAATTGACGTCAAGTTAATTTATTAATGACAGTGTTGACAACTTTTCAACAAAAATCTCTTTGGTCGAAATTTAAATTATGTTTTACTGAAATTAAATGACAAAACTAATTCAACGATTGCAATTCTTCCTTGATAGGAAGAAAATAGTTATCTGTTACAGACATCTCACACTTTATGGTAGATTATCAAAACTAAATTAAATTGAATTTTTGTTCGGTACGATCGTCATTGTAGATCTTCTATTAGCTATCAGATATTTTCTAATATTCAAAGGATTGGAAAAAAATACACTGGCCTATGATAATTTTAATTCATTGAAATAATGAATCTACTATTTTCATACCAAAGGCTATGTCAACAAGATATTATACCGATGAAATTTTGAAATATCTTGATAAAATCTTTACGAAAAGCAATGTTTTAAAAAGTCGAGGTCGTAAAATAATTTTATTTCTAATACTTGGCTTACAGGACATGCCAAAACGATCGTATCATATGCTAAGAATATTAATTGGCGTACACAAGATATAAATATTAATCATGGCCACGAGTAACATTGACAAGCAAAGCACATAAATTATGATTAAGAACACATTAACATGATGTATGGACTCATCATAGCTTAGATCGATCCGTAAGAAAGAAGATAAAAGTGAGATTCTAGGCATGAAGAGACAACTACTTCGTATTATCTTATTAACATTTTTTGTGTTTAGCAACGCAGAATTGCTAAATCATAATAAAGATTCGGTTGGACAGTCGTCGATTCATCATGCGACACATCTTTCATTGAAACGAAAAGAAATTTCAAAATTTACACCAGCTCATCGAAAATTTCAAAATGATGCATTGGAAATTCATAATATCTTACGTGCTCGTCATTGTGTACCACCATTAGTACTCGATGAAGAAATGAATATACGAGCTCAAATCTATGCTGAACATCTTGCGGAAAAGGATGGTAAATTAACACATAGTACTGATCTAGGTAATCGTTTTGGAGAAAACCTCTATGCAATAACACGTAAAACTCCTATCACCAATCTAACTGGTACGATTTTTTTCGTTTCAACGTAAATCTTGTTTATGAGATTGATTGGTTCTAGCTGAGAAAGTTGTACGGACATGGTATGAAGAGATTCAGTTTTATGACTACAGCAAACCAGTTTACAATGCAAGTACAAGTCATTTTACTCAAATTGTTTGGAGAGAGTCCAAAATACTTGGCGTAGGTTACGCGTCAGCACGAAAAGGCAGCAAAATGTTTGTCGTTGCCCAATATGGACCAGCAGGCAACCATCGTTTTAAATTCAGTAACAATGTTCTTAAACCGAAATGCTAGTTATCGAAACGGAAATTTATTTCCCTTTTTTCTTTGTATTTACCATTAAAAGACAAGAAAACTATTCAAGAAAAATTTTAATATGTGCATCAAATAAGATCTTCGTTGATTATGATTGAGATTACAATTGGCTTCGGTCATGTATTGTTTTTCTCTTCACGTACAGTTGTCTGCATTACACAGAACATATCCATGAATAATATTGAAACATTACTAAATCATAAAATTTACACTAGAAAAATGGAAATCCATTGACTGTATCGAGGTTAATTATTCAGCGATTGATCCAGTGTATGCATGTATGGCAGGGATTTGTAAAGGATCGATTTTACAGTTTATAGTGTCTATGATTATTTTTACAATCATAAAAGACAGAGACCTATACTTCTTTCATATCTTTATTGGTGAATCGATGAGGTCTGTTTTTTTAAAATTTATCATTGATTGTTGAAGATGTTAACTATTTTAAATCGTGAGAAACCTTTATAGATCAATTGAGGATCCTTGAGTTTTTCAGCTTATCATAGTTATCTATAGAAACAATTTATCCTTGACAATCTGTTTTGTTTTTATATAATCTTGACACTTCATTCGTGTCGATCATATTTATCAATTCAAACTTTGAAGTATTAAAACAATGTTTTGCTTTTAGTGTCTAAGTATCAAAAGTAAATACAACGAATCATAGAACACGTATGACACATTACCTGATTTTCACAATGCACACACATCTTATCCGTAGAATAAGTTTTTAGAAGAGTCCATATTTTTTTTTTCTATAACAATAACAATAGTTTTTTTTTTCTTCCTAACAAATCGATACTATCGAAGAGAACGATGTTAACAACAATAACAACAAAAAAAAAACAGAATGAAAATATTCTCTTAGAAACGAACAACTAAAGAAGAAGCTATGCTGTGACTGCTTTTCAGTTGGCTAATGTATGAAAATGACTATTAATCATAGTCAAATTAAATTTCCATGCCTCAAGTTTTTCCTTTAATGATATCCAATGTTGTTTTGTAAATGAACGTTGTTCTGTATTATCAATGATAACTTTTCGTGCAAGATGATCAATTTTACATCGTATCATTTTCGTCCGTACGGCTAAAATAATTTTATTTGACTTTTTTTGACTTGTTTTTAAAAGCAAAATATTTACCTTCGATTATAAACGATTCGATATCATCGGCTGATATTTGCATTTCTTTTTCAATCGCATCAAATGTTAATTCCTTTTGGCTTTCAGCTATTAGAATGAATGTTAATAGGCGCATTTTGGTCAGATTTCTTTCATGCTTAACACCTAAATAAACTATTTTTTGGAGAAAACAAAGAATGAGAAAAACAAAATCTATGGATACCTGATGATTCTATAAATGGTTTTTGTTTCGAATAAAACTCGAGATAATCTTGTAAGCGACTGAAAACGAAAATTTTTAATAACTAAAATATAAGTACCTATAGAAATACATAAGATTTTAAATAGAAGTTTTACGTTATGAATATTTTCTCCTTCGAGCATTTTCACTGGTTCAAGTAACAGAAGATGATCCATTAGGAATACATTTGGATCGTTAATACTGTTAATAATACATCTAGTAATATGAATGAAAAAGAAAAATTATCAATTATTAGAAATCCTCTCGATAAGCATACTTGACTGCATCTGTACGAGCTTTTGAAGCTGTTTCTTTTGTATAGGTACCAAGTAGTTCGAGTAATAACTGTAATGCATTTGTTCTGAAGAATGATTTTTATAACAATAGTTCATTTTGATGGTTTAGAAAATTAAAATTACATACGAGTCACCAATGGCAGCATATGCTTCATGCATATTTCGATAGAGTTCTTGAATCTGTTCAATTGAAACATTCCATTCCTTAACCCATAGTTTTACCTAAATTAGAAGAAAGAATTGCTTCTAATTTACGCTTCAAACACTACCTATGGCATACAAGAAATATACCTGATTTATTCCTACTGATACGGTGTTGATACATCGATGGTTTCGTGCACATTTTATTAAATCAATTAGTATACGATATTTTTCTGTATTCGCATGTTCTGGTACAACATAAATTAAATTAGTTAATCTAGAAACCAAAAAATAATATTGAGTGGTACTGATTCTCAATGAGCGTACACTCGAATTTTCATTGGTCCGTATTTTTCGGGTAAATTTGCATTGACGATAGCTTCTGAAAAATTTAACACTGGCCGATTTAGTTTATCTTCTGGTACAATCAATATTAAACTCATTACAGAATTCAGAAACATTTCCATTTCTAAATAATCAAATCCATTATTCTGTAAGATTAAAAAACAAATAATAATCTTGGTACCTCCTTCTAAAAACGAATCTTTGAGAACACGTCTTAATTCACGTATGATCGCTTCAACTCTGCTTTCAAGATCTTCCGAGCTAACATCTAATACTGGATCTGCGCCATGGTCACACATAAATTTTTCTATATCTTTTAACTAGAAAACAAACAAATCCGTAAATCGTAGTAGACTTCAATATCAATCTTACTTGTGGTTCAGGTTCTATTTCTGAATAGACAGCAGCAACACATGTCGCTATAAAATTTACAATCAAATTTTCCTTTTGAGAAACAAGTCAATTCAAACACAAACTCACTTGGAATTTCTGTCATTTTCTGTATCTAGAACATACACATATAGATTTATTAATCAAGTCATCTTCTGTTTCAATATAATACAAAAAAAAACATTAAATACATCTGTTTGTCACGAGAAAACATTACATATTGAAGAGGGAGATTATTGTCGAGATACAAAAGAGGAAAAAATATCTATTTAGGCATGCCAACATATCCAAATTTCTACAGAATTATCTCTTTATTCACTGTTGATAAGATATCATATGATATAGAGAAGATTATTTATTCAAGTTCGTTTACAAATGATCCATTAACAAATGTATTATTTTGATTCAATGATTGTTGCTCTTGTTGAACTTGACGTAGAAATGATTTCGCCAGTTCATATTGTTTCATTAATGGTAAACCTTGAGTTAAGGTTAGAACTGCTTCTATACGCGGTTGTTCAGTAGTATGTTCATCAATTAAACGCACACGAATATCTTCAATCGTACGAAATTGTTCATTCGTATTTGTTGCTGGATCCAAAATAGGACTAGAAAAAAAAGCGAATCAATTTTATTTATTCATCAATCATTCAGTAATTCATATTAATCTCTGTCGCACTTAAATTTGATTCTTTTTCAAACATACTAATTGTTAAAATTCAAGGAGAAAAGTCAATGGAATTATGATAATTCATGAGCAACATTTTCAATGTCACCGAAAATGAATAATTTAGTTTCATATTTCCTACTAATGCATTTCGTTTGAAATAAACTGTTATTAACTGTACTACTTGTTCTCTGCTCGACAAGCTGAAAACATTGAACAATGAACTTAACGAGTGTCGTCGATCGAAATACGACTCATCAAGACTAGATTCTATTTACCTCGCTGTTCGAAGTACGGGCCGTGCGTGATTAGTAGCACTATTGTGTAAAATAAGGGAACGTGTGGTTGCCAATTCTGATGATGCAGTTGAACGTAGAGCTACAAAATTATTGTAAAAAGAAATCAAATAGAGAAAGTTTTGTTTTTGCATTATTAATTTTACCAAGTGAATCATTAAGACTTTCGTTTGACGATGCTGATGAAAGTGTTTGCTGATTTTTCGTGAGAATTCTCTGTGGCAATGGTAAGACATCGTTATTATTATGCAACGGTGGTGGTAAAGGAGGCGGTGGTACAGTTTGATGAGAAGGTTGTTGCAACTGACTTCTCGATATTGCATCAGCCGATATACGAGTTCCACTCGTTTTAATAGTTACAGGTCGAGGTGGAATCGGCGGAGGTGTGGAAGACATAACATCTGATGAGCTGGGAGAATTATTATTCTATGAAATTAAAATAGAAATATCAAAATATAAATGATTTCACAATAACAAATTAATTCTACCTGATGGGTATTTTCATGGTTTAATGGACGAGCAATAGCCAGTGATTGTAAAGTTTGAACATTTGGATTAGCATCTAATGTTTGCTAAAAATAAAACAAAAGATTTATTTACTTATTAAATAATTGTACGAAATTTGTTTTGACATTACATCATCAAATTCATTGGAACCATTTGGACTTGATTCTTTTCTATTTACAACCATGGCACTATCAAATGGACTTATAACAATTGATTCAAAACCTTTAATTTCACCCCGACAAAATGGACATAATGGTGGTGGTTTAGCACTATTTTGATTCTAAAAATATAAAGCTCGAATATCAAAAGCAAAAGAAATCGAAAAACTAACCTGCCAAGCAATTAAACAATTTTGACAAATTAAATGGCCACATGGTTGAATTTTACAATCTTTATTATTCACTGAACATATTTTACATAATTCAAAACAAGTACCCATATCACAATAGATGGCATATTGTTCTTCCGATACATATATACGATCAGATTCTGTTGGTCGTAATGCTGATGAAAGATCAATATGAATATTTTTTCCATTGGGATATTTATAACTAGATGAAAATATGGATTTACATAAAATAAATATGAACTTTTAGTTTTCTTCGACTTACTATCCTTCTCGTTCACCATCAATTAATGATTGAATTAATGGTTTTGTTTGTGGTATAGTTTGAAGAATAGTATTTTGACTTGTTACATATCCAATAGCCCATTGACCAAGACGAGTGCAACTCAATCGAAAGACATAACTACCCGGTTTTTCAATGTAATTTGTAAGAATTGCTTTCACTTCATCGTAGGTCATAAATGCCATAAAACCTGGATGTGCGACTGCTAATAATTTCCAATTGGTCAATAGCGAAGACCATGGATGAAATAATCTAAGATTTAATTTTAAACTTAATAATTTTATCTGATCTTTCAATAAAAACAAAATCTATGCGAAAAACTCTATTTCATTCCTAACGAATCTATCTGTACGTTTACTTATATTTCTCAACTAAATCAAGCCATCTAAGATTGTGGCAAACGAAAAATATTTACCTTGTAAAAACGTCAAATTCAAATATCGACACATGATTATTATCAGTTAAATCAATAGTATTTTGTAATGCTGTTGCTTCATTAATAGTTTGAATAGGATGAATTTGATTTAATCTTTCTTTGAATTCTTCCCATGGAACGATTGTACTGAAATAAATGACAGAAACACTATTTATGAATTTCCAAAACGAGCATCAATTTTACCGTTCATTAAAATTACATTTCCAAAAATCATTTGCTTCTTGTTTAGTTAAACGAAATTTTTCACCCTCGTATATACCTCTATTAAACAAAGATTTTAATTCGGCTAAGTTATGCGAAAAATACAACGAAAGTTTAGTTAAATGTTTTCTATACGTTGATTGTTCATCGTACATATGATGACCAGCACGTTTAAAACAATCAATTGTTTTCGTACATTGATCAATAAGATTATCAATAAATATACGAAAATATTCAATGTCATTTAATATATGTAAACGATCGTCATAGTTATTCATTATTTCACGTAGTGTTTGATATAAATCAGGCAGAATATCGAGCATATAAGGTGGAGAATTTTTTAAATTCATTTTTGGCATTTGACAATATTTTACGATACGATCCATTTGTTTCCAAACTTTTTCTATTGAACGTCGATCAACACGTATTAAAGGACGATGTTGAGAATTCAATAATAGAGGATTAACATTTATACTAAGTACCGATGGAATATCATTCGTTGCTGATTGCATTGGTAATGTCGATGGAGAATCTTGTCTGGAACCAAGAATACGTCGTCGTAAATTCGATGCTGCTGCTTGCGCCATGATAATGTTTGGATTTTTCCCTGTTGTTCAAATGAAATTATTACATTATCTAGAAAATATTTTTTGGAAGAATTTATAAAATTTTACATTAAAAGGAAAATAGAAAAATGCATGAACAATTTTTTAATTGTGATGATTAAGGAAAACAATTTCAAGATGTTTATGTTGATTGGCTATGAAAGGAAAAACAAAATACACTTTTGGCATTGATTTTGCTCGTCTCTGAGATCACATTTTTTAAATGTAGAGCTGTGCATGCATGTTAACCGTTTTAGACATTGTGCATTTCTCGTAACTCAATCGCGTCGTTGGAACTTTTCAGATCACATGGTAATAACCAGAAAATAATCGGGCCTAAAAAAAAGGAAGATATTTATCGTAGCGTTTTTTTTATAATAAATCATTCTTTTACCAGGCCCAAAAACTTTTCGCAATAGAACTTTTGCCGGTGGCAATATTTGCTGTGCCATACGAGCATGTTCATCTAATTTCAATGTATCGATTAAACTTCGATCATTTAATATCGATTGAATTTGATCAATGAGTATAGTAATAACAAAAAGGCCAAATAAACAAGACTCAACACAAAGTATTATTGAATTAACTCTATAAGAATAGGAATAATTCTTTTTTTTTTTCAAACATATTTATTCGAATTACATACACTAGTGCGTCACTTTTTACTGGAAAAACAACTAATGACCAAATTAAAAATGCCATTACATAAACACTCATAACTCCTATAGAAAAATGTTTTATTTCGTTTCGAATTTCCTATATTCAAAGTAGGTCTTTATTTTCTTACCGACATAAAAAAGAAATAGCATAAAATATTTTTGATTAAATTCACCAACACAATTATTAATCCCTGAGAAATAAATTTTGTAAACTGCCACAAAAAAATTGTAAGATTCTACTCACAAGGACAATGATGATCTAATCTGAAATAAAATAAAATATAATGACGAGACTGTTTCTATAAAAATAAAAAACATCATTCTGACATATCTGAACAATGGTATACTGATGTTCCATCAATAGATAACAGCGATCTCTATATCTATGTACTGTATCAGAATTTATCACGCGATTGCAACGCATAGCTAACCTTGCAGTAGTGTTCGAGATAAAAGCAACAAAATTAGATCGATTAGTTCCATCTATATTTGTATAAGGACTTATTATCACTGTCATTTGATCGAAAAGATAGCAAGTTTCTATATGCTAAGCTAATGCAAAATGAAATGAGTATGTACAACATTTTATTTTTCATTGTGAAAAACAGAATTTCTTGATTCAAACTAAAAACTGTCTAATAATATCTAAATTTTAGATCAATCATTATCTGTAATGAATATTTTGCACGAATTTTTAAATAAAATTTTCTACGTCTGTTAACTTCATTGTTAGATTAATCTCTAAGTGAGAGCCAAAAAAAGATAAAAGTTTTACCTTCGAACGCATCGTCGACAAATCCTGCAATAGAAAAAAAAATGCATGCCTTTCAAAAATATTTACTTCAACTCATTTACCTGCAATGATGTGATCGAGCTGGTCGGTAGGTATCACAACGATTGCAAACTAAAAGAAAATAAACAGAACATATTTTTACAATCACGCAATAAAAACTTCTCATTACATACTAGTCCAACCTTCATTATTTTCCTGAGAAAAAAAATCAAGATGTTCTTTTTAACATATATTAAATTCGTTTTCTTCTATTTTGTTTTTACCTTATTATTATTATTATCAATCATTTTAACATCGGAGAAATCAATTCCTTTTTTTGGCAAAGGCACAAAACCCGGATCAAAATACGAAGCACGAGCGTGTGAAAATACACAAAGAAAAACAAATGTGCAACTAATTAAAGCATGTAATGTACCATATAAACTGAAACGAAAATTTTCGAAAATCGATTCATATTTGTTGAAATAGGTAAGTATCAAACCTTTCATTTAATAATGGCATAATAATAATAAATAGAATAACATATAGACAATGCAAAAGCATTGCATATGTTAATGCAATACATATAATTCCGCATGGATCTTTTCGAAATAACATTTTTATTCTACGAATGTCAAAAGAAAAAAAGGTAATCTCAAGGAAAGAAAAGAATGTATAATAACTCAAGGAGGAATGAAGGAAGGAAGAAACAATAAACAGATGTATTTCATTGGTTTTTAGTTTTTTACCAATAAAAATTTTTGTTTGATCAAATATTTATTAGCGCAATCTAATTGTTTGTCAAACATGAAATCAACTGCCATATATGATTTTTTAAGTGGCATAGCCGGTAAAATATATATTCGCGATTTATAATTCTTTTTTTCTACTTTGATATTCCACAATATAAAAAAAAAGGTGCAACCGTTTCAGTTTATGTCGGTCAACCATTAGATACGATTAAAACAAAGCTTCAGATATTTCCAAATCATTATAGAAATTTTTTTGATTGTGCTCAAAACATTTTCAATAAAGATGGTATACGTGGTTTTTATGCTGGAACAACACCAGCATTACTTGCAAATGTTGCTGGTAAATTGTTTGACAGAGATCAATAGAAAAAGAAATATATTTTTGTTGTTGTTGTTGTGTTGTTTCTTGCAGAAAATGGAGTTCTATTTATGGCATACGGACAATGTCAAAATATTATTTGTAAATTAAATAATAAAGATAATCATGAACAATTGACATCACTAGAAAATATGGCAGCAGGAAGTTTAGCAGCAACATTTGCATCATTTGTTTTATGTCCAACGGAATTAGTTAAATGTCGAATACAAACTATGCATGAAATGCAGTCGAATACAGAAAATCAAATGCGTAAATTAATGTAAATAGATCTTTATTTTTATCTGGCGTTCTTTATGTAAACACGCGCGAATATTTCTAGTTCACCTATAGATGTAACACGAAATATCATACGTACAGAAGGTACACGAGGATTATTTCGAGGATTAACAGCGACATTAGCGAGAGAATGTCCTGGTTATGGATTTTTTTTCGGTACATACGAATTTACAAGATCATCATTAACCAAAAAAAATGAAAAGAAAACAGATATAGGTAAGAAAAAAAAGAAATTTCAGATTCAATTCTTATATTTATTTTTATAAATAGGATCTTTAAAAACATGGGTTTCGGGTGGTATGGCTGGCATTTGTTTTTGGACATTTATGTTTCCTATTGATGTCATAAAATCACGTATACAAGTATTAAAACCGAATATGAGTACTATGAAATATGCTATTGAATTTGTTAAACATGAAGGTAAAACGCTTTATTTTGCGTTTATTAATAATGTAAGTTTTACTACATAACTAGGATTTAAACCATTGTATGCTGGTTTATTTCCAACACTTACTCGTAGTTTTATTGCTACCGGTGCTTTATTTCTTACTTATGAACAAGTGCAATTATTTCTCCGTCGAGCATTTTGAATGCGATAGATAAATTATTTTCAGATTTAGTTTTGAATGCAATACTTTTCGTAATTTTTTTGTGATATTTTTAATTTTATTTTGAAGATTGTCTTTTTTTGTTAACGAATAAAATTGATTAATTTACCAATGATTTTGTTTTTGTTATTATTATTGTTTTGTTTTGTTACTAGATAAAAACAAACCTTTTCTATGAATGGATGAAACGAAATTAACAAGTAAATTCTTTTTTAATTTCAAATACATATATCTATTCTACTTTTGTCTTAAGATTTTTTTAATCAATCGCCACAATTACCATTTTCGTGGCAGGTTCGTCCTGGTACCACTGTACTTTGTCTTAATTGTCATGGAAATCGATTAATTGCAGCTGGACAACAAAGTATTTAAACATTTTTTGAAAATATTTATTATCTTCTACTTAATTGAATAGGTTTTCAATTACTTGCTATTGAACCATATGAGAAAACTGAACGCTTCAGTGAACTCTATGATTTTCGTAATGCACCAAGACAAGCGCAAGCACGTGCAGCATTGCAACCGACAGATATTGGATGGAGTCCAATTGATGGTAAATTTAATTTAATTTTTTGTTCTATAAATAATTGATAAATTATCTTCAAAGAACATCTCTTTGCATCGGCTAGTACGACTGGTCTTTTAAATATTTGGGATGCCAATCAATTAGTAATGATTGGACAATTTAAAATTCATAATGCAACTATTAATCGTCTTCAATTTCATCCATCAAGTAAATCGTATTTTAAACAAGCTCAACTGATCTCGATGTTGTTTTCTGTGACATTTAGATCCTAAATTATTATTAACAGCATCACAAGATGGATATGCAAAGGTTAGCATATTTTATTTTATTATTTTTAACAATATTTACGTATATAGATTTGTTTTTAGTTGATTGATTTTCGAACATTTAATACAAATAAAGTTGTTGCATCATTTCGTCATGTTAGCGAAGATGGATTTCGTGATATACATATTAATCCTATTAATACGAATTTATTTGCTGCTGCATTGAACGATCAATGTATCGTACCAGTATGTATAAATAGTTATTATTAATGAGAGAATAAATTTTCATCAATTAGCTTTGGGATATACGACGAATTGAGTCTCCTGCCATGGTTTTAACAACAGCCGATAGAACATTGTGTCTTGCATGGAATCCGAATGAACCTTATTGGCTTGCTACAGGAGGTCGAGATCGAACTATACGAGTGAGATTTATTCCATTTAATGCTTTTGCTTATTGTTGAATTCAAGATTTGGAATGCACAAGATAGTAATAGTCGACAAGAACCTCTATTTAAAGTGCAGTCATTTGGCACGGTGGCTAAACTTAGTTGGCGACCAACATGCCGTTATCATGTAGCATGTTCAACACTTTCAGTAGATCCAAGGATTCATGTTTGGGATGTTAGACGTGCTTATTTACCACAAGCATCATTTTGTCATCATCAAAGTATGTGTACTTTCATTATTTAAATAATTAGTTATGGTTTTATCAGATTAACTGTCTCTTTGGCGAACAAACAGCAGATTTCAATGTATTTTCTTTTCAACTGTAAAAAGCAAATTTTAAGGATTCTCTCCACTCAGTCATACACATACACACACACACGTTTTCTTATCTAACTTGGTGGGTTGAATTACATTATCACGCATACAAAGTTCTAGTGAAATTCCGAATTGTAGGCATCTCTATATGCATAGAAAATATGTAAAAATTCAAATATGTCGATCCTTGCATACCAGCAGGTAGCTCATATTTTGAATTTTTTTAGTTTGGTGGGCGAAACATTTAATCTGACCCGTAAACGTGTAATATTCATAACTACCAACAAGAAAAGCAAACAGGTCTATTCTAATAATAATAATAATAATAATAATAATAATAGTAACACTATTTTGGCTGCTGTCGTCCTATAGAATAGTTTGCAGTTTAAGTAATTTTCCTTCGAGATCTATGAACAAAATTTTTATTTTACTTTAGACAGTATCGGTGATTTTTCATGGCGTCCAAATTCTGATAATCTAGTCTCTGTTGGTCGAGACGAGCGTGTAGTGCATGCTAACATCTCAAGTGCAATAAAAACTGATAATTTCGTATCTTTATTTTCATTGAGTGTTACATCGAAAGGACATGTCTATGCGACAATGCCAAATAGAAATAATGAGTATCTAACCGCATTATATGCTGAACGACATATTCCATCATCTTTTACAAGTTTAAAAAAGTGTTTTTCTGAAGAAGTTATGTCAAAATTTTCAAAGCTTAATGAACCAATTCATGGAAAATCTATTATTGGTATGTATGCGAACCCTTCAGCAGATAATTCGGTCGAATTATTTCATCAATTTGCACGTCGATGGACATTTGACAATGGCAATAAACCAGTTGAAAATCTAGCTAATATTTGTGATATAAATAGTTGTGTAGCCGAAGAATTAAAAAGGCCAGATTTAAAAGCTACATGGCAAGTTATTAAAATGATCTATGCAGATTATAATAGTTTACAAAATTATCGAATGAGCTCAGCAAGAAATACACACTCAGGAACGAAAAACTATCAAATAAGTGATTCAACAAATGGTCCTAGACATCATCATCAGCACTATAATCATTATCAACAAGGAGGTGGAAAAGGAAAAAATCTTGATTTAATACAACAAGACAATGAATTAAACGATGAAGTCAACGGAAGAAAGAGAGCGAAATCACAAGAACAAATTATTCCACCTAATCCACAAATGGGTAAAAATCAGTTTTCATTTTCTTTATTTCTACTAGTTTGATCTCGCTCCTAGATATAATCGATGATGTTGATACATATATTGTACGAGATGTGCTACCAGATGATATTATCTTTATTACACCAGACGATGCATTAAATAATACCAGTAATTATGATATGTTATATGATAATGAGGTAAATATTTATTATACATTGGAACTGAAAACAAACTATATGTATATACCAATTTAATTCAATCGTTCTGCAGTCGAATAGTTATGACTAGAACTGATTCACAATAATTCCAAAGTGCAATAATCGCGTATCTTATATTCTTATGAAAACCTTGAATTAATTCATTTTTAAATCGACATCAAATTCAAACACGTATTTATGAGCTCTCTCGATCCAATAGCATTTCGGAGAATATAGTAGTTAGTCAATAATCTGTGTATTTATGTCTTTCAATGAAAACTATTCATTACTGATTGTATTAACTCGTTGGTTTTGTTTTTTTCAGAATTTATTATAGAGAATCCATATTTATCTATAGACTAATACAAACTTTTTTCTGTGTTCAAGATTAAATATGATTTCTCACATGTGTTTTTTTTTTCATTATATACTATAGCCCGATATTTACGTAATGCGTGATGGAATACCCATGGCGTCAAATGGAACACCTTCAGTGATACATGTTGATAGTGACATCAATGGTTTTTCTACGGATCGATTATCTCGTCAGCTTCCAGAAATGATGATTGATATAAACCAATTTGAACCTGTAGATGATTATGATTGGTAAGATACATTCGTAATCTATTTCATAAAAAAAAGAATTTCTCGTTTTCTTTTTAGTCCCGATGGTCATATGCAGTCATCTACGCATTCGCTTCTACCAGATGGTTCAGATAAATTTTTTACAATTGATGAAAGTTATTGTCCAACGATGCAAAATCATCCTTTAGTTTTTGATGATATTTTGCGAAAAACTATTCAGTATTATGTTGAAAATGTAGGTTTTGATAAAAAAAAGAATCAGAAATCATTATAGTTGTCTTGTTGTTTGTACAGAATGAACTTCAGGTAGCCGTTCATCTTTTACTCGCACTTTATCCAATACTTAGTGAAAGTAAAATTATTGAATTATTTCATGGTGCTCATTTTGAATGGCTTGGAATGTACATTGGTAAAGACTTTTTTAATCAAATTTATTTTATCAATTGGCTACTCTTGCTTTGTAGAAATATTGCAGAAGCTGCGTTTATTTGTAAAAGCTAAACAAGTAACAAAGCACTGTATAGAAAAAGAAAAAATACCGCTTAATTATGATCCAAGTGTATTCGATGGTGCAATCATTCTTTCAGCGCAATCACCAACTGTTAAACGCCTTCCAAATATCACTGGTGCTTCTTCGATGAATTCTGCTAATAAAAATCTTCCACCGCCTCCAAAAGATTTTCTGTGCTCATTTTGGTAAGTTCTTAGTTTGTGCGATCGTAACTTTCTTTGATGTATCGAAAACAAATTCCATACTACTGATAGATGAATCCCAACAGATGTTTTTTTTTTATGAATATTAATCTTAAAAATTTTAGTCGAATACCATGTCGTGGCATATTTTCATTTTGTGGTGTGTGCTTTCATGGTGGTCATATTGATCATATTCGAACATGGTTCTATACGCATAATGAGTGTCCATATGGTTGCGGTCATCAATGCAAAAAGCGTGACATTCAAAGTCATCCACCACGTGTTATGTCGCAACGCTTTTCTTTGAATTCATAGTTTGTCTTTTAATAGTGATTCAAAAACGAAAGACATGATAATCTTTTTTCATTGCTTTATTTTCTATCTCAGGAGTTGAAGAATTTGTGTTTTTCTTTTTTTTTGTAATAATACTTGTATTTTTTTCTTTTCTTCAGCTATTCAATGTTAAATTAGATTGAAGAAAAAAAAAATCTATTGATTATGTTTTTTCGATAAAAGACAAAATTTCTGTTTATTTTTTAGAATTATTTTATTAATAGTCATTAAAAATGTTGATGGATGATTATAAATATTTATTTAAAGTTGTTCTTATCGGTAATGCAAGTGTTGGAAAGACATGTCTAGTACGTCGATTTTGCCAAGATGTTTTTCCAACTGGACAAGCGGCAACTATTGGTGTTGATTTTCTAATCAAAACTGTTGAAGTTAACGGAGAAAAAATTAAAGTTCGTAAAGAAGATCACTATCTTTTTTGGCTTTTTAATGGTTCTCCTCGTTTATTTTAGCTTCAGATATGGGACACAGCTGGACAAGAACGTTTTCGCTCAATCACTCAATCATACTATCGATCTGCCAATGCATTAATTATTGTTTTTGATATAAATAATCTTGCGACATTTTCAAGTCTTCCAGATTGGGTTCGCGAAGTAAAAGCTTATGCTAATAATGATGTTTTATGTACACTAGTTGGTTCGTACGAATTAATTTTCACTTCATTGAATACAGAAGAAGAAAAAACAATTATTTTTTATTTTTATTTAGGTAATAAATGTGACATTAATCAACGTGAGGTTCCAACACATGTAGCCGAACAGTTTGCGGAAAAGAATGATATGTGGTATTTGGAAACATCAGCTAAAAACAGTGAGAATGTTGGTAAACTATTTCAAACAATAGCTGAAGAATTAACAATGAAAGCAAGAGAATCGACAATAGGTGCATCAAATAGTGGACATGATTCATTTTTTAATGGAGATCAAAAAACCAAACCGGTGAAATCTAATTGCTGTTAGTGTGCGTAACAATGACATATTTCTTCCTATAATGCTCATTTATTAATAATTGCTTGTTCAGCGACAATTAGGGTAAGCTTCCTTTTTTTTATTACTCTCAATTGTGCATTTATTACTCAATATGATCTGTTTGTTTTCTAATGCATAATCTGTTTGAAGAATCTCTGCTGTTTGTTTGTTTTGTTTTTTTGCTTCACAAATTTTTTATGCATTTGTATAACTTTTTTTCGTTTTCGGTTGCTTTTCTCAAGAAGATTGAACTTAACTTCTATTCCTTTTCAACGTGCAAAATTCAAACATGATAATTAAATAAGTTTAACACTAATAATAACAAGTTGTCTTTGAATATCATATCTAATAATACGAAAATCAGTTATTTCACCACGGAGTATTTTACATGAAATATCTCATCGGTATGGAAGGTGAAGGTGATCCTTGTCTTTATTGTCTCTTCTGAGAGCGACCAATCCCGTCATTGAACAACGATGTGTTTAGGCTGTTGTGAAAAGACACGTTGAGATTCTAACTAATATCTGCATACAACATCATCATCTTCACGGTTGTGTTCTAAAAATTCTGTAGTTGATCATTATATGTACATATGATAAGTCCGTTGCATAATAAACATCAACTATATTATTATAAGTTCGAACAGTATTCGAATGGCTTGATGGGAGATGAGCAAGTTCAATTTGAACTGCTCTTTCATAATTTTCCAGTTGATATTTTGTTGTTGTTGCTTATTTGCCATAGTGATAATATTATGATATGAAGAATATTTGTGTAGTTTGGCTTATAAGACTTCAATTTGATATCAAGAATTTTGTCATAATCAGGGTTACCAGATCGAAAATTCAAAAATCGGAAAATTTTTTATTAGAATCGGAAAAATGCCGGAATTTTTTCCCTAAAATCGGAAAAAAATCGGAAAGTGGTTTTTTAATGCTAAAATAGCTTATTTGTTTTTCCCTTGATAACACAATATCATTGATTCTGTTTCTGTTCATTTTTTCAATAATCTTAGAATCAATTTGATATAAAAATATAATCAAAACTTTTGATTCAAAAGTATAAAGTTTTACATACACATAAATTTTACAAAATTTGTATAAAAACACGCTAAAATTTATTAAACGTCACAATGTTTTTTCGCTCATATCCTTCAATATATCACGCTGAGTTAAAAGATATTTATACAAATACTCGCTAGGATAATTAAAATTCATTCTGATTTTCAATTCTGCAGCAGCTAATTCAATATTCATTCCATTATGATAATCAAACCATAAATGTCTCATTATGACTAAATATTCTTTCGACAAAAGGGTTTGCTCGTGGAATTGAAAAAATCTAACATATGAGTTTTTTCATATTTTATGTTGAATTAATTCGGACAATTATTTAGTACGACAGACCATAATTGATCGGTTCGTATACGATTAAATTATCTTGGAGGGCTCAAAAAACTTAAATTTAAAAAAAATTCAAAAAACCGAAGAAAATCAGGAAATCGGAAAGTTATCGGGAAAAGATGCAAAAATCGGAATCTTTCCTGCAATATCGGAAGATCTGGACACCCTAAACATGAACTACATACGTTTTGCTTCGTCTTTTTATGTGATAGTCCTAGGGTATTAATGAACAAATCTGAAACTATTTCATATTTTTAAAAGGTAGATGCATCGTTTTCATGGTTGTATTTCAACACTCAATTGATTTCAAGCTATGAGTAGAGATATATTTGATTTTTCAATTTAGATCACTTCCAGCAAGTTTCATTCCTTTGTTTTTTTTCCTAAGATATACAATTATTTAAGTGACTAGAAATTTCCCCTAGCAATTATCTTAATCGAACTATTACAACGTTGTTTAGCTTCACGAAATTTTATATTTATAAGATCTGAGCAATACAAGTTGCGTTCGAATCAACTTCTGCTGAATCTTTTTATTCAAATTTCCGTTATAGAAAAAAAACTAAGGATACGAATTTGAGAATGAAAATGTTGATCATCTATAAACAGTAAGCAAAACGAACGTTTTTATATGATTGTATTATCCATTTTCACGAAAATTTGACAACCGCGAAAAGCCTATAACATATTCCACATCCGTTCGCCTTGAAGTTAGATAGTGTACCACTAGTATTTTGTCTCCTTTTAACAGTAATGATGTTTACATTCATACAATTCAGCATCAATAAGCAAACATATGCGGCCTTTTATTTAAATGATTGACTATTAAACATTTTTTGATTTTTAGGCTAAGGAATTTTCAAGATTTAATGAAACTTATGAATTTAACCGTCAACTTTTTAATCATGTTTAAATCAACGCCAAGTCTGACTGCATGTAATCGACTAAGTGAAAATTATGATCCATATTTTACTTTGCCCAAGTCAAATTCGACGGGAGCAATCGAAAAGAATTTGTAGCATATAGAGATCTTAATTTTAATAAAATCGTTTCAACGAGCATCAGGCGAAATTCCGTTCTTGAGATCATCGCTTCGCATCGCATTAAATATAGTCCTTTTCTCCAGTTACATTCTCAATCGAAACGATGAAATCATTTTACTCTATGAAAATAATATTTGACTTATCGATCATAAGTTATGATAAAAGTAAACACGCAGTGTTGCGAGTCTAATAAATTGTGTTTTATACAATGATTTTTGTGATTACCGTTCTAAGCTTTATGCATAGTTGGGATTCTAAACAAATTTTCCAGTTGATACTTATATGTGTCTATTGACGAAAGTACCGCAAGTTCACGGTATTCATATTGTATTTTGTTCAGCGAAATAACTTGTAACAGCCACCATCAATAAATTCGTATATTACCCGATTTAAATTAGAATGATATCTGAGAACTATCACAATAGGTATTTCATCGTTATCATCAAGAAAAAGCATTTTATTTTTATAAGAGTCAGCTTAAAACAATTGTGTCGATCACATACACTACACTTCGACCTATCAAAGTATGATCTTGTTTGATTCAACATTATTCAATTATAACTAATAAATCAGTGAGATCATTTTCAATAAAAATATCGATTATTGTCTCTTAAAAAAAAAGAAATTAGCAGCTGTTTATGAAAATCGAATCTGCTTCTATCATTAACACTATAAGTTTCGATGTTCTGGAACCTTTCTCTTCCTACATCGATAAGCAGTATGTTGTTTGATTGTAAATGTATCGAGTCGAACAGTTGAAAACAAATGTAATTCTATTACTTTTATGAATGGTTTATTCTTCGTTATTTCAAAAATGAATCATTGTCTTTTTTTCTCTTTATTTAATTGAAAAGTGTTGCTCTGGCAGGTCGATGTTACCATCAGCCCACACGATTTCATCATCGCAACATGTATTTGATCAGTAAAGATCATTTACCTCTTTGTAAGTTGTAATAAGCAATTTTTCTCGTTGAGATGCGGGGCACGATATTTCTTCTGTTCTTACGCATTTCATTTTTTCCCCGTGTTCTTTCCGAGCCTTGGAGTGAGCGATGTGTCATTGCAGCCGCAATTTCGTGATTTTCTGGTCGTCAATGTGGTTATCGCTTCTCGGCCTTTTCGGCTAAGATCAAAATGTAGTATCTGTTCTCGTCGGTTTGAAAGCCGGCGCTGGTCCCATTGGAGCCAGGCTCTTTCAAGCGGATTTTTGGACATAGGCCAGGATCACCCGGGTTCACTCCCGTCTCCTTCAGGAAACGGGAATCATCTTCTTATAAAATAAAATATCAAGTTCGATCTATTTTCACAAATTTGTTAAATACAAAAATTTCATTTAGCGATGAAGCAAATGATTTCATCATTCGCCTGTTTAAATTTCGATTTATCTATAATGGCAATAGATCGAAAAATCATCATTTTATTTTGAAATCTTTCAAATTTAAATGATCTAAAGGAACAAATTCTTTATGATTTTAATAGTACATTAACAAGTACTCCATATGTTTCATCAATCAATTCAGCAACATCAAATGGTAATGTTGAATCATTTTTGCATTGCTATACAATTCATATTTTCTAGGTCTTTAAAATACGACGAATCTCCACAAGTTGATCAACCATCATCATTTGATATATTGGATTTCTGTTATGCTCTATTATCGAAACAGTAGAGCTACTTATCAAACATAACTTTATGCAACAATGAATGTATGATATGAAAACATGGAATTTTCTTAAAGTTAATTTTCTGTATGTTTTAGTTTGCATATTATTCTGTCGATTACATTCATTAATTAAACAACAATTTCCAATCAATGATGCACTTCAAAGTCGAATAATCTATAGTTTTTTTTAACCTTTTTACATACAATAGAATGGTCTGAGGAGGTAATTTTTTGTTTCTATAGAATTTGTTTTAATAGATAGTTGATCCACAGCTAAGAAATTTCATACAGATATTTTTTGTTCATGTTCAGCTGCTTGCTAGATTTTAACTATGCATGAAAATAGAAGTCAAGTAAATAATTGAATAAGAAAAGCATTGAAGCAAATCGCTTAATTTATTTTCAATTTATAATTAGATAAATCATTTATTAATATTTGTTCAAAAATGTACCCAGGTCGAAAAGCCACGATCGTATACGACCCTAAACGGCGAAATACGATAGAAAATGACCACCGCACACGGTCATTGTAAACGACAAGAGTATACGACGCAATACGACTTTCCACGGCGGTCGTTTACGACCACCGCAAACGTCAGCTGTAAACGACGGTCGTATACGGTCGTAGGTTCATCGTTTGCATCTATTGTTTCTGTTGAGATTTATAGAGGACGTGATATCATCGAACGTATGATCTCTTAGAAGTTAGCACAAGATTCGAGTTTTTCCAGCCCGGATTCGCCTATATGGTTGTGTTGAATTTCATTTTCGTTGTGTTGGATGCAGAATTTTGTGCTGAATCGAATGGTGTAATTTTTAAAGGGGGTTGCCGATCAAAATCTGGCACTTTACCTGGAAATACTGCTTTTTCTGAAAATCTTGTAGAAGTAATTCCAGCCCGGATTCGATGCTTTAGCTGTGTTGAATCTGGAAATGGCTGTGTTGAATTCAGAATGAAATTCTGCATCGAATGGTGCTAAATTTGTATGGGGTCATCGACCAAAGTTCTTCGACTTGGGTTGGGCTGGAATATAGATTTGGAGGGATGACTTGGGTGAGACCAGAGATTTTTTGATCGATGATCCCATACAAATTTAGCATCATTCGATGCAGACAATCTTTTATTTATTTCTAAGTTTAATTACTTTCTTTAGTATTTATAGCTACACTAATGATTATACTGAACGCATGCTCCACTTCCACGGCACACTCTAATCGGATGTTTTCACTTTTTTATACGCATAAATTAAATACTATCGAGTATTTCTATCTTATGTGATAATGTAAAACATGAACATTAATCTTAGTTTTTGAAAATTATCCCAAAACTCTGTTATTTAGATTATGTAGCTTTCATTATTTATCACTTGAGGTATTAAACGATTCAAAATATGTATCAAAACTTTCGAGTTGTTCTTGAACTAACTGGCAAACGTTTGCAACGCAGACGAGCTATAGAAAACAATCGCCACCGTCAAACAATAAACGAGCCTCCAACAACATCTATGCCTCAGGTTGAAGAAGAATCTATTGATGACACAGAGTTAATACATGAGCAATCAATCAATGCAGATGAAATTATTGATTTGAATACCAATTTCAATATTTCTCAAACTGAATATAGTCCAACAGAGCTTCACACAGATTTAAGCGCACATTGTAATTCGTCAATTTCCACTGACGATGAATTATTAATATTCGATGATATACTTCAATCAAATGGCAGTAACAATGTTCAACCTCTCCATTGTCATACAAACATATCAACAACCAAATGTTGTCGGCAATTAGCAAAAATTTTTCTTGATTCTAATACTAGTAATGTTCACCCTTCTCGCGTTAATAAATTGTTCAATCCTGTCCTTCACTAACCCTATAATGCGCCAAAACCATTAAAAGCACTATATGTTTCAATAAATGGTGAGATTTTATATTAGTGATAAACCATATTCAATCATTGTAAAGTTTTTATTTTATTTTGACAAAAAAATATTTTTGTCATTGCATCTTTAGAAAACAAAATAAAAGTAAAATTAATCTGTTTTTTTTCTATTTAGATTCGTTTCAATTGAACATTATTTAGGTACGTATGTTCAAACAAATCTACAGTTTTATCAATTTTTTCGTTAGATTTGTTTCAATTCAACATCAATTAGGTACGTATGTTTAAAGAAATCTAAAGTTTTATCAATATTCTTTTTGTTTAGGTTTGTTTCAATTCAACATTATTTAAGTACGTATGTTCAAATCTATCTAAAGTTTTATCCATTTTTTCTTTGGATTTGTTTGAATTGAAGATTATTTAGGTATGTTTGAATAAATCTAAAGTTTTGTCTATTTTTCCTTTAGGTTTGTTTGAATTGAATATTATTTGGGTAGATATGTTTAAACAAATCTACAGTTTTATCCATTTTTTGTTTAGATTTGTTTCAATTCAACATTGTTTAGGTACGTATTTTCAAGCAAATCCAAAGTGTTATCCATTTTTTGTTTTGATTTGTTTCAATTGAACATTATTTAAGTATGTTTGAATAAATCTGAAAATTTATATTTTTTGATTAGGTGTGTTTCAGTGAAACAATTTTTTGCTATGTTCAAAGAAATTTTTAAATTTAATTGTTTCGTCTATAAAGATTTTCCCAGATAATTCATGGGGAGTTCAAATGATGTTCTAGAATTGTGTTTTGTTACGTTATTATTGAAGAGTTTAGTGTTTCGATGAAATGAAACTTGAGACGAATTCTTTTTGTTGTAATGCATTTTTATGGAACGCTTTTAGTGATATGCAGAGATTGCTCGATATAAATAGGTTCATCCGTAATGAACGAGATGAATGTTGATGTTCTTTCTGTGATAAAACGAAACGCTTCAAAATTAATTCTAAAGATTCATTTCAATTCGCCAGTAAATTCTTGAATGAAAAAAATTCCATAATAAAAAAACAATTTTAGGAAAAAAACAATTTTAAGAAAAGAACAATTTTTAAGAAAAAGCTTTTTTAATATAAAAAAATCTCGTGTTACTCAGTAGTCTCAATCGAAGAACAAGAAAATGAAATGAATTAATTGATTGGAAATTTTTTTTTACTTACTATTAATATTCGCTCGCGCGCTCGACCAAGGACTACCCAGTCCGAGCAATCCAACAGTGGGAACCAATTGGAAGTTCAATGGGTTCCGACCAGTGGTTCCGCCGTGGGATTTTTCGACCTGGGGGGGGGGGGAGGGGCGGTGTTTTACCACCGTATTTTTGTTGTATACACTATACTTACAACATACATAGGACAAAATCACGATCAAAATACGGTCATAAACGGTTTGTTCACAGCCGTATAAAACCTGTACCCGATGACCATATTCAACTACCCGGGTAGCTCAGGATGAGGAGATCGAATAAAGAACACGTTTCAAACAGACGAAAGCATGCCAATGTATTCGATAGTGGTCGCACAGTTGCAACGTGTTCGTTGCGTTCGTTTCTTCGTTGCAGAGGTCGCTTTCAAAAGTATTAAGAAAATGGTGAGTTATAGATAAAATCCAATTTTTGTTGAAAATTTTAATTTTGGTGCATTTCGTGAAGCGACATCTGAATTCGATTTAAACATCAGAAATAAAATGCTACGGAATTAGAATCTATCTATCGTATTTATAGCAAAATAGAAGTTTCAATCAAAGCATGAAATTCTACAATAGTAGTTTATGCACAAGAGTCACAGAAGAAAGCATGAAGAAAATGCAATGCCAGTAAAACTAATTGCTTCATTCTAGTTGATCCGAAGTATTGCGTATCACAAATAGTCTAAACTAATGATATTGTCCGTATCCTTTAAAAGGCAACTTTTCAAAGTGAGTTTATTTCTAAGTGCATTAATGGATTTTCAACTGAAAATCCATTTGATGATTCATACATATGTGATTATGTAGTTTTGACCCAAACAGTTAAAGATTAAAATTCGTATTTTTAAATATAATAAAAAAAAATCTACAGAATATATATTTTCAATCAATTGAAGGTCCTAGATAAGAAACAAAATGGACATTGAAATAGTTAATGCGGTATTAAAACTATGTTATGAACAACAGACGTGCCTATTCGAAGTTCCTATTTTATGTGATTATTGCCTTGAACAACGTTTATGTACGAATTCAAAACATGTATTACCGAGTATTAAAAATTATATGGAAATATTTAAAATTAGTCGTGATCGAAATCGTATTGAGTTTTATATGCCTGTTTGTATTGTAATTTCTGTTCTATTAATTATTTTCTCATTATTCACTATTATAGTTTGAAATATGTCGAAATAATAATTATTATGATGGCGTATGTCAAATTAATGGTATATCTTGTTCAAATCTACATGTATGTTATGAATATTTCTATACAAATACATGTCGTCGTTCACCAAACTGCCCAAATCCGCATTTATTAACACGAAAATATCATGAAAATACTCTTGGAACATTAACTACTCTCCATTTAGACGCATTGACCAAAGCTTTCAAAATTTATTGTCAATCGAAAGTATAAAGTAGCAAATAAATATGAATTATTTTATTTCGACTTTATTTCATATTTAGAGACATTTATTAAATTACAGTTCTTCTACTATTTCTTCATCAAGAGGACCACAACCACCGTCGTCTTCATCATTCACTAAGAATTTAGTATTATCATTAGTACCTCCTTCTTATGTTTCTACGTCTTCTTCTACAAATAATAAACGATTAACAGTAGCTTCACACATTAATAGGGCTGCATCTTGGAAAACTAACAATCGATTAATAGCAACCCCAACAAATATTCCTACACAACAACAGAACACAAGTCAGATTCGTATGTATTTATTGGCCACATATTAAATTAGTTGACTCATCGAAGAGGATGAAAACGACCCGTGTACTTATAATGATCCGAAACTAGTTTGATACCGAAACGATTATTTCATTTAAAGTGTGTTTAATCAGAAAGTCTCTTTATTTTTGGAGAATGAAATGGAGTACCATTCTCATATTTTAAATTATTCGAATCTTTATGTTTGTTTTTATGTATTTTAGCTGAACAAGGTGTGCAAATATATTGGATACCCCAAAACGATATTCCAATACATTTCATCGAAGTAGTCTTTAGTAATCAGGGCAAATCTGATGGAGGCCCCATGCAAACCCATACGATCTATCAACATTTAGGTATTGCTCAAGTATTTTATAAACATTCAGATAGTAAGAAACAAGAAACAAGAAACAAACTTATTCAATAGAAAAAATGAATCTTCATTATCTTAGCTGCTGATCGAGTTGTTCAACATGGTGATGCAACATTTCAATCCTTCTCTTTCATACCTCGTCTTCTGCAACGAACTGTTGATATGCGACACGTGTGTTTCATAAATGTTTCTATTGACACAAAGCTAATTCCATTATACATTGACATTGTTTCAAAACCTTATAAAAAAAGGCATTTTGAATATTATCAAAATGATCAGCAAACAATTCTTGTTGAATATAATGAAGATATAGGTAAAATAATAATAATTTTTCATATTGATATAGAACTTCAAAAATCTTTTTTTGCGTTTGAAGATTTTTCTAAGATTTATTCGAATGTTCGAAATCATCCTGAACGCGATGGATTAAAAATAAAATGTATTCAATTGTATCATCCAGAAACATTACTAATTGAATATGATCAAGAATATTCGGAATGTGATATTAAGAAATTATTTATTCATCAAAAACTTTTTCATATCAAAACTTATTCACATTGTGCTTTCGTACATTTTTATTCTCACGATGGTAAGTTCATTCTACATTGAATGATCGCTTAAATATTTCTTAAGATGTTTACAGAGTTTGAGGTTATAGAACATGGATTCTATGATATGTGGATCCACTATGTCGAAGTCTCAAACCTTTTATTTTACTAGTTAACTGAAACAATTTTTTTTCTAAATAAATTATCTTTAGACCTGATGCGTTCAATGAACACTTCATTTCATGATCCAATTCGGGCGAAACCCATTTATATTGATATATATTCACAACGTCATTTGGATAATTATCTACAACAGCGCCTTTCTGAAGTTGAACGGAAACTTCCATCTACTGAAAATGAATCAATACTATCCATAGATGACATAATCGAAAACACAATAATGCCTTCTGAAAATAAAAATGATTTACTTCTTGAAAGTGAACTCACCGTACCTATTTTACCTTTGCCAACGATGGATCAACAAATCGGTTCATATTTTCATGTCTCCGTAAATTAAATATTCTTCAAATTTGTTTTTTCTTTAGACATTCTCCCCGAACGCCAATCGCCAGCTATTATTGAACGTTGTCCATCAGTATCATCAAAAACGACAGATATTCTAGTTCCTTCAATCGAATCTAGATCTACAACTGAAACAAGTGATATTGATGATGACAATGATGGTGAAATAGAAAATGAAATACTAGCTAGTGATGATGATTTTGATGATTTACCATCAGACTTCGGCAATGATGATATGTTTCTTGATGAATCAGTATATGAAAATGATGATATCGATTTTATTCGAAGTGCAGCTAAAAATTTAATGACATCATTAGCTGAAATGCAGAAAGCCAGTGAGACTATGAATAAAATCGATCAACCGCAATCAACTTTATATGGTGATGATTATATTGTTATGATAAAATGTCGACGTTTTGCATTAGCCTTTCTTGATTATACACAATTTCGTGTTGAAAAACAACGTAATCCAGATAGATTTCATTTACTGTCATCATTGAAAAAGAAAATTGACTATAGTAAAAAACAAATCGATCACAAACAGCAGGACAATACATCGACACTAATAACAACGATTGATCCAGATTTATTAGAAATAATAGAAGCAAAATCAAATAGGAAAAATCGTAAAAAACGAAATAAGAAGAAAAAAGGTTTCAATAGTAATCAAACTGATAATAAAGGTATTGCATTTCATCATAGTAGTTTGAACTAGTACAAAGTGGTTATCTTTTAAAATTAAGTCAAAAAATTCCGAAAGTCTAACGGGCACAAAATTTTTATGATAACTTCTAATATGAATAGAGCCTGTAATACCCGAGCTTGCTTACGAATCAAATATAGTTGATATGATTTTTTCGTGTATTAGAGGAAAGAATGTTTCATCAAGTTCGAAGTATCCTATTCTTAACGTTTTTATTCCTTCGAACGTTACATATCGTTGTCATGAAGACAATGAAATTGATTGATAAGTAGTAGTTTTGATGACTCAAATATTCGTTTTTTTCCTACATCATTGTATTTTTACTATAATTTTATTTTAAAAGATAAAACCGAGGCAACACCAGAATCAGTCACCGAAGAAGATGACGATGATACCATGATGCACACTGTTCACGAGCAAGAACATAATAAAAAAGATTCGCCTGCTAATCGATTACCTCATGTCTATCTTGACGATGATCTTAGACCATGTATTGTCGTGGAGGGCGAAGAACATATTGACGAAAATGGACAAGAAATTGGTGAACACGAAGGCTGGCATAGTATTACGGCTGGTGGTAAACAGGTTCTAGTTTCAAAGAAGAAAAAACAACAATCAAAATTTTATCCTTCTGAACAAGTAAAAATTTCATAATAATAAAATCAAAATAGAAATTATACGAAATTACTTGTTTGTATGCTTTGGTTTAGGATTCAGCCACGGCAAGTACTCCAACAGCAACAAGCATTCGTTCACAACCTCAAGCAAATGAATGTAATTCATTAATTATCCCAAATGATTGTCGTGGCTTTATTCACAATTCAAAACTATATGAAACATTTCGTTTACGTCTTCGTCGTTCATTTCCATCTATCAATATTCATTTTCAATCTGATACTTATACAGTCATCATCGATGGAAATATTAAATCAAACGTTCAACAATGCCTTAACTATCTTAATTCACTCAATACATATAAGCATTCCATAAAAATATCGTATGAAAATTTTCCACAAACAACAATAACAAATATAATTCGTATGCAACAATCAACAGCACAAATCAAACTTGACCCTAAAGCTGATTACAATCGAATATTTCGTTCGACATATCGTCTTATTGATTATCAATTAAAACAATCACTCAATCAACAACAATGTGTTTATTGTCGACGATCAAATAAAAAATTTAAAGTAACATACTTAGAATTTCCACGTGAAAAACAATCTATTCGAGAAATAAATGATTCTATTCAAGAACGAGTATTGCAATTATTGACGACACGTTTTACATATATTGCTATTGCATTATCAGCTGATTTAATGACAACAAAGCGTTGGGCCAATTTTTATGGAGATTTATGTAAACATAAAGAATTAAATAAAACTTTGTTAATTAGAAAAATGAATACAATTATACAAGTTTATGGTTTAAATACAAATGTGCAACAAATACAAACGTTATTAACTAAGTTTTTAGATCTTCATCGTTATGAAACCGATGTTATTGAAACCGAACAGGTAAACATTTATATTTATGAACTAAAAAAATCCCTCAAGTTTATTGAAATTTGACTCTTGAAAGAAGATTTTTACTGGATAAACAGTTTTAATAGTGAAGAAGAAATTTTCAAGAAAACTCAACATGAAATTATGACTGTTTTCAATTTTAAGAATGTTGTTTTAATTGCCGAAACTAGAATTCTGAGGATTCTAATTAATATGATTCACGTTTGCGATATATGTATATCTCTTTACTTCAAATGAGACAACCCTGCTGTAAACCATCACTAATACAAATTAATTAGCTTCAAGAAGTCTCGTTATTCTGCCGCATCTTCATGTATTGATGCTCTTTTTTTGAAAATATTTTTGACTCCTACTACAAAAGTTTTTTGCAAAACGAAGTTTGGTTAACCATATATGAGTCAAATTCCTATTGCTATATGTTAATAATGATTTAATTTTTCATTCTATATTATTATTGCAGGCTAGTGAAATGTACTGTTTATTCAAAAATGAATTTGAAGAGATGAAAAATCTTGAAATGTTTCGTGATGTTGAATTACGTTTCATTTATCGTCGTCAACAGCGTATTTTACTTGTTCAATGTTTTCAAGAAAAATTCGAAATGGTTAAAAATCGAATACAAAAAATGCGTAGCGAACTTTCAGCGATTGCTGTACCTGTTAAATCACCGATACTCAGTCGATATTATCCTAAATCAAATGAAATTCAACGTATTGCTGGTATAAACAAAGTCCGATCGAATTCATACATTCTCTTTCCTTTTTTTTTGTTCTCTATATTTTATAGCGGCATCAGCTTGTATTATCACATTCGAACAACGTGTCGATCCTAATCGAGCAAATGGTAAAAATAAAATTTTACTCGGAGCAATAATTCAAATGGGTTTTCCTTATTTATAGATTATTTAATCAATTTAAAAGTAATCGGCCAATCACTTGAGAAAACGACAATAGCACAACGATTAATCAAACAATTTGAAGAACAAAAATATTCTACAAAACAAATTTTCAACAATGACATTAAAAAACTCAATGCACAAGATGTAAATACTTTGTTTTCGTTGAATAGAGAATCCAAAATAATGAAGCTACTCCGTGCCTCTCTGCATTTTTTCTTATGAAAAAATTGATCAACGAAAAATAGAAAATTTTCTTTACTCGAATTATGGAGTTTTCTTCAATGTCAGAAGATAAATTTTCAATTATGATATGTGCTCAGTAGATCAATATCAGTTCAGAATAACCGAAGGAAAAAACAAAGTCATCTGTTGATTGTAGCGTCGCTCTGTGTTATTTTATAACGTATGTTCAATTTAGATTGAATTACTTCAAAATCAATGTAATACATGTAATGTTTCATGTAAGATCGATCATACAAATGGTTTAGTTGAATTAGAAGGTCTTTTGGGAGATTTCATTCAAATTGAAGAGATGATTCGTGATTTATGCTTAACGACTACTCGACGAACACCGAATGATATACCATCGTCAACTCAATGGATATATTATGAAGCATCAACAAATAAACCGCTTGAATATGATATAGTTATTAGAGAACAATTAGAAAGTTGTCATACAAAAAAACTAAAAGGATTAGTAAGAGAATTAAAGATTTTTTTGCTTATATGCAGATAGTTTTTAATTTTAGGTTAGCTTTAGTGATCATCTAGGAAATACTCGAAATTTTAATTTGGATAAAATGGTTGAAATTATCTACGGAAAAGATTCAAATTCGTCACAGATTATGATCAAAATTGAACGACGTGATTTTAAAAGTAAGCGGCGTATAAGATTTCATGCATTATAGAAGTTATTATCTTGATTTTGTTGGATATTGATTAGAATATACTTTAGCATGTATTTTGCCTAATATATATATATATATATATATATTAATTCAAATAGATCCTCAATCAATACAACTTCCGACACATTGGACACCAATGACAAAACCATGGGAACGTGTATTGATCGGGAAACGAGATCGTTCACATGAATGGAGTAAGTTACTCGTAAGAAATCATATCTAATGAAACATTTTGTATTTACTTAGAAACCAATGTTGAAATTCAAAGATTACTTCAATTACCGGAAATGCTATCTGAATCATGGATTATTGAAGTAAATAAATTATTTTCTTTCTTCAAGATAAACAAGGTTTAAAATAGATCTATCGTATACAAAATCCACGCGTATTTCAACAATATGTTGCTCACCAAGAAAAATTATCTGCAGGGTCTCAACCTAATGAACGCATTCTTTATCGTTTGGCACAACTTAATCTTATTGATGAGATGTGTGCGAATGGATTTAATCAATCTCATACAGATTCAGCTTGTAAGTTTAAGATCGAACTTCTACTGGTTTATTCCATTGTAAAACTGTCTTCTATTAATATTATTGTTTTAGTCTCAACTTATGGCCATGGTTGTCATTTCTATTGTAAAATAAAAGATATAAATCGTGCAGCAACATTACTAGCTCAAAATTATCAAACACTACCAATTAGATTACAACAACAAACACCAGCAAAAGCACCCGTACGATATTTATTTGTATGCAAAGTCTTAGTTGGCCGGTGTGCACGTGGAGATCCATCAATGAAAACATGTCCACCTGGTTATGATTCTTTAGTTGATAATATAGCTTCACCAGAAGTTTTTGTACCTTCTCATGACGTTCAAGTTTTACCAGAATATTTAATTGCTTATCAAAGTGATATTTTCTAAATGAGACATAGTTATATTCTCATATATATATATATGATATTTCGATAGCTTATTTTTTTCATGCTCAATTTGTTATTTTGTTTTCGTTTTTTCTTGATAAGACAAAAAACACAATGGAAAAAAAAACATGAACAGTTGACATTGCATTTTCTGTACGATAATTTCACTAGCATAAAAAAAACTATTTTTAGTTGTTTTCCATAAGATAGATTAACGATTTGATAAATAAAAAACAAAAGACATGATAATAAAAGGAGGAGATTTCAACCAGAGAAATATATCTATGAAACGCTGGAATACTTTTGATAGTAGTAAATAATAAAAACAAATTATATTTAACAATATTCATTTTGTATCACGAGAAATTTTTTGGCATTTTCCAACGACTGTATTTGTCGTTCGCCCACAAAGTAGCCAGATAATTAAACTTGAATAAACAAATGAGCAACTATCTTGAAGTAAAGGAAGACATGCCTCCAATGGGAAAGACTACAATAAGTGAAATCCAAAGTAATTTCCCTACAACATAACGAAATGATCAAAAACTTGTATTAAATTAATGCTTATGAGAAATGCGAACAATCAGATACATTTTGTCAGTATGAATTTTGCTTTAATCTATACTTACTATTTATTTATTTTCACGTATCAAAAAAGAACTTATCTGCATTGTTACTGCTCAGAATAAAACACATATCAATGAGTTCGTTTAAAATGGGTGCAGTACTATTCTTTTTCTTTATTTAAATGTGGACTCAAAAAAAATCCATCTTTGGGAACTTGACCCAATGTTTCATTGGTAAACTTGTACTCTTTATATATCGAACTGTTTTACGTTTTCCATAATGTATTGTATTTTGAGTATTTTTTATCGCGTATGTTCTTTGATTAGCCCTGGTGTATCTCTGACGTAATAGTCTTTTTTAAATATATAACCCCACATGTTTCTTCAAATAGTTATGAAAGGAAGAAAAGCATTTAATTATGCGTCGACTTTTTTTGTACCAATGAAATAGCGTTCTAGTGCCGATCACAAGATGTCACATATCTCGACGTAATATATTAATTAGAGATACTCCATTCACCTAGCAAAAACATTTCACTGTCATTAGCGAGTATAGGCATGATTTTGTTGCAACGTGACATATTTTATGAATAATTGCATTTTTTTTGTACATCAACATGATGCGTAAACGAAAGAAATTATTTATCCATGAATCAATCAATAAACATACTAATTAATATTTTTTCTACATAAACCAAGTCCATACTCGCTACTATACAATATTCCTCACTTATATTGAAAAGCAAACAACATTGTCCCGAACACACATATCATAGTAACAATACTATTTGCCTACACTTCGGTTCGACTATGTCTCATGCAAAGCCTTCTTCGCCCAAGAAAAGAAGTACACATTCAGCAAAACGTCTCGATGGCTCTCCTCGTGATGGACTAACAGGTATGGGCCCAGGAACACAAATGCATTTTGCCGATGTTCAAGCAAAAATGTTCGATTATATTGGTGAAGATGTACCATGGGAAGAAGAACAAGAACTAGACCAAAGCCGACGCAATCAGCATGCTCATCATCCTAAACATCAACCACAACATCATTTGCATGTTCCTCCACCGCCACCTTATCCACATCATTATTTCGTTGATGGAGCAAAAGATTCAAAATCAAGGACAAAAACTCCGTCACCAAATATTGTGCGAAAACACCATACACATACTGAATTGCCTAAAAAAGGATCTGGCCATCATTAAAAAAAGGACACGTTCATATTGAGATACTGAATAATATCTAATGTCTACTTTGTTTTGTATATCAGCTAGACATTAAGTAATGTATTCAAAAGATAATTATCGAAATAAATTCTAACATCCACAAAACACATTGGTCTAATAAGGTCTCAAATTTAGTCTATTTATCATAAAAATGCTTGCTTGAATATGACTTTATTCGATTCGAAATTTTTCTCCTATTCGAATAGCCAACATAGGCAAAGAAATTCAAATCTCTATTCAGGCTGTTTTCTACGATTAATATACAAAAACAGATTAACTTTTCAAAGTAAAATAAAAATGATTTTATACTCGTGAATATCTGTTTTTGAAAAACATTCGCTGTTTCGAATATCTTATCACTGCAGACAATTGCATTTTATTTTTTATTTTTCTAAGCTATCTAAAGCCTCAGGAATGTTTGCAGACAAATATTGATCAAAACAGCATTTTGTTTTTTTGTTTTGGTAGATTTATTTTAAATTGATACCAAGTGTCATATTTCGTAGTATGAATCAGGGAAATACTGCTGCATGTGTTTTTGTTAGAAATTAAGACTAACTGTTTGATATTAATCGAGCTGCGTTGTTGCACTCATGGCATACGAAATCGACTATACTACTAGTTCATTTTGCCTATCAACACCCACACACGATGCGAAATATGTGGCATCAATATTACTTAGTTACTTCGAACTACTCAAAGAGAAAACAAATGGTGCCTCTTCAAGGACCGGTTTTTAAATATAGAATAATGCAAATTTGTCAATAAGTCTTTCTAATTTCTAATTAGAGTTTTCGTGTTTAAATTAATAAGAAAAAACAAAAGAAACTTAACACTGTATCGCTGCTTGATTGATAAATTCAACTATCTAATCACTTATGAACTATGATTCAATGTTTTAATTCTTTCTTTTGCTAACCAAAAAGTAAATGTCTGTTATAAACTGAAGATCGACACGTTTTTTTCGTTCTCGTCAGATTACCATGAGAAAAAAACATTAGTATCAGAGTGGACGTAGGCGTCAAAAATAATGATTTCGTCTCTAACTGAGAATCGACAAAACATATTTTCCAGCTGTTACTTCTCTATTCAATTTTGTAATCTATACACTTTTCATTCTCTATTTGTGTAGAAAATGTTTTCGTATAGTAAATAGTATTAGTTGTAGACACTCAAGCAAGTACAATAATGAGTTAGTAGATGCAATCGACTTTCTTTTCATAGTTTTAAGACTTCCAATTTCTAATTAGATGCATTCGTTTGGAGTTTAATTGTTGTATTGTGTACATTACTATCGTTTCTTATTATAATCGCTCTTTACTTGCAAAGAAAATCAAACAGAACAAGTCTCTGGCAATCGTCAGCAACTGTACAATCAGTTATTAGATCAGCACCGATTTCAAGGTAGAAATGAAAATGAAAAATATTTTTCTTACTTTTGCAAATCTATTTCATGTAGAAGATCATCTTCATCATGCTTGATTAATCTCGAAAAGCAACAGCAATCGTCAAGATCTCGTTCGGCTTCGTTTGGAGAAGATCTTACTGCTCGTCTTCAAATTTTAGCTTCTGGTACTAGTTATCGTTCTTATTCTCCAGCGACCATCCATCCTGCATCACGTACAACTCGCTCATCACTCGGTGGAACTAATCGTTTTCCCATAGTCAGCACTATATTTCCGATGTAAGTAAAACTTCATCTACTTAACTGACCTGATTTTATTATTTTTCTTTAGCACTCCAGTAAAACCAACTGTGCCTGCAATTACATTTCAACTTCGATATGAACAAATATTGGAAACTTTATTTATTAGTATTTTTCAATTAAATAATTACACGACAAGTAAATTCGATGACGATGAAACATAATTTTGATATTAATTTTTTTCTTTATAGTTAAAGATACTCAAAATATATATGTTATTCTTTATTTATTACCCGATGATGACGAACAACGTCGAACACGATCATCAACCGATGGTATATTTAATGAAAATTTTCATTTTCTAGTAATATGAAAAAGAAAATTTTACTTTAAAAAAAACCGAAATATTTCATTTTAGTTAAAATCAGATCAACTATTAAAACGAACATTACGTTTAACAGCATATAAGGTTGATTTAACAACGCGTATTCGTCAAATCATTGGACATTCATTTATTAAATTTGATAAATTTATTGATGAAAATAAAATTGATAAAACTTTTTCAACTAATACATTATTAGAATGCCTCGCTCAGGATTTAAATATTCGATCAGATTATCTCGGAGAAGTAATATTAACAAGTTCTTATTTAAAAAATCAAAATCTCATCCAAATACGAATACAACAAATTAATCAATTACATATTGAACAATCGAAATTTAAAACTCCACTGAACGGTAGAACTTCTTTCCAAAATAGAATTCTTTAAATACAAAGAATTTTTTTTGTAGCTCATTTCAGTGGTCAAACATCTAGTATATATAATAAATATCATTGGGCAACTACACCATCATTTATGATTCCTTCATCATCGTCATTTATTATTGATCAGACATTACAGTTACCTGCTTATGCATCGTTGGTATCAGCAAGTGACAATCAAGTTGAATGTCATCTTCAACTTCATATACATAATTCTAATCAAATACATAGTCATGCTCGATGGAAACATTCGCTACAGTCGACTATTCCACATACGTATACTGTGTCACTTGTTGCTTTGTAATTGGAGAAGCAATTTGTTGTTGTTGTTTTTTTTTGTCAGAAGAATGTTAAATATATTTAATTATGAGAATAATACTTTCATTTTTGATGCCAATGATCGATATCGTGAAATAACTTTAAAATGAAAATAGAATAAAATAATAGATATTTTTCTGGCGAGTATACTTTTGGTAATCGTGTAGATTTTTTTTGATCAATTAAGAATTCTTTAAATGATTTAATAGCATAACTGTTAGATAATTTCGAGTTCTATTTTAATAAGAAAAAAAAAGAATGTTTGCTTTTCTTCTCGAAACACTGTAAAGAAGTGACCAATTTCGGGAATTATATAACAGTAGATATCAGTTATTTTCCTATTTGAATTTTAGAGTAACATGAATATCATTGTTTCGACTCACAACAAAAACGATGCCATATTGTATACAGTTGTCGTAAAAAATTAAGTTTTTGCTGAAACAGTTAGAATATATTTTGTATTTATTTAACTGTAAGTTTTAAAATTAGACTAAGAACCAATCGGAAAATTATCTGCCTTAAATTTGACATAGGAAAGGAGCATCATATTCGTAAATATTTATAAGATGAATATGAATCCTCTATCATTTTGTAGAACATCAAAGGCTGCATTGATCTAGACTATGGGTTTTGATACTCGGTTTACAATTGAAAAGATTATCGGGAGTACAGCTATTGTTTAAACTATCCTACATGTTGATAGATCTTTTGAGGTCTCATTCAGTCATATCATGTATAAATAGCTTTACTAATTCATTGTTTTGTTTGTCGAAAGCCGATGCATCAGCGCCTTCATGTGAATCGACTTTCGGTTTGTTAAAATTGAATAGCGTTTTTGAATTTTTAAATCCCTTCGAGTTCGATCCTGGTTTTGTACTTGATGAAATATCAGCTTGAATCTGAAGAATAAAAATAATAGAAATATGATTTTCTGACTTAATAACCATTTACTTTGCCAAGCATTTGTTCGCCATCTGAAGTACGTTTTAATGAATTACGAATTGTTTTTGGTATTCTATGGAGTTGGTGAATATTTATTGGTACATATGTAGAAGATGATAGATGATGATCGACAGAGAAAAGATCTAATAATGTGCTTTCATCGAATTTACTCGAATTTTGCTGATCATCACTAGTACTATCGAGAGTACGAAGAAACGAAAGTAGTTTTTGTATAGAATTATTAGTATTAGCATTAATCTACCAAGAAATTTGTCCTCGCAAAATTAATCAAAATAGTTGAAAAAAAATCTTATTTTTACATCCGATGATTTCCGGCCGAGTTTTGTATCGAACTTTGAAAGCTTTGATTTTTCACCTTGACGAAGATGTTCAAGAAGTTGCACATATAGATTCTTATGACGATTTCCGATTAAATCAGCTGAACTTGATGCAACTTGTATTGACTTATGGCTAAAAGAAGAATACTACAGTAGTCCAACAATGAAGACACAGAATATTAGTGAATGCATGACAAAACTACGTTCGGTTTAGATAAATTTTACGAAAAATGGCTGCTGAACAATTCGAATATACTGTCGGAATTAATTTTCAAATAAATTTAAAGTCATCATAGGTCTATCAGGCATTCACTGACATTTTGTACACAACATTCACGACCACTACAATATGGAATATTTATTTTTAATTGTCATAAAATACCTATTTGAAAATAGATTTGCCGACGATTGTTTATTAGTTTTTAGCATCGAGTTTTTACTAAAAGATGATTTCAGTGGTTCTAACAGTTGTCTTGATTGTAATAGATGACTATTATCATGGACATTATTCTTTACAGTAAGATCTATTTCATGTTCTATTGAAGGTCGAAATCGATGATTTTCTGAAAAAATATTCTCTGGGAAATTCTATACAACATTAGAATTAAATATTAGAATGGTAGCTTAATAAAAAAAAGGATATAACCTCAGCTTGTATTAATTGCTCTAGTTCGTCTACATCAATTTGATTCACTTTGCACGAAAGATTCTTTTTAGTGATTGATGAATGAGAACTACGTTTGTTAAACAGTTTTCGATGACTAATATCATGTTTAGGATTTTTCGATGCCGTTGAAGATCGAAAACGAGTATTGATGGATTTCTGTTTAATGTTTGAGAGCTGATATTGCAGCGCAAGACATTCGTGATCTTTTTTTATTGTTTGCAAACGCTCACGAAAATCGCCATATTTATTTAAATAGCTTGAAAATAAAACGAATTTCTAATCTCTTACCACCAGTGATAATACATACTTATTCCATAGTTTACTTTACAAAAATTGAGTAAGATTTATAGATAAGTATTTATCAAAATCTTCGCTTACTTGTACGCAATTCCACAAGTCATATTTTTATTATTACGAGAAAATAAAGAATAATTGTTGCTAAGATATACAGCTATTTATTCATCATGAAATGCAACAATTCTTATTAGTATTTATTCTATTAATTATCGATGGGTATCCAGTAATAGCTATTGAAAGCCCATTATGTATGTAAGTAAATGTCAAAATCGTCGCGATAAAATATAATTTTTATTTTAGATCAATCTATTAATATATCTTTAGTCACCAATACTGACAATGAAATTCAATTCACTACGACCGATGACTTTGATAACGAAGAGATTCGTGCCTCATTAAATTATTTTATCAAATGGTTTACACCAGTTTTAGTAGTATTTTCATTGCTTATAGCACTTGTTTGTCCATTTTTATTATGGATTTTACAAGAACGTTGTTTATATCGTTCATCGATAAGTTCGAATCATCAATCAACAATATTGATTGCTACACCACGATTACTACTTATCGATCCACGAACAAAATTACATTCACCACCATTCGATAATACTCCGTTTAATTCACCTGAAGAAAAGAATTCTTATTATTCATCACGAACATCATCTATTTATACAACGATTTAAATTATATGAATTCATAGAAATATTCTCGGTGCATCGTTGTTCGTTTTTATTAATAAAAATTCGCGCTCATACCTAAACATTCTCATATTGCAATGATAATTAATGACATTCAACACCAACAACATTCGAATTTTTATCAAACAGATCAGGTATTAAATGAACAAATTCATTTGCAGAATACTAATGATTCAGTTGGAAATTCTCAAAACACAATTCTGGCTAATATTCAAGGTACAATATTTATGGAATGAATACATAAATTGTTTGTATAAATAGATAAAACGTTTCATCGAATTTTCGAGAATTCAAAAAATCTATTTAATGATATATTCAATCATCCATTGCTAATGGATTATTTTAATGTGTACCTATCGTTACCTGTCGGTAATTGAAAAAGTATTGTCGTTTATTCGCAATGAAAATTTAGATTTTTGGACAACGTGTTCTTTGTCATCGTCGAACTCTTCAACTTGATTTCGATCCACCACTAATAAGGAAACATCAGGTTTTATATGTTTATATAAAATAGAATTCTAGAATTTACTAGTTTATGTTGATTGATTTCTGAACAGACCTATGAAGAAGGCAAAGAATGGTTGATTAATTGTCGATTCAATAATTATATTCGTACAGATATTTACATAGAAAGTCTTCTTGGTTTATTACTAATACAAGTAGATGAAATGAAAGGTTACGCGTTTTTTGAATAATTTAAGTAGACGAACAATATTTAGAAATGAACTATTTAGAATTTTCTTAAACGATCGAAGTTAGAGCTGAGAACACATTCGTCTAAGAAGAAAAATGCTCATCGAATATGGAAAATATTTTCTCAAAGAGATATTCCGATCTAAGAAGTCTTAGTTTTTCTATAAACACTTTGTTTAAGATATTACTCTAAAGAAAGCAATTTGAAAATCATTCGATTCTATTATAAAAAAGATTCCTCAAATGTTGTAGAATCACCTTCGATATCACATAAATTTATTCATTCAAAAGCACCAGCAATTAAAGAAGAACCGCTTCTATTTTCCACAGTAACAGACGTCCGACAATTTTATCAAGTAAAAACATTTTCAAAAATAAAAAGTAAATCTGTCTTTTAGTTTCTTCAATCTACTTCGGGCATTAAATATTGGAATTTCTTTATCGATTCAATGCGTTTACTTCAATCGCGACCGGACCGTATTGATATTTCATACTTAAATTTTATCAATAAATACTATTCTCGCCATCATGAATTCTGTTCGATTAAAGTCGATTTTGGTAATTCCCCGATGCCTGATTCAAGTACACCAGATTCAATCTGGTTTCAAATGGCAATCAATGCCATGAATCAGTTGCGAGTCTATTGGTTGTCTCGCTACCTCAATCAGTTACGTCGATCAGAAAAACCTCCGACAACAATGGAATCAAAGTCAAAACCAGCTGAAAAAATGATTAAACAACCATCAGAAAATAATATTGTAACACCCATTAATCGTACGTCTGAAGCTGATGTCATAACAGAAGAATCTCGGTTAGTCAAAGTCTCTCTGGAAAATATCTCTTATGTTGATTGCAAACCCGGGCAATATATATGCGTTCAACCATCGAAGCAACATAATTTTCAAGACGACTTCGACGAATCAAATGATGATAACAATAAACAACTGATAGATACTGATTCTAAACTAAAATGCGAACTTCCATCATATTCAACATCAGATCGTTCCATTGAAGATTATGCAACTGATGCTAATATCGAATTATTTTATCGTATACTTGTTTCAGATTCATTAGCTGGCTCGCCATTTCTGGAATATATTTCTCAAGCAGCATCCAAAACGGATACAACATCGCTTCACACTTGTATTCATTGTATTGTTGATGCTGAAATTCTATTATCGATTCCGTCGGGAAAACTGAAGGAAAAAATTCTTAAACAGTTTATTTTTCGGTAAAAAATTCAATATTGATCATACGACGAATTATTCTCGTTGTGTCACAGATATTTCGAAGTGACAGCTATTGAAGCATTCCCTAATCGAATATTCGATAATATTGAACAAGAAAGAAATGATTTAATTCAAGAATTAATACGAAATAACGATACTAATGAATATTTTCTTTTTTGGAAACTTGTATTAAAAATTACCAAGGTAAAAAGCGTTTTGTTATTGCCGAATAAGATAGCGATAAGCATGATTTCATTTAGTTTTTAATTCCTCATTATCTTAATTACATTAAATTCGATCGACTGCGTTTTCTTATTCAAGTAAATCAATTATAGTGAACTTTTCAATTGATTTATTTTTCTGATCAAATTCAGGGAAAATTTTCAAGGAATAATTCTATCGTCGATGATCTACATCATCTTTTACCTTCAATCAATTTCGATGTACTTTTCTCAGACCAACAAAATGTAGAACAGAACAATCTAAATAGAAAACATACAAAAGAAACGGATATTCTCTCAAGAACACCTCCAACGAATTGCCATGAACAACATCAACATGACCTTTTGAAATCATACATTAAAAAATATTATCATACAACTGAAAAACAAATTAATACGGATGAACGGTGTGAATTTCGGCCCGGCGAACGTTTTCCTCCATTAGCTGATCATGAATTTGAGCAAGAGCTGCGTCGATTTTGTACAAAACTTGAACAGAAAACTATCGAAACTATTCTTGGGAAATCATTTGACGCTCGAATAACTCCTCAGCAAACAAACATAACAGTATTTATTTTTCTTTTCCAGTATAAACTCTTCAGAATATGCTGAAATTTGAGTAACTTTTGAAAACTCTTGGTCTCCAACACGGAAAAGGTTTCATATCTCAGAAAACACTGTTGTAACTATAAATGTGCTTTTTTAAAATTTAATACTACTTTTGAGGATATCGAGCTCGAAAATCTAAGCAGACATAAAAACGTTACAACATCTATAGAGAGCCCATTTCTTGAGCCATTCTTCCATTTCTCTTCGTTTATAGACATTCATTGGTGATCCAGTATCAAATAGTAAAATAAAACGAACATTAACATCAAATGAAACTTTCAAATTGAATTTAATTGAAATATTTACACAAGAAATAATAAATTCCGGTCTCGAAATATTTGAAATCGATCGTTTTATTTCAAATATAATGGACGAAACTCTTCAACATATTCAATCGAATTCCATTAAAAGCGATTCAAGTTCATCATCGTCATCCTCATCGGTATATGAAGAAACATTTGTAACTGATTCTTCTTCAAGAACAACACTTTCACAAGTAATCACTAAAGATATCAACACGAACGCATTTGTATCTTCGAATTCCGAAAGCGAACTTGTTAAATTAGAAAAACCAATCGAAAGAAAAATTCTCTCCACGCATGGTTCATACTTTATTAATTCGCCGAATATAATAAAACATACGGATAGTTTCATTTCTCAATCAAATTTACTTCCTATAACATCTATAGATCCTATTATTTATACTGATTTAAAATCTATTAATGAATTTTCCTTTCATCAAGAGTGTGATTCTTTTTCACCTTCATATCGAGGTGTAATTAAAGAGCTTACTATTGATAACATTGGGATTGGTCATTTACATATTGATCTAACTAAAACAAATATTATATCTAATAAAGACAACATTCTCAAGCTAAATAATAATAAAATAAAATTATATAAAAATAATCATGTTGAATTTCTTTTAGCTAATATTAAATCATACAATATTTATATGACTGAACAAGAATTATATTTATGCCTTGATAATTTTAAATTACGACATGACTCATCGAAAATAAATATGCAAAAATTCGATGAAAAAAAGAATTATTTTTATGAATCGATTAGGTTTGCACAAAAAGATGAGAGTAGTGAAATAAATAATTCCGTTCCGGACAGCAATTTATTTTATTTACAAAGTAATAATGAAAAACACTTGCTAGAATTTATTCACAATGAAATACATAACCATCAATGGCCATTACACGAATATATTGGTGATCAAGGACAACAAGCATGGCGAGCATTGAAGCTCGCAGCAGATATCTCAAATTTCGATGATGGATTCATGTTGAATTATCATAATGATTTAGATTGGATTTCAACTGATAATAGTTATGGTTCATTTAATCAACGAACTTCTTTAATCGTTCGAAATTTTGAACGTCGTATTGCGAAACAAAAACTATCGAATCATAAAAATAACTATTTTCAATAATCAAAGATAATAAAATTGTGATTCTATTAAAAATGACTATCTCCCTTTAACGAACTATGACATTTAATCAACTAATTGTCAATGAGAGCGAGAGACAGAGCGATATACAGAAAAAAAATCATGACTGACGTGGCAAGAAATTTCCTTCTGCTTCATTGTGCACGTCTATTCGAATAGAAAAGACAGATTACTAGACGATGTGATTATCATCATCTGTGAGAATCAATTTTATTCGATCAAAAAGAAATAGCTGGTTGAATGAATTTGATAACATACGTCTGACATGTTTACCAATTCTTAAAAATAACTCAACTTTGGAATGTTCTATTGGTTCAATGCACAGACTGTATATGTTAAAAAAAAACGTTTTCACTGTCTGAAAAGTTTCCATTCGAAATCAAACGCATATGATTATTTCCGGAATCATACACACAATTAATGTTTTATCTTTTGCAGTGAAACCGATTATTCGAAATTCTTTACATAGTCAAACATTTTTTTTATTGCGAGTATTGTATTAGTATAGTTTTTCTCATACAGCTAATTGAAATTTCAATCGAAAAATGTTTTTTTCTCGAAAAGCAAATATTTGTTCTTATTATTCGCAAGAAATAAAAGCTTGAAAATAACATATTTTTTCATATTATCATTTGGAAACAGAAAAGAAAACAAAACGACAATAATAATAATAATAATAATAATAATAATAATAATCATAGGCAAATATTTAACATAAAGTTTCAGCATAGTTCTGTTTTGGCACAGTTAAGTCTTTCGAATAAATATCAAAATAATTTGGATTACTCCATTGAGATGTTTGTGGAAAATATTGTGCTACTTCAAGGTCACAAGGATCATCGGATGGTGGTACTTGTTCATACATATTATATATTGGTCGTGGATAAAATTGTTTCGATCTTTGTCCAATAGGCTTAAATGCACTATTTTTATTACTTATAAAATCACTTAATGAAACATAGTTTGATCGACTATATTCATAATTATTATTTGTATACCGATATGGATAATAATTTTGACAAGATGATGATGATGATAATGTTTCTACAGGATAATAATGATGACGATGTGTGTTATAATTATTATTGTCGAAATTAGCTATCGTAGCTAAACGACGATACGATGATGATGATGAATATTGATGATTATTAGTATTAGTTTTTGTTGAATAACGATACGGTAGCTGATGAGAATAGCAGTCATGAATTGAACTATAGTTTTTCTTTTGATGAGATGCTGCAAACTTAGTTGGATGATTATGTGATGAATATGCATCGACTGGATAAACCTTTTAAACAAAGAAAACACAAATAAGAACAATCGTAGAAAAGAATTCGATGAAATTTTACCGGTTCGGTAAATGAACTTTGCTGATAAATAGACGAATAATTATTTGGATAGTACGAAGATTTTTTATTCGATACTGAATTTTCAATTTGTTTGTTCATTATTATAGAACTATCTTCGGACAAGTGTGTTAAGGGTGCTGTTGATGTTGCTTTACTACAAGTTGTTACAGCTGATGCATATATTTGCGATGAAGTTGATTTGGAAGTAAACTTCGATTTTGCGCGTTCATATTGTTTACGAATAAAACTTGATAGACGTGAAAGATTTTTACTTGTTACTGGTTTATCATAGGTAGAATTTGTTGTTATTGATAAAGACTTGTTTTGTGATTGTGATGTTGATGATGACGTAGACGATATAGAAGATTTTTCAAGTGTACTAGGTAAAATCTCATGAATGGATTGTGGAGATCCATTAACTGGTGTTGCCGATGAAAGATCACTGTGATAACCACTGGAACTCGTAGTTTGTGGAGATATACGACGCGGGTCACTTATCGGAAGATGACCATTCGAACGCATAACTATTGACAAACGAGCGGTTGGTGGTACTGCAGGAAATGGTGTTACAAGGCAATCAAGACTTGCCCAAGCTAGAAAAATAAATAAATACCTAATTAAAAGCAAATTATTTATTATTTATCTGTAATCGAACCCTATTCTTTTTTTTCTTCTAATATCATATTGATATGCAAGGCGACTGCTTGCTATTTCTTTTCTTTTTTTTATCATTTTTACGAACTTATTCTTATTCGATGCTTCTTTTCATTCTCATTCATAAAACAGCAGTGTCTATTCTCTCTATATACGAAGCACATCTTTCGTTAGTGAGCGAGGATGATAATTTTCTTAGGGGAAGCACACAATCTGTTGTCACACACAGACGCCTAAGAAGGAAAGGATAAGACACACACACACACTTACACATGCACGCGTAGCTACGAATTGAGTATACTTGACCACGAAGAGAGACACAGAGAGAAAAAGATGGGTGCGCTAGGCATCACAGTGTGCAATTAGTGTGATAAGTGGTCTCTATATATACGAATAAATGTATACGACTCTTAAGAGTAATGCCTAATTTATGTGCGATGAAGAAAAAGTATGCTGATGCTGATGATGATGATGCCATATATATATATATATATATATATATATATATATAATCAGCGGTACAAGTGTATTGAACGATGATCGCAGGGCGGCGACTATAAACAGTTAGAGAAGAGACTCATACACTTGCAGAAAATAATAATAATGATGATGATGATGTAACTGATTCATTGATATATTAAAATAAAAAGTAGTTATAACAATACAGTGTGTATGTATATGGGCTTTCTTTTGTGGTACAGCAATCATGCAATGTCTAGCATCACTTGAAATCAATACATATAATGTATCAACCTAATTTCAAAAAAAAAAGAAGAAAGAGGGAAAAAAAAGAACAAAACGTATCGTTTGATCATATACATATGCATACATTTGTCATGAATAAGCTAAGCAAAAGAAAAAAGAAAAGAGCTATAAAGCTTCATTATTATTTTCCAATCGAATGAACAAGAAAATATGCAAAAGCAGAAAATCTCTATATGATTACTGATTCAATTCTTTCGTAGGGTGCTCTCCCTCTCTCACCGTGTTTCTATATGTGATTTTGATGACATGCTTCAAAGTCAATACAAGTTTATCCATTACTTCAACTCTTGTAGTTGACCGTAGAGACAAACAATACCATCTATAGAACAGACATACTTGCAAAAAAAAGTCATTATCGTTATTATTTACTAGGCGCAGTCGAATACTAGTGATATATCGTCGAATGAGTGCCAATTGCGATATACATTGATCTGTTCTGGTGTTGTATACAATATATGTATAGGATTGTCGCGACAATGACGATATTATGATAGCCTACTACATACCACATACGCGGCAATTACCTTTTGAGTTCTGATGAGAATGCTGTTGTGTGCGCAGCTGTTTCATCTCTTGGCTGTCTGTTGCAAATGTCGTTCGAGTGAAACTATGAGTGTCTTTTTTTGTGTTCTTTTTGTTTTAAACATTGAACAGCGAATGTATAACAAAGAAGAGAAGCAGAGAGGAAAAAGTAGAGGAAGAAAAAATGAATTGTAACTTGATCAATCTCTTTTATATGCGTATGCATGATTATGTCATTCTTAATGAAGAAAAAAAAAATAGTCTCCTTCTCAAGCCTTATAACCTGTCTCTCTATTTGCGCAAAGACATACATAAGCTATAATGTTTAATTTGTAGTTTCATTTAATAAAAGAAGAAGAAAAGAAGAAAATTATGAATAGAATTCACAAGGGTTGACATCAATGATTATCAGTTTGTCTATTTCTATTCAATAAATAGGCAAATACAATATGGGTAAATGAGCAAAGATGAGATGTAGGATGGAACTACTTCTTTTTCGCACGATCTCCTTCTCTCTCTCTCTCTCTCTCTCTCTGTTGAGCTCGTGCGTGCTTACCAACGTTGTGATTACGTCAACATTAATTTCTATCTATGCGCGTGTAAACAATCTATTGTCGACACTTCTCATATTGATTGTTGACGATGACGCCGGTTTCATACATACGCAGACCTTTGTCCGTGAATGTATTTCCTGTTAAGAGAAAAGGAGCTATTTGCCTCATATACTGTTTAGACTACATCTCTGTTCAGCATCATCAATAGTTTATTGCAGTGACATTCTTTATCTTCTTTCTTTCTTTTACGATGTATTAATAACACACAAGAGAAAGAGTGGCGCGTGAGCAAGAAGAGAGAGAGAGGGGGGGGGGGGTGAAGTGACTACATTACAATTCAGAAATGATGAACGCATGCAAGATTCAAATCTCTTGCAAACAAAACACATTTGCATATTTTCTCATTCTAATCCATAGGCAGACAAAACTCTGCTTATCAACAAACATTACATCTTTCTCAAGGGACTGGCAACGAAGCGGTCAATCCTTGCAAGAATTAAATTTGTTGAACGAGAGCGATGTTGCATTTAGATGACTGCTCAAGAGATTATTAATTGATAAGCTAATTTTTACGTACTTAAATTAGTTGACTTAAATTCATGAATATTAACATTAATCTAGAATGAATACGATAAATTACATTCTTCGTTTAATTACATTCCTTAAACATATGCATTAAAATAAAGCTGAAAAAACAGAGATTAACATAGAGTTGGCCTTGTTCTCTAATTTACGAGATGTTATGTTAAAGATAAAGTTCAGTTTAGAACTCTACTAACAAAGAATAATAAAGAATAACAATCCTTCTTTAATCTAATCATCATCATCATATCGATAATCAAGCAGTTGGGTGTGTAGTTATATTGTGAACAAAACTCGATTACCTTGCTATTGAATTATTATTCTTGGATCGATCAATATGTATGCCGCTAGTATTTGCTCTTGAACTTTAGTTTCATGTATGACGGAAAAACTTGTCAACACGATTACTTATTATGTTAGAAAGAAAAGGTTTCCTTGCCCCTCTCTCTCTGTGTGTGTGTGTGTGTGTCTTCTATCTATCATTTTCCTCCTAATAACAGTATTAATATTGATAGAAAAGGATATTGGGTGGGAACCAACTAACATACATACATATTATATCATCTCTCATCTATATATATTCTTCTCCTTCTTCTTTCATCATATGCGTTTGCTCAGTTATGGTAGCGTTGCGGGTGATAAGCTTTTCTTTTCACATCTTTGTACATGTCCGCTCCGCTAAATCATGATCAAAAAATAATAATACATTGTACAAGACAATGATGATGATTACTGTTGCCAGAATTTGTAGCAACAGCTGTTGACAAATTTTGCAAGGTTTTTAAAAATATTTTTTCTGAATTGTCGAGCAACAATTATCAACATTGTGAATCTTAATCCTTTCTCGATATATGCGTGTGAAGAAGACAGTAGTATGCAGAATTGCCTTGAAATTCTTTTTCTTTACTACATATTGCATATTTATAGGAGACGAAGCATAACGACTTATGTTATTTCTAATTCTTTTTCTTCTTCTTATTCGTCCATTGACAAATGCGACTTTTCGAAATATTACAAATTTATTATTTACATACAAATTTGTATGGATAAAAAAAATATTATACATTCAAGTACAAAATGAGACACTATAGAATTCGAAAAGGAAATTGAATAGATATCCGTTTCAATCTTACCTGTAAGAAGAAGAAAAACATAGGATATAGATATATATTTTTTCTATAGTGTTTGTGTGAAATTCTATCGTGTTATACAACTGTCCTAATAAAAATATATTTACTGAAGCGCACGAATGTATGCATTCGCCCAAGAGGCTTTTTTTTGGCGCGTACATATAGACAAATATGTACATTGATCAAACAGTCATCTATTGTTGTGATTATAGTAATAGTGTATCAGCAGGCGTGGTGGTATCACGTTTTTCGAAAGAACAAAAAAAGAAAACATACGGTTAAGAAGCGACCGACTGAATTGACGCGACATAGACATCAACATATGCAAGTTATTACTATACTATTAAGAATATAAGAGAAACGAAACGCAGACGTCGAATAATAAAAGGATACAAATAGAAAAACAGAACTCGAGAATGATTTACGTATGATGTGTTATCATGAAATACAAGTCTATTTATTTATGTGAAGCTATAATTAAGGTATTGAATCAATCAAAGGAATTAACAAAATAAAGCAGACGTATCAATATAATTAAAGTAACTTCAGTAGTTGATGGTAACTATATGTATTTCAAGGCAACATGATATTTATCATTTATTGATTCAGTCAATCGCAAGATCGAATAATTCATTGGACCTTCAAAACAAGGCCTACAACACGTTCGCTGGTAGTTTTGATTACACAAGTCAAAAGAAAAACGAATAAAGTATTTTGAAATAAATTGTCTCATAGGCGTTGACACAAAAAAAAAGAAGAGAGAAAGACCTTTATATTCTATAGTTAAATAAGTACAGCAAATTTGTGAAAGTCGACTTCCATGGTCATTGAAAAGAAAGGCGAGAACAAAAAAAAAGTTTGACATACTTTACCAATGACAATTTTTCATGTTCATTGAATTCAAAGATAAATAAAAATGAAATGACTGAAAGTGTACAGTTCATTTCAATGTGTTTTTTTTGCCCTCAAGCCTTTTAAATTCGAAATGCCGGCTTAATCGTCGTTTCAAAGTTAAAACGACATGTCTGGAGTTATTTTATATGAATCATTAATCAATAGGTGTTGAACTTGTCACTCTGATCATCAAACGTGTATAAGAATAGATAGTTATTTTTATCTAACGTTTTGATGATGAAACGAAAGCAATTCTCTTCTCAATGAAATCAATCGTAAAAATACTTTGGGCAAAAACAAGAGAAATAGCGCAACTCTTTTTTTGCTTCACTTCTTAATAAATGAAACATCGATTTCATACATTTAAACGAACATATGCAAAAAAAGAATTGCTTTTGTTTACTCTATTTTTAATAGCTTGCTTTTTACAATTGTTCACTAGTCAATATTTTCCCAATCAATAGCAAGGTCGTTTCGTATTAAATAGCACTCAATACATTGACCATGAACGAGAATATTCTTTTTTGCTTATAATTTATTATAGAAATATGTGTCATAGATAATTACACTTTCGCTATATCGAGTCCGTGCAGTAGCTAACAGCCTTGAAAATATAAAAGAGATCTATTATATATTGTTTACTAATACAATCAATGTATTTCGATGATAGAATACAATTATGTCCCAAATGAAAAATCAGCCATTATTCAACTATATGTTTAATATATGTTAATTCTATTCACTTTTGCACTTGAATCATGTGGTTGCGGTTCATTTTACTTTTAATATAATCCTCTGTGAGAATTATTGAATGAGATGAATCTTATTTAGGAATGTATGAATATGTTTCGGAGTGGATGATAAATTCTTACTATGCTTTTGTTAATCGACCTTCAATGTTCTTATTCTAATCTGATAGTTGTTTTTATAATCCAGTAGAGTCAGATTTATTTTTTGTACGTATATTTTGGATAATCTGATAAGTATATTAGCAATTTGTTGATTTTATACTATAGTTATTATTCTTTCTCTAAAGACCTTCTACCACCGGTTATTGTTTCATTAGAGAGGGAGAGAAACTTTTTGCGATGTTATGTTTATTGGGAAATATATATATATATATATATATATATAAAGTGTTGAGAATATGGCAAGAAGATAAGTAAAGCCCTCCACGTTTGATAAATAACTACTAGTACGGCTAGTTCTTGATTACGAATAAGTTGGTTTCCTGCTATTTAAGAGACAAGTTTTGCAAAGCAAAATCTAGGTGGGGAAGATAAAAATGACCGTAAATTGAACAACCTTCACACTATGGAATCAAGAAGCTAATTTACTGCGAAATAAATAAAATAAAAGTGAATGTTTAACATGATTTTAGATATAAAAATCAAGATCATTTTGTATTACTTTCAGACTAGACTACCTTGACATATAGATGGTAAAAAGTCCACGATCTCTTATATTAACCATGAGAAACCAAGTCCCTATTTAAATAATCCTATTTGACTCGAATTAGCATTTTCTTATTTGTTTCTGACTTGAACTTTTTTAGGATGCACAGTACGATTGGGGGTGCATATCTCATCCACACCTACACTACAACTATTGACACTCGTTTCCATATTGTGGACGTTTGTTTTAATCTCTAATTAAGAAGAATTGCCCGTATTCAAGAAGACACCTTGTAGACATCTTTTTTTTGTGCTCAAAAAGTGAGTACACTCTAGATTCGGTCCGTGTGTCCGGTCGTTAACACGATAGCTAACTTTTGAAAGCCTCATCCAATTGTCTTGAAATTTTGTACACAGAATGATCTCATCAATATCTCAGTCGAATTCGAAGATGAGAAGGATCCGTCAAGAAATGGCTGACTTATCGAAAAAAT